AGTAGTAACCAGACCATTTAAGGCTCCAAAATTTGTTATAGTCCAACAGTAAGTATACTTATCAGTAGAAAATGCAGTAAGTAATTTTCTGTGATATAAATTTCCAGCAGTTTAAGTGGATTTCAAATAATCCAAAACCTAGAGTTAGTCTGCTGAGCAGTGGAGCTATGAAATGAAATCATGCACTGAGAGTGACCTGACTTGGCTGATGGAGTATCAGTGAACTAGAGATCTAAGAAGGCCAAAAACTCCAGAGGCATTGAATGTGTACATTATACGTAGCACGTCCACAAAGTAAGTTTCCCACTAATCCCACAGCTAGCAAACCTTATATTGCGTGAAGCAACTGCGCGTACGTGACAGAGCAATGATGTAGCATGGCGCATGCACAAACGGAATTTCCCGCGTTCCCACAGTAGCATTGTTGCAGCTGTTGAAGATGGAGGCTCTTATTCCAACTCCCGTCGACTGTGAAGTGCGGTCAGTGATAACGTTTTTCAATGCACAGAGCATAGCGCCGATCGAAATTCATCGTCAGCTGTGCCGGGTCTATGGGCCTAACGTCATGAGCGAGCAGATGGTGTGTCACTGGTGCAGACAATTTTCAGCAGGTCAACAAAGTGTACATGATGAGAAGCGCAGTGGGCAGCCATCCATCATTACAGACGACCTGGTGGAACTTGTGCGGGAATGCATTATGGAGAATCGTCGCATCACAATTGCAGAACTCAGCAGTCATGTCCGGCAGATTTCCCGCTCCTTGTTGCACGAAATTGTCACGGAGCATCTGTTGTTCACGAAATTGTGCACCAGGTGGGTGCCGAAGCAACTGACACCAGAACATAAAACAAAGCGCATGGAGTCAGCATTGACATTTCTGCAGCGGTACCATGATGACGGCGACGAGTTTCTGAACCGGATCATCACAGGTGATGAAACGTGGATTGCACACATTACCCCAGAAACCAAGCAGCAGTCAATGCATTGGCGTCACAGTGGATCTCCCTGTAAGACGAAATTCAAGCAGACGTTGTCGGCATGGAAAGTGATGTGCATGGTATTCTGGGACAGACGGGGCGTTCTCCACATCGACTTCCTGACCAGAGGTGAGATGGTGAATACTGAGCGTTACTGTGAAACACTGCAGAAATTGCGACAGGCCATTCAGAACAAGCGGCGCGGGATGCTTAGTGCTGGTATTGTCTTCCTGCATGATAACGCTAGGACGCACACGGCTCGACGGACAGCAAGTCTCCTGCAGGAGTTCAGCTGAGAGGTGTTTAATCATCCACCCTACAGCCCAGACCTCGCTCCCAGTGNGTTGTCGGCATGGAAAGTGATGTGCATGGTATTCTGGGACAGACGGGGCGTTCTCCACATCGACTTCCTGACCAGAGGTGAGATGGTGAATACTGAGCGTTACTGTGAAACACTGCAGAAATTGCGACAGGCCATTCAGAACAAGCGGCGCGGGATGCTTAGTGCTGGTATTGTCTTCCTGCATGATAACGCTAGGACGCACACGGCTCGACGGACAGCAAGTCTCCTGCAGGAGTTCAGCTGAGAGGTGTTTAATCATCCACCCTACAGCCCAGACCTCGCTCCCAGTGATTTCCACCTTTTCCTACACCTCAAGAAATTCCTGTCCGGTGAGCATCAGCATTTTGAGAATGACAGAGAGGCGGAGATGGTTGTCACACAGTGGTTCCAATCTCAGGCGGCAGACTTCTATGACACAGGTATTCAAAAGTTGGTCCCACGGTATAACAAATGTCTCAATTCCGGTGGCGATTATGTTGAAAAATAGCTGAACACTTGCTGTATCTGTTGCAATAAATATTTCCATGAAATTGTGTTTTGTTTCTGTAAATGGCCCCAGGGAAACTTACTTTGTGGACGAGCCTCGTAGTTATCAGTGGGAAACAAAGTACTAACAGTTCTGTTGAAGACTGGCATGGTAAATTTAAGAATGAACAAATGCAGTATGAGCAAATTATTACTCAGCTTGTTGCTTAGCTGATCAATGGCAGGTCACTCAGATGGTTATAGAGTGTGCAGAATATAAAGGACAAAACCACCTGGCTTCATATATCAGAGATATTACTTAAGAGTTTGAAAACAAATTTGCAGATAAGGAAGAAGTTTAACCTGATAATTGCAAGGGCTATTCAAAAAGTAACCTCCAGTGAGCTGTCAGAAAAACAAGCAATGAGAAAAAATATTATATCCAAAAAATACATACATGCTTAAGCTACATCTCAACATAGTCATTGCCAGAATTGAGGCATTTGTATCGGGGAATAAGTTCTTGTGTGCCTGTGTTGAAAAAGTCTGCTGCCTGTGAGCTCAGCCACATTCTGACATCTTCCACCAACTCCCAGTTGAAATGCTCCAGCAATGCTCAAGCATGAGCAGCTGTATCTGGATGAGTATTACATGGAGGAGCACTACACCAAATGTCAGCATTCGAAGCCTCTTGTTCTGAACAGCCAGACCTATGCACTTTTTTTTTTAAGTGCTTTGCAATACATTTCTGGCGTTATTATGGTCCCTTGTTGCATGAATTCCACCATCAGCACTCCTTTCCTGTCCCAGAAAACAGTCACCATCAGCTTTCTTGCAGACAGAGTTTATTTAAACTTTCTCGGCTTGTTTGGTGAATGTGTGTGCATTCACTGCTTTGACTGTTCTTTGGTTTCAACGTTCACAAATGAAACCCAGGTTTCACTACCTGTTACTTGTATGATGTGATTGAGGAATTCATCACCACCTTTGTGGCAATGCTCTAAAAAAGGGCAAAGCCAAAACCATGCTGTTTTTGGTGTTGACCTGTGAGCATTTTCAGAACCCAACGAGCTGGGACAGCACAGTAGGTATAGTGACTCGCTACAGGCTGGACAACCTAGGAGTCAAAGTCCCAAGTCCTGGTGGGGTCAAGAATTTTCACTTTTACATGTTGTCTAGACCAGCTGTTGGAGCCCACCCAGCCTCCTATCCAATGGGTACAGGGGGCCCTTTCCCTGGGGGTAAAGTGGCTGGAGCGTGAAGCTGACCACTCACTACCAACTAGTGCTGAGGTCAAGAAGTGTGGGTCTATACATCCACTTCCCCATATGTCTTCATGGTGTAGTGCTTAACTGGTTAAGCACAGGGATGACTTCACCTTTACTTTGCTTTTATCTTGCACAAAACTTACGATAGCCTAGCCTAACTGCGATACTTTTGCAGAGAACAGTGTGTGAAGTGTGTAAATTCACACAAAAGTTTTGAAATTGTGAAGTGCCACTGTTCACACATTTTTTGTTCAACACTTCAAACAAGATCATCACTCACTACAGATGGCCAACCACTTCACTCTTCATTGTGAACATCTCTGAACATTCTAAATCGTCTTACAGTTCCTTCACTTGTTACATTTTGGCCATAAACCGCACATAATTCATGATGGATTTCCATAGCCTTTATGTTTTCATCACAAAAAAGTGGATAACAGTGTGAATTTCTCATCTGGCTGGATATATCATAACTCACTCTCTAGAGACAAGAACAAACACTAGATGTCCAGTTATGTGATGGTATATAAGGGAATGAGTCATGTGACCCTACCACTCATGCACAAGCTTTCCACCTGTTGCCTGAAATAAAAGGAGGTTACTTTCGGAATGGCTGCCCCGATAAACACAACAATCAAAAAGACGTGAAAAAAGTGTCATTATCCTTGCAACTGGATACAAAATACAGAGTTGCAGTGCGGTACAATAACTGTGGATGAAAGAAAGTTGCCACCATATGTGATATTTAAAAGGGAACAATTTTAGCAAGAGGACATATACCTGATGGCCCTGTATGACTGAAACACGCAGCAGCAGCAGTTGCTGCAGTAGTAGTATAGGACATACGTTGAGCAAGAAGTAAAAGTCGCATTGAGAAAAAGTAGACAACAGATATGAGCATAAAAGTGTCACCAAAAACACAACAATACAACCTAGAATCTAGGAAACTGATTTCAGATGCCATTATAGCTCTGTCGTAGCAGATATCGATCTCTTGGGGAGGTAGGAGGCAATTTCTTTTAGAGTATACACAAAATACACAGAAACATAGAACTAAATACTACAGCTGGTAAGTGTGTGCTGGTGAAGGATTGTTGTACTGGCTGAAAATGATATCATGCAGGAGACTGTTAGAAATATATTTTTGAAATGTGAAAAAGACACTGGAATTACTTTACTCAAAAAGATTAATTTACTACTGTCTTCATGGATGTTGACAATGGATAGTCTGGTAGATACTTATGAAGAAGACCGTAATCACTGTTCTTCCTATTTTAGCATATGGAGTGAACCACTGGCATGGACTAACAAATTTATAAGCAGTTTACTAGTAGTAGAGATGAAATCTGTACAGTCATAAGAAAGGGGCACTTGGTAGCATAGTTGGTTGAGGCACTAATGCTACAAGCTGGAAGGTTGCAGGTTCGATTCCCGATGAGGTCACTGGATTTTTGAATTGATCTAATCCTTGCAGCCTCACTACAGACCTCTAACAGAAATCAGTACCAGGAATCTTCCTAGGGTAAATAGCAGCCTGCGCATAAGGATGACAACCTCACCGCCATCTGTGAGCTGACTGTCTAGAAAATGTGGTAGCCTCAATGTCTCACAATCCAAGGCCTGTTACAGGGATAGCTTTACCTTTTTTTTAGTCATAGGAAAAGAACAGATAAAATCACGAACAAAGAGACAAAGATCTGAAGTTACAAAGCTAAATAAGCTGCTGGTAAAATTAAAAATGGACTATCATTAGACACACATGAAAATAATAGTCCTTTGAGGGGGGAAGGTGATGATGTACAAACTACCAAGGAGACCAGGTAAAATGTAGGCAGACTAAGTAAGGAAACACAGTGGAAGAGACTGGAGACAAATACAAGAAAAATGTGGATGAAAGAATGGAATATAATGGAGGAAGCTTGGTCATAAAGATGACCCTCATGTTAATGGATAATGTTTTATCATGTACTACATACAGCTGATTATAGTAATATCACTTAAATTTTTGTACCTTTAATGGTATCTATCTACAATTCATATTCAGTATCTCATTATGAGATGATTCAGGAAAGTAACAAGAAAAACAATATCAACACATCATCTCATAATTTTAATTATGGTTTAAAATACAAATTATTTTCATGATTGTCCAAGTGTTCTCTGCTCTTGCTAACAAGCTGTGGCCCATTTTGGGGCAAAATTATGTGATGTACCTACCAGTCTATAGTTCCCTGCTGTTGTAATCTGCTATTAAATATGAGTAGTATATTAAATAAGTATGACTGAATGACAATACATATAATGTAGAACTGGCTATTTAACATGTATTCTGCACATTGTGTACTGCCTATTTTCTAATTTATATATTATTAGTTTGAAGAGTTATGTATCAAAGCTTCAGAAACAATGCACACAAGCATTTCTATTTTATCAACTCGCAAAATATGGGCATGGGGAACTGCTGTTGTCTGGAGGCAGACAACTGGGAACAAATGTTTTAGTGCATAAGGGAAAGAGGGAGAGGCTGTTATAAATTATGTGAAAAGAATGGAAATCACCCTTTTTCATTCTTCTTTCCTCAAATTATGCAGCTGTAATTTTGTAACTTCATTCTAGTGTGTAAAACTATACTCCAATAAGTAATAATATTCACATATTTTACACACAATTTCAAGACATGAATTTATGATTATAACACATGTAAATTACAGGAGTAAACACTGTTTAAACACACCAGCCTGCTAGATAAACACTTGTTCACTTGCCAAACTGTCTGCAAATGGCTTCACAATTTCCCTGGTTGCAAAGTAGAATATGAGCCCAAATGTAATAGAGATGGGAAGTGCAGGTAAAGCTTTCTTGAAAATGGCTAATAACAGCAATGTAAGGCACAAACCCTGTAACAAATGATAGGATTATGAATAATGAATTGGGAAGAACATGAGTGTGGGCTATATGAAAGCATCAAACTTCATGTGCACACACAGACACATTATTGCAAATGTGAATAAACCGGTAATTACGGATAACTACCTAAATAAGTAACTAATTTCATGGAAGTGAGCCCTTCTTGAGAGGCTGCCAGTTGTGCAGCTACTCAAGATCATGGAACCCAAAGGTTCATTATTGTGTTAGCAAGAGCCTTCTACTGATCCCTATCCTGAGCTAGATCAATCCAACTGAGAGCACCACAATCCTCTCTCTCTAAGATCCATTTTAATATTATCCACCCACCTATGTCTTGGTCCTCCTACTAGTCTCCTTCTGGCTTTCCAACAAATTCCTATAAACATTCCTCTTCTCCCCCATTCGTGCTATATGCCCTACCCATCTCATCCTTCTTGACTTGATAATTCTAACTGTACTTGGTAAAGAGCAACATATACTTAGTTTTCTCTCTTTACTTCTAGACCAATCTCCTAACTAGCGTCAATTAAAGTTTGTGTGTTTCTCTTTATGGTGTCTATATTATCACCATGTAGATTCGCATCATCAGGCTAGACCAGCAGCTGAAATTATGATGATAACTGGTAATTATACAGGATTACCAAAAACAATGGAAAATACAGTATGTTCCGTTCAAACCTCCCACATCCTTATTAATCATCGGGAACATATTGTGATAAATTATGGATTATAATCAATACTAGATGAAAGAAAAACTCATTTATTTCCGTTTTTCTTCATTGAAGCTACAGTATCTGGCCGCGTATACCTTGACACGTTAGAACAGTTCCTTTATCCCCAGGTAGCCGATCTGCAGCCTAACATAATCTTCCAACAAGATGGAGCCCCACCCCCACACTGGAGTCTGCATGTTCGGAGGTCCCTCAATGCCACCTTCCAAGATCGCTGAATTGGCCATGGCGGACCAATTCGGTGGCCACCATGTTCACTGGACCTCACTCCACTCGATTTCTTCCTCTGAGGTTACATGAAGGACCATGTGTTCGTGCCTGCAGTGAATGACCCCCCCAGATTTACGAGCCCACATCCGTGAAACGATTGCTACTGTACCAATGGACATGTTGGAAAGAACATGGCAAGAAATTGAATACAGATCGGATATTGTTCGTGCTACCAATGGTGCACATGTAGAGGTTTATTAGTGTGTCAAATAAAATGTTTTTGAGTTGTTCTTGTATTTCCTGTACCTTCAATTTCCTACCATTCATACTTTCTGTTCCAAGATCTGATAAAATGTGGGAAGTTTGAATATAATAAGTATTGTAAAAATATCCACTTTTTAATGAATAATCACAGGAAGATGTTCATAATTACTAGCATCCACTGGTAAATATAACAAAACCTACATTTCTCTTTAGGTTGCCAATCCATTAAAAAAAAAGACAAACTCCATGGTTTCAGTCTGCAAGTGAACTATACTGACCAAGCGACCACTGCTTGTCGGTGAAGTTAGTGCCAACTTCAGTGGATAGAAGGTTTCACGTGGTCAGCACAATGAATCCCCGCGGCCGTTAATTTCATTTTTCTAGACCGAAGCTGCCATTTCCTTGAAACAGCTCCTCAATTATCTGCCAATCCTTACTATTCTTCAAAATGCGTAGGTTGATAACCTTGCTCTATACCTGCTTTGTTCAGTGTTCCAAAAGTATTCATGCTTGAAAGAAAACGTTTAAAAACTATATCACAAAATGCTACTTAGTTACCTACTGCAGCTAGTAGGACCCACAGAGTGAAATGAGAATGACTTTAATCATCACTACATAGCAGTTACAGGCTACTTAGCTAACTACAGTATGCATCAAAATATTCAGTACTGAAATGAAAAGACGTCCTGTTGATACCATTGTCTATTCCTGTGAAGGCACCTTGCATGACAGACCTTCTCAAATCCTGAAGAAATGGTCCTTTCTTCATGTCCCTGTAGTGTTCTTGGGTGACGGTAAGAGCATTTGCCTTCCCCATTCTCAATGAAATAGGGGCCTAATATAATGTGTGCTGAGACGGCACACCATATTGTCACATGTGTATCATGTAGCGGTTTCTGAACGATAACATCTGGCTGCTCAAAACCAAGGAAGCGAGCTGTCTGGCGACCACTTCTGTATGAGTGGAAATAACACTCAACTATGAATACTTTTTCCTCCATCGAGAGACCAATTTCCAACAACTGCACAACACAACTTCCTTTTCACTAATGGGAACACGTGAGGCTGGAGCTATGCCCCGTTGACAAACGAACATCAGCGTATGAGACACGAGTTTCAGTACTGCACCTTTTGGTGCATAATGTATTACTGTAGCTGCTTGGGTCTACATGTGAAACTAAAAGAATAACAATCACCGTTACAAGGCAGTTTCCAGCTCTTGTGTTTCAAATAACTCCATTTCCATTCTTAGCCAGGGCCCATTCAGCCACTCTCAGCAGTCATCTGCTTCTGCTACAAGCCAGTGAAATCTAAATGACTTGTACTTTAAGTATTTGGTAACTGGTACAGGCAGTAAATCAGTGCTGCTGACATATCACTTACCTCATTTAAAAATATACCTGTGGGACTAGGTTTTCGAATATTTAATTTTGGTAAACTCAGTTAACATATCATGATACTTTTATGGCCAAAAGTTGGAGTGTCATGTATAAATTAAGATTACAAATTATCCAATATGGCCCAGGATTTTTCACCAAGGTTAGGCCAGGGACACCTAAATTACATTTCTTGAAGGCATATTCTGTCAAAGTGGGGTGCTATTAAATGTGCAGACAGGCAGTGACAATGGGAACATAAATTAGTGGCTTCAAAATGATTGTGAACACTTCCAGTAATAAATTGTTATAATCCACTAACCTCTCCTTTTGTACCCCTAGCCATAAAGGCATCAACCTTCAATGAATACTTACAATAAGGATAGCAACAAAGCAGGCCAGTGTAGTGTTCCAGTCACCATAGGAAGATGCCTTGCCAACCAGGACACTGTAGAAAATGAAGTCTCCTAGACCAAGCTTCACACCACCTGTCAAATTAAACAGCACGATGTAACTAAATATAATATGCAACAATTTTCATAACTTGGTGGTGGGATAATTAAATCAAACTTCCACCTTGCAGGTGATTTATATATTCACTCACTATACTTTTACCTTTTCCCTTGCAAACTGGGTGGTACAAAGCTCGTAAATAAAGTAAAATTTCTAAGTTCCCTTTTACAGCTCTTTACTCCTCTACTGTTTGTAATATTCTGGGTTACATACTTGTTAAAACTGAGTATTTCATAATATTCTTCCTCATTGAACTGCTATCGTTGATCTCAGCTTTAGAGGAATATTTCCCTGCTTAGTTTTTCATGGTACATTAGATGACTATAATCACAACTATTATAAAGTAAAGTAAATGTATCCCTGCAACAGGCCGTGGAAGCCCACAGAGTTGTGAGATGTTGAGGTTCCCACATTTTCTAGACAATTGGCTCATAGGTGGCGGCAAGGTTGTCAGCCTTATGCACCGACCACCCTTTACCCCAAAGAATATTCCAAGAATATTCCTGGCTGAGTCGACCCCAGGACCATAGTGCGGCTGGAAGGATTAGATCAATTGAAAAAAATTCAATGACCTCATTGGGACTTGAATCCACGACTTTCCGGCTTGTAGCACAGTACCTCAACGAACTAGACAACCACGTGCCCCCACAATTATTATTATACTTAAGAAAAATAATTATACCTATCATAGCATTTAAATTATATGCTGGTGGATATGTAAACAAGGTAACAGCCCATATACTCAAGATTCAGCAATGGTCTCTCAAGTATTCATGGAATTTACCAAAGACCCAGTTTTTAATGGATTAGTTAATAATACTTTCAGTAACCAGACTACAGAGTGTTGGATGGTAGGATAATTGATAAATGTTGTTCAGCTGGAAATGATGTGGAAGGAAGCAGTCATGGTCCAAGAGATATACTATCCTAACATTTGCCTTGGAGGGACTGAGGGAAAACTATGATAAAACCAATTCAAGATATCTGGCATCCCAGCTGAGATTTGAACCGAACACCTCCCAAATACAGGTCTACAGTGTTACCTCGAGACCAACCTGTTTGGTACCAAAGATTCATGTTGCCAACAATACCTACATGAAGTTTCCTCATAAGCTGGATATACAACATGAAACAAAATTCCTGCACAAGCACTCCGTAGTGTGATTCATTGTTAGAAACAAGTCAAAAATATTGTACAATAAATGCCCGTGATATTAGTTTTCAAGATACATGTCACTGCCAAATGGCACCAAGGAGCTCCAGTGCACTGTAAGGAGGATGTCCAGCGGTGGATGGACGAGACATATCCAGGAAGATGGATGTCAAGGGCTGACTGCAAGGCCTCCCTGGTCACTGGATCTAACTCCAATGGATTTTTTCTTGTGGGGACTCTTTGAAGGAGCACTTTCAATGCAGTTCCTCAGGACTATCAAAGATCTCTTGGCATGACTTCAAGCAGCTGTTACAGTGATTGATGTCAATGTGTTAAGGCTTATTCAGGAGAATGTAATGCAGTGCACTGCCGTCTACCTCGAAATGGCCTGAGGCTACTTCGAACACCAGTTGCAGCTATGAGGCACCTATGGTTTGTACCAAATAATCAAACCATGGGTGCCTTGTTATCTCTTAACTGGATTCGTGCCGAATCTCAATTGAGAATTGTCTTCAGGCTTCTGTTTTCTATCAAGCACATGTGCCCTTCGTGCCAAATCAGCATTATCACCATCAAACCACCTTTTTTCAATACATTCTTTAAAGTTTTGTAAAAAGCTTCTGGATCAATTGGAGGTGTATTCTTGCAATTTCTATTTGGTCTCAAGTGAAACTCCCCTAAAAGAGGCTTTCGACAGCTCTGGCAGAATTTCAATAATATGGACCTGCAGTTATTAGTCTTTCTTGAAAAATGTGGGCCAGACCTGTTATATTTTGATCCACACTATGCTCTTGCAATTCCAAGCTCAATTTGAAGAATTCTTGAAAAGATTCATACATCAATCCTAAATTCAATATTAAGTTTTTACTTGTAATATTTTATTGTAAGCTGTCATACATGCATTTTCCTATTTGTCCCCCATTGATCAGTCTCTGCTTCTTCAAAATGTTACATTAAAGTTTTGTAGTTATCTCAAACAGCTGAAACTGGTCAGAAACTGGATACTACCCATTGCAGGCTTACATTATGGGGCTAATTTCAGTAGCTGAATTTCCAATGAGTTTGCACACACATTCAGTGCTCTGCTACTTTCAGGCAATACAGTGTACATGATATAATGCTTATTAATGAATGGTTTAAATTTGATACCTCAAATCTATTATGTTGTGTGATACACTGACAATTCTAATCTGTGATTAGTACAGTGCCTTGCAATTAAAGAAGGAAATTTGTCCCTCAGTTTTATAACCCCACCTTTATTCCCCAACATCAGGGTTGTGACATCACATGTTACACACACTAAATAAGCTTTTAATTAGTTTTCCATCACTCAACATGACTGAATAAAATTCATCAAAGAATCAAAAATGACTTTTGCAGTAACACTTAGGTATCTGATTAAATTAAAAAATTAATTCATCACAGTGGATAAGAAATCTGAATGTACTCTTACTCAGGGTAGTGGACTCATCAATTATCAGTGAAATTTTACTTTCAGACCCAGCAATTTCATTAGCTAAATTTTTCTCATTTCATCACCAATGTTAATCATGACAATATATGGATTTACTGAGTGAAGAATATATCCCATGTCAGTTCTGTTTAGTTCCTGTAAATCAGTTTCAGATTCAAAATTACAAAGTGATTGGTTTTCCTTTCCCACCTTATATGTTGTGTGAAACGTTTTTTTTTAGGAAATCACTTTCTTTGCGAGATACAGATTTTAAACACACGTTCTAAAGGGTCTCTGCCTCTCTTTCTGCAAGAAAATTTAATGCAGCTTATGCCCCACGGTTTCCCTGTGATTGAAAGTATTTTTTCCATAAGTATATAAGCAGTCGCTGTAAGTATATGGCAAAATAGATGATTTAATTGTTTGTCCATTCTTTAGAAATTGTCATTCCTACCGTCTTTCCTACTCCAAGAGTTCCAGCTTTTTGACACAGCATACAGCCAAGTTTATTTCAAATATTTTGCCAGTCATACTTAAATTTTTTGATCAATAGTCCAGCAGATACACCAGTCATCAGTCTGTTCTTGGACACCAGCAGAACCAGGAAAAGAAGTGGCTATTATTGCAGCTAATTCTTTCAATCCCTAACTTCCTCACCAGTTGTGGGTTTCATATTCATGAGAGCTGAAAAGAAACTTTCAATTCTTTTCACTTTTAAGTGGTGGTCCCATGACACAAAGTAGAAAATACACCCCTTTTACTCTGGCATTCCCACTTTGCTTACACTGGAAGTTATACGTAGCCAAATGTCTTGTGAGATGCAGTCCATAGTTCACAGACTACACTGCATTCCAAATGGTTAGGTAAAGATTTACAGTGGTCTGGTTGTGTGGTAGTTGTTTCGAAAACAGTGACTGCAGTAGATGGATGGTAACTAAAGTGTGGAGCTGACATTTTCTGAAATGTACACTGATGCATGGGCAGCACATTCTCCTCTTTGCTGCTCACTGACAGCTAGCAAGACGTTTGGTGACATCTGTACCTACTCCTATATCATGTCAACATATGCATGCACATAAACAAAAGACAAATTCATCTTCCTGTCTCCGTCGCATGAGAGGTAGGAGAGGGAAGACAGGGAGGGAGAGAGAGAGATTGTGTGTGATTGTATGTGTGGGTGTGCTGAGTTCTCGGAACAATTATCATTGAATCACAACACCTGTGCTGGTACTCACGTTCCTCATCATCCATTTCTATTTGCTGCTGCTGCTGCTGCTGTGGGAATGTTCTGTACTCTGGGTCCCGCTGCTGTCCATTAGAAGCTTCTCTGATTTCTCTCTGCCTGCGGGCTGCATTTTCCTCATGATTCAAAATCCATTCATGGGAGAATCCACTCTCGGTGTCCCCTTCCCTATTAGGGGTGGGGCAAGTAGGAGCATGACAAGATCCAGTAGCAGCAGTCGTAGTACAAGTAGAAGTAGTAGCAGGAGTGGTACTGCTAGTAGGTTTAGGCTCATCACTACTAGCCATATTTATGAGAGTGTAGATCACAGTTGCTGGAATACAAAACAGCCATTCACATACTATGTTACAAGCTTGACATCCTCCTAAAAGCTTTCTACTTAACATAAATGGAATCTGTGATCAGGTATGTATAAATATGTGCTGTCTTGTATATACACAGTCTTAATTTTAGAAGGATCCATATTTATGTGCTGCATTTATAAATACACATGGTGTGCGCCACACCTCATGCCTCCTCTTTTCTTCCAATAGATATTCCATGAAATACCAAGCTCCTTAACTTCAGCCATTACATTATCTTCATAAGCATTTTTGGTATCAATACTTTTATAAATAATTAGCAATAAAAAAACAAAATCCGTGGTTCTAGTCCGCAAGCAAACTATACTGACCAAGCGACCTCCGCTTGTCAGCGAAGTGAGTGCCAACTTTGGCAAATAATTAGCAATACACAACGAAAACATTTGGAGGAGGTAAAACTTTACAAATTCCTAAACCCAGCATTAGAGGGAGGTGAGTGGTCAGCTTCATGCCCAGCTGTTCTACCCCTTGGTAAAGAACCAATATAACTGCCAGTCATTCATTCATTCATCAGTAATCTGTCAAGACGACAGGTCCACAGTCTCTTCCAAAACAGGTCCTCCACTTGATGCGATCTAGAGCTTTCTCCTTCAAATGAAACATCTCGCATACATGGTATCTCTGGTTTTGGAAAGAGACTATCCAGGAAAAGTGATAATGTGGTAGTTTTTCCATTTGCACATTTCCACATCGCAGTACAATAGGCGTTCAAACCACTCTGGTCACGCCTGTTGCTATACGAACTTGAACCATCTCGAGCATTATTTACTCTGTGCTTCAAGTCGCTGCTGATGACGCTGCTTCCGGCATCAGTTTTTGGTGTCTCTCTTCGTCTGATGCCTACCCTTTGACCTGTCCAGCAAGGGAGGCCCTGCCAGTAGCTACTCTACCGCTGGTATAGCTCTCAGGGTCCTTGGCATACTCAAACCCCCTCACCACGATAAGGTGGAGCCACCAACGAGGGGGAACTGCCAGTCATTGAATAATAAATACTGATCAACCAATGCAGAGCAATTATGATATTTACTCATATAATTTACATATCTCCATTTTCATATAAGAAATACAGGAAAAAATTATATAAAGTAGTCTTATGCCTCTGGCCATAAAGCTATGGTTAAACACACGGTTCAAATGAGAATGAACACCACGATCACATCAGATATTCCAGGTGGTGGACCAATGTGCAACTTTCCAGTATTATGCCTCATTCACACATTTAACAAATATCGTGACTGGTGCAGTGGTGATTAAACATCCTGCTTGCTCATATACGTTCTCGTCTGAATTTCATTACTTAACAAATTAAGTATACAAATCAAGTTTAAATAACTATGCTATGGGCTGAAATGAGGAACTGGGGTTCGATTCCTGGAAGAAGATTTTAATACACTCCACAGCACACAGACTGACTCTGGGCCCATCCAGACTCCTATCCAAGAGACAAGTGTCCTCATGGGTAAAGTGGCTGGAGCATCAAGACAGCAAATCACCTCATTCAAAATTAATATCTTTATTTTCTGTTGCAAGTTTCATTGCAATGTGAACAGTCTGTGATGCTGTAATAGGGAATTTGCAGCTACACTCACATGAATATATAAGAGCAGGAAAAATCTGTTCATTCCGTTCTTGTGCAGTTTCCACCAAGATACGCAATGGGCCTTTCGGTGTCAACACTGCCACCAAATCTGCAAACACACACAAAAAGAACATGATATATAGATGCTGTTATGCCACCCCTCCCCCCTTAGAATTATGAAGTCGAATATTCTGATATGTAGACAAGGCAGTTTATATATGCTTACTCTATGCATTTTAGAATGTGGAAGGAGTTCTGTGGACTGTGGGAAAAGTGAAGAGTTGCAGGTTCTGGTAGTAACTTGGACAGGTTTGGGAAGAGATGCTGTCATGCTGGTCATGGTGCTGGCTAAAGTAATATGGTGAAACTTCGATTTTATGATCCAGGATTTTACGTTTTTGCGAATTTACACTATTTTTGCATGGTCCCAGCCAAATGCCCATAATAATAATAATGTTAACCTTTAGCAGATTTTATGTTTCTGCAACTTTCCACTTTCCCTTGAATTTTCACTTCATTTTTCTAGCCCTGGCTATGAAAATTTGCCCGATTTTCTGCTTTTAGTTCAGTTCTCATAATTTATTATCCGAGTCAATAGACTTCCTTCCATGTTGGCAGTCGCAAATAGCTCAGTCTGAAAATACCTATCAAGTTGCCGATGTGCACTGCAAGTGATTTGTGCGCACACCATGTGAATTCACTATGGCCTAGGGTGCCGCACTCCAAACAATCCGCATGCCCTAGTTCAGCATTGAACCTAATGCATCTTTGTATAACAGTAACTCGCCAAGTGTATTTTGTCTCTCTCATGTCTGACAAGTGTACCAAATGACCACTGTGCTTTAATAAGTAAAACATTTAACAGAAATGCACCCAGGTTAAAATATTCAATTTTTCTGTGACCCTGCAACTCCATTTCATAAAGACCAAATTTTATTATAGCCCAGGATGAATTTCACGGCAACCTAATGAAATATGTATAACAAAGAAAACCCTAAATCACTTATAGTACATGATAAAATAACTCCTTTAGCACCAGCTGATGCATGTATTGGAACATATGCTGAATTGGCATCATGGTTGAGACTCTCAGTGTTCACACTAAACCCCATCGTGAAGAACCATGAAGAAACTGAAAGAAGCTTTGTCCAGTGTGGACCTTACTCCAAACAGCAGAAGTCAATGTAATGTTTGCCACTGGAGGAAATGGAGTTTGCATGATCCTAGCAAAGCATGTGAAACTAACACTTCCAAAGATTGGACCCACCTCAATGAGAAGGGCTTACACATCTCTGCTCATTTGGAAATAGCCAACTTTTCGGCTTCCAATGGCTGGATCAGCAGATTTAAAAGGAGGCACAACATTGCCTATTGAAATCTGTCAGGTGATAGCAAAAGTGTTGATTCAGAAACTGTGGAAGACTGTGTGCACATTTTGATGTCTACACTTCACATTTCACTGCTACACATACAATAGTGTCCACAGTCTACTGCCGTTTCTTGGTAGTGGCCTCAAGCGGTGGACACTGACCCTCCTCTGGGTTTCAGAACTGTTCCTAGCCTCAGCTACCAGCTTGCAACAGCAACCGCCCACAACAGAACTGCAGCAGTTCAACAACTGCAACAATGTCAAAGTCAAAGTTATGTTATGACCAGTCTAGCTTGGGGGCGAGCCTCTAGGAGTTTGGTTCCAAGATGAACTGACTGGCGGCAAACTGCCAGTCGTAAAGAAATTTTCTCCCTCTCTCTCAGTCGAGTCAGAGAGTGAGTTAGGTTGTCTGAAGGCTCCCAGAGCCGTTGTTAAACAATAAAACATGGTCATGAGCCCTGCAGGACTCAAAACTAAGATTTACTGTCCTAGCAAGGGTCAGCATCAATCTAGCAGTCAGTCCAGTCAGTTTGAGTTCCACTGTTAACAGCCATTACCTAGCAAAGACTACTGAACAAAAAGAAGACTTTATGTATGCTGAAGTTGTAGTTATTTAGTTGTGTTTGAATTAGTAAGACTGTTATAATCATTTGTAATTATGAATTACAAGCATTCAATAAATTAAATTACCAATGCAAACCCAATTTCTTAGTTATTAACACGTGACAATATTGTGGAATGTAGATGCACTGCTAAGCAACAAGCACAAAACAAACAGCTAGACAACAACTGTTACTAGGCAACAGCCCGTAAACAGCATCAGTGGAACAGGGTTTTCTGTGCAGTCCATGATGAGATGTTATAAGCAGGACAGTTAGGTTGTGAGAGTCAGTCAGCTGAGTTCAGTGACTTGGTTGGTGAGTGACTGAGACAGTCAGCCAGTTAGTGAGTTAGAGAACTGCTGAGGTACAGTCATTGTGAGCTGTTGCTGTGATAAGCTGGTAGCTGAGGCAGGGGATAATTTGAGAACCCAGAGGAAGGAGAATGTCCACCATTGGAAGCAGCTACCAAGCAGCAGCTACTGAAGATGTGACTGTGGACAGACTGTGACTGTGTGTGTAACAGTGAATTGTAAAGCATAGTCACACACTGTATCAAAGAGTCAAATAAATCCATCATCAGTCCAAAACATGTACAGTCAAACTAAATCATGTGACAATATGAATCCATAATTTTGCCTACTGTTTTGGAAAGGTATGAAACTTGTTGCCTACATTAAGAGAAGAATGCAGATTATGGGCGTTCTAGAACAGGGTACTGACAAGAAAATTTGGATCTCAGATAAAAGAAGCAATGGGAGGACACACAAAATTTCAAACAGAATCTTAAGAATTTGTACTCCTTGCCGCAAAATTAGTGGGATCATCAAATCACAGAGTGAGAAAGTTGTGTCATACAGCATGGATGGAACATTCTGGTGGGAAAACCTTAAGGAGACCACTTGCAATATTAGACTGGATCTTAAAAAATAGGATGTGAGAGTATACATTTAGCTATGGACAGGGACTAGCAGCAAGGTTTTACGAACACTTCAATGAAGAACTAGATGCCATAAAATTCTGGCAATTTCTTGACAAGCTGAGCAATTATTTGCTTCACAAAAAGGGGTTTGCCCTCTTTAGTTAGATAGTGAATTCAATACACTACACTACATTTTGAGCAGAAAAAATCACTGCAGAGCAACATAACATATACTATCTACAATTTGTGGATGATACATTACCCCACACAGAGATCACTCCCAGTACAACCCAAGTAGTCCATTCTGGAAGATACTTTATGAATACTAATGCCATAAGTGCTGCCACAAAAATTAAGTATGCTTGCTGGAGTCTTAGAGGTCCTTGCCAATGAATGCAAATCATACCGACTACACCAAAATTCCACATCATTATTGCCAATGTGATGTAGTCCATTGGTACATTATATGCTCTTAGCACCTCCCTGCAAAAAGGAAGGAGAAAGACATTTTAAGGTGAATATGACACTTACTTTTATTCAAATCTCTGAACCCATGTGTGAGGCTAACAAGAATTATAAATTAATAGTTATAATTAGTGCCTCTTTTTATTTTGTATGAATAATAGCAAATAACTGATGTGTACAAATGTGTTGTATGTGCAAACTTGTCAAAAATCAGAAGTCTCATCTGCTGGTGCTTCGTATGTGTTGACTGAGGCTACAATTGAGCGTGAAGAGCGCTGACAACCATGTTTCTAGGAGGAAAAAGGGCAGTTATTACACTATTTAGTGATTCATTTCTGTATCAGGCAAATATACTTTCTTCTATGGAAAGGGGAATGAAAATAATGAATTACAGGTTTCTTTGTACATAAGAGAATTGTATCAGCAGTTAAGAAGGTAGAGTTTGTTAGTGATAGGATATCATATATAATACTAAAATGTCGCTGGTGTGATATCATTGTTATGAATGTTCACGCCCCAACAGAAGATAAAATTGATGACATAAAGGACAGGTTCTATGAGGAACTAGGACATGTATTTGATAAATTCCTGAAGTACCATATGAAAATTTTGTTTATTGTTTGTTGCTAGGCAACAGTCAGCATGCCAGTGGGTGGGCAAGATGGTTATAACATGACTGGCTTTCTATGGAGCCTGTGCCGCAACTGTTGCAATGCAACATCACGGTAAACACTCCTCTCCAACAATAAAGGCTTATTGAAGCAAAAGATACGCATGTGACAATAGAGGAACTGTTGGAAACAGTGTTTTCTATGCAGTCTGTGTTGAGGCTGTATAATTAGAACCAATGGAGAAAGTGATACACCCATGTGCAGGTGGGGTCGATAACCTTCACCATGACCCTGTGAGTCGTAGGAGGCAACAAGGAGGGAAGTCTCAAATCTGAGCCAGTAAAATATGGTCATGAGTCCCAAGGGACTCGGACCCTAGAAAGATTGTGCTGGCAAGGGCCACGAGCATGTACAAAAGACAGACCCATCCCCTAGTCAGAGAGGGTGCCCCACAAAAAGAAGACTTAAACTGTCAAACAGTAACAAATATCTGGTCATGAAAGACTTATTGACTGACTGACAGACCATCAATCACAATGTGACTCTGACTTTGAAGCCAGTTAGTTGAGTCTGGCCTTTCCAACTTTTTCTTCATATAAGAAACTTCAATCCTTATCTGTACCGCTTGTTTCACTGTCACTTTCAAAAACATGACAAAGTTGTGACCACTTATCTGAACTGGTGGTAGCTATATCAGTATCTTGGGTTTCTGTTTTAGCACTTTCATCACCAGACAAATCTGAAAGCTGATGGATGAAGTTCCATCGAAATATCATCAGCAGCTATAACCTTACTATGCCAACTCATGTTTAGCTCTGCAGAAAACAAATAAAGTAGCAAACAGAAGAGCCTGGATAGCTCAGTCAGTATAGTGGCAGGGCTATGGGCTGGACAGCTGGGATTTTATTCTCAGCAAAAGGCCAAGTGATTTTTCTCTACTCCAAAGCATCCAGACCAGCTCTGGGTGCCCACCCAGTTTCCTATATAATAGTTACTGAGATCTCTTTCACTGGGGGTATAGCGGTCAGGGTGTGAAGCTGACCATTCACTTCCATCTGGTGCCAAAGTCAAGAATGGTGGAGCTACATCTCAACTCTCCCATACTTCCCATATTCATGGCATAGAACTTAATTAATCAGGCAGAGGGACTTTACCTTTTTAACAGAGACACAGTTGAATAAATGCACTGTTGGCATTGTTATGGCATATAAGGGCATGGATTAAAAGTGGTCAGTGACATGGGAACTAAGCAGATTGAATGGCAGAACTGTTATGCATAACTATGGTACAGAGTCTACCAAAAAGAATGCCGATGTTTCAGGCATCTGTAGCTTAGAAATGAAAGCAGCAAAAACATATTAGTGTGATTATGAGATAATGAACTTACTCTAAGTAGAGGTATGCGAAAATAAACAGCAGCATGAGAGATGAGAGGATAAGCCACCCATGGATTATCTGTAATACAAAAATGAATTGATTAAACAGTGAAATCACAATGCAAGATCCAAATTCTGCATTATATTCACCTGGTGTTTTAAAAGACCACACTACTTATATTCTGATAGTTTCTGGTGCAAGGCCTTGTATGTGTGGAACTTTTAATATTTTAATGTTTTGCCTTAGCTCTCACAGATGGTTTGTGCTGTGCATGGCTTGTATACCCTATCTAGTGCTGGTACAGGTCTCAAGAGATGGGGACTAGGTTTACTGAGTGGGCTCAACTGAGTAGGTTTTACCTGAAGATGGAGACAAAATCCAATCTCCAAAATGTTGTTTTCTTAAATAAAAACAGGATGGTGTTTTAGACAAAAACAGGATGATAATGTCCAGAACATAATACACTCATCTCTCGATTATCCGGGGGCGGATTAACCGGTTTGCAGCTTAACCGGGGCTTTTTTGAGGCTTATATGTTGTTTAATATTCATTCACTTTTGTTTCACATGGTGAGTTGTAACACTATTTTCGCACTAGTGTGAACCGAGCTCAGCATTTTTTGGTCCCGTTATACTAACACGATGTTCTAGGGTAGGGGTGAAAGAATGCAAGGATTTGTGGAAAGTTTCAAGGACAGATACACCACCCCAATTAGTCTCTTTGTATCGATCTTCAAGTGTGTTAGCAAAATGTCAGGGTGTAAAAGGAAGTGTGTTGTGTTAAGTATTCAACGGTAACTCGTGTGAGCCGGGCTTCGAAATGTTAAGCAGTGATGAAATCGTAAGTTAAGTGGGGGTGCAGTCAGAAGAGCGGGAAGAAAGTGAGAATGAGGAAGAGGTGGACACTGCTGCTAGTAAGAAAGTATCACATGGTGCTGCTCTTAATCATTTGGAATCCTTACTAGACTATCTTGAGAGTGAAGAGAAGAGTTTATTAAGTGACAAGCTAATATTACATAGGCTTCGTATGGATATCCGTAAAAAGGAAAATGCTGCGAAAAAGCAAACGAAAATATTAAATTTTTTAAGTGTTAGGCGTGAATATTCGTAAAAAGTGTTGGATGTTGTTGAACACTGTGATTGAAATAACTAATTCATACTTCAGTGTAATGTAAAAAAAGTATTAAATAGGCCATGAGATGACATAAAAATGAGGTTGAATAAATTTAAATACAGGTAGGCCTATAGTATGATGAAGGTACAGTATTACAGTACTACTTTTAACAAAATTTGTCTTAACCAGGTTTTCGATTAATCGTGATTTCCATCCTCACCATTATCCCGGATAATCGAGAGTTGAGTGTAGTTGTAAAAAATACATGTTTAAAGGCACCAAAAGAATTTGACCAATCAGTATATCTAAAAAAAAATACATGTATTATAAAGGCAAAAAAGGCAAAGCTGTCCCTGTAACAGGCTGTGAAGGCCCGTAGGAGTGTGAGAGGTTGAGGCTCCTGCATCTTGTAGACAATCGGCTCACAGATAGCGGTAAGGTTGTCAGCTTTACACACCAGCTGCCCTTTACCCACCCAGGAGTCTTCTTGGTACTAATTTCTGTTAAGAGGCTGAGTTAACCCCAGGGCCTTCCCACCTCATGACTTATAGTACGCGGGTTAAAATACCCGGCGGAGGTCGTTGAATTTTTAAGGGCGGAAAAATTCAGGGAACAAGTCCTCTGGGAGGGACTTTAAACTGTGCGTCCCGTGTCGTAACTTTACGGCACGTAAAAGAACCTCATATCCCCAAAGGGGATCACTGAGCCAAATTCCAGGACGTTTCCCGCCCAACAATAGTCTCTAAGGGCTCTGATAGATGGGACAAGCATTATAGACACCGCTAAGCAAGTGGCTAAACTCGCTTGCTCGGCAGGACTGATGGTACACGCCATTTATCGGTAGGGTATAGAGGCTGGTAGAATATCATTGAGGGAAGCACAATAGATCAAACTGGTCGCGGTGCACGGGGAAACCCACCCTCTCTAAAAAAACTAACTAACTAACCCCAGGGCCACATGGCGGCTGGAAGGATTAGGTAAATTTAAAAAATTCAATGACCTCATCAGGAATCGAGCCCATGACCTTCTGGCTTGTGACATAATGCCTCAACCATGCTACCGCATGCCCCTTTACATATATTATGACAAACATAATTACATTTCTACTCTACAGTTCTTTTTTACATTATTTCTATAATTACATATGAATTAAATTAATATACTATAAAAAGACAGAAGGAATGACCTGGAACCACTGCAGTTACAAAAATGATAAGGGTTGAGAAGATATGTTACCTTATAGCATCGATATTTGTATAGAATTATCAACAGAACTGTCATCACAACAATCACGGCCATGAGAATGAGAGAGTTGGCCAATGCATTCCACACCTTTGTACTTGTGTCTGGACTCTCTTCATGGAATGGAGTATACACACTGTATATAAAAGAAGATAATTACAATAATATGTTGCCATAATTTGCATACATATGTTTAACAATAAAGTGATACTTTAATCTGAAACCTTAACAGACAACACAATCAGTTATATTTCAGCATAATCTGGGGTTATTTTGTGAAGTTTCTAAGATTTCATGTGTCATCTGTATGAAGTGCATAACATGAACATGTAAATTTGATTTGTTTCATTCTGGTCCATCACACTAACAATATCATGAAAAGTTAAACAGTTCTGTCTAGTGTGACTGGTGAGGATTTTCATTTCAATTTTTAATATCTTTATTGTTATTACTCTGAAATGCAGCAAACCTTCTCATCATAAGTGTATATTCCACCACACAAGAATATTGTAACATGACAGCTGAAAGTTGAAACAGAGGAGCCACAGTAGAAGTCCACTGCTAGGCAGCGAAAAATAAACATGTTTCCTCGGCAACAGAGAAACTGCTCAAAGTGGTGTTTTCTATGCAGTCTGTGCTGAGGCTATATAAAAAGGATATGGACTGAGTAGATGGAATCTGCAGTTGTCAAACTGTCTCCAAAAGCAATGTTAACTTGCAACATCTTCCAACCTCTTAAGAACTCCTGACATGGTCTCTGAGACTACCGGAGCAGGAGGCTCCCAGAAAACCAGGCAAGCTGCCACAAATAATGATGACTTCTACCGCAAACATCATTCAATTCCAAAATGACTTAAAATAACACATCACAGGAGAGTATGAGTTCCTAAAATACATGAAATGGAACCCATATCATAACAAAAGAAATGGCAGACTATTCGGCCATGAAATCCTACCTGTAGAAAAATAATCTCCACTAGATTACCTTCTCCCCAAATTCTGAAAAGCCTATAAAGGCAGTAATCCATCACTTTCCCCCAAGACACGCCTGCACAAGATATTCCCAACAGCCTTGGGGACTCACGCTTCAACGTGAGGCATATGGCGGCCAACTGAATAGCAACCACAACCCACGTGGAACCTCTCCTTCTATTCCTTGTTACCTTTACAAGAAACATAAAGTCTAATGAGAAATTCAAACTGAACAGTCTTAACCATACTGTAGAGTTATACAAGGCTCAGACAGGTGTTCTGCACTGATATAACCGTTAAAACTTTTGCCATGTCTCGGCTCACTGCAAAAGAACCCCACAGATGTTTGTGGTGGTGGCCACCTGAATAAGGAATACCCTGAAAGGACAAATACAGAATCTACTGCTGCAACTGTGCCCTAGTAGAAGAGAAATATCATCCAGCATAATTTTGAGGTTGCAACCTCTTGAAAAGAGAAATGCAAAGGAGAAGAGCACAACAAACTCCCAAGGGATCCTCTTGGAGAACGTTCTTCTCTCACGTTCACCTCACCAGAGCAGTCCTAAGCAGCTGTACTGCTATGTTCAACTGAAATGAACTTCTTTCTTTCCCCATTCCTTCTACCATAAAAGAAACAGTTGAATCATGATGGCAGTGATATCATTATGGTCACAAAGGTACCACTCAGCTATCTGTTAATATCATATGTTCTACACACAAGACATAGCAAAATAATCATGAAATACAAAAAATACTGCTTAACACTGCAAATAAGCTTCTGGGGCATTTCTTTTTTCCCATGATGATGAAGGCAAGAAATTATGGATCTTTATGATGAACTCCTCAAATGATACAGAGGGCATAAAGAAATGCATCATCACTTTTATTAAGGAAACCAAAGTAAGTGTGGTCTTCTCCATCCTACACAGAATCGCACAATATGTAACCTTAATACATTTTCACAGTATCCACACAAACAAAACCTATTCTGGAGGTCAAAAAATTATGTATGCAAGTCCATAAACCTAGAGACTGTTCCTCAGGTGTAGTTTTGGAATAGAACTTTCTTTTCAAATGCATTTCATATAATTTTATGAAAACAAATTTCAATACATTTCTTCTGGCATAAAATGCCAGTGTTTCAGGCCTGAAGATAAAATATGATGTTGCTTTTGATATGCTGACATTGTATGCTAACAATCTGTTACCACTTATAGATCCTGAAGAAATGATTGATTTTTTGACATTACACAGTCTTCCTTGAAAGACTGAAATGCATTATTCTCTCACCATTGGCCTGTTAGCCAGAACCTTAGCTGTCATCTGCTGAGACAAAAGAGTCTATAGTGTCACAGCTAATCTGCTGCACATTATAAACACTGGCATGCATTTTTTAAAGTAAATAATTTGTTTAAAAGAATTTGTCATCACAACAGTTGCTCAAAATGTCTCCCTTCTTCTCCTGAACTTCGTCTCTTGAAAAGATTTTGGTTTACATTTCTTATTTTCAAAAACAGAAGTAGGCTTATGAGATCACCTTGCTGTCTGTATGTGTAATCCCCACCAACAACTTTTGAATGCCTGAACCAATCTTTATTAATCTTTGTATATCAAATCATATAAGATCATCCCAAAAATCCTTCCATAAGCAAAGCCAACACTGCAGCATGTCAAATTCATGAAGCAAAACCTTAATATTGCTTAAGCACCTGTACTGATCTTCATGAAACTCAGTATGTATATCATACCACGTGAGGCCATCTCAAACACATACTCCATAAATCCCTCCCTTCAGTAATACCAACTCTGCAGGCTCCCAAATTGTATTTTTTTTTTTTGCTTCATTGCAAATATACACTAAAATTGTAGAATTTGAGGTTCTCACAGTGGTTGTTATGAACAGTACTACCTTCTCGGATATAAAGTAGTGTAGTCCATTGATTGTCAACTGATGTTTCTGAGGAACACATCGCCTCCATCTTAAGGGTTGAAGAATAAGCTGACCAAGAAACCAGTATGACAGCAGATGGCAAGCTGGCAATTCTCCCCAGAACTTCTTGTTTGACATTAGTTAGAGCTGACTGACCTCAACAGATGCAACAGTTTCACAAATGTCTTTGCTTATGTTCATCCATGGTGTAGGGATTATCTGAATACACCATTTTTTAGGGTTCGCCATAAATAAAAATCACAGGGAATTACATCTGGAGACTTTGTAAACCACAATCTGTGACTTATCAGACTGCCTTCACACACCTCATTTAAAACATAAATAGAATAAGTAGCAATGTGTGCTGCAGCAACATCTTGCATAAAATATCCATATGTCCTTTCTTCTTCCACAGTGCTCTCCAAAAAGGGCTGAAGTGCACCATACATTATTCTGTTTTGATTCTGAAGGGGCACTTCAAAAGTCTGGCCGAGATTAATACTATTCCAATACCATGTTGTTCTGAGCACTGATATACCCACTCAGGTCGAATAAAGCTCAACCAATTAAAAAATGTAATGTTACATCAAAGAACATCGTCATGCCCTGTCCACAAAAACCAGTTACAAATGTGCCCTTCTCCCTTAATTGCTTTCTTCACTTGCTTTAACCTGTCTATCTTTACATGGCAGTGGACATAACTTTTTTAGTCACTCTCTCATGCTGTTGTCTGTGCCTACTGAGAAAATCATGTTAGACATTTCAGAGGTTAGAGATCCAGTCTGGCTCCAATGTGGTCAAACTTTTCTTCAATCAACATAGTATTCTGTCTAGTTCTGCAATTTCTTGCATAAAAAGACCCAGTCGAATACACTTTCTTCACCAATTCAAAAATCACTGATGAACCGAACACCAGGATATTTATGGTGAACTCTTCTTTCACAAAACTGATGTCTTATTTTTCACATAACTACTGTATTGTCGGCACACGAGAGCGAGTCTATGCTACAAACTTGCTTCGTCTGCAGAGAGAACATTCATAGCCTGGCACGTGGGAAAAGCACACAGTATCTACTAATAACAGCAATCCTATGAGCTCAACGTCTATCTTCTTACTGAGGCAACATAGTGTCCCTGCGCATGCTCATCAATCTTAGGCTCGCCGACTTGCATCAGACCACTATGCATCAGAGATCCACCGGCCAAAATCGACCGTCCCACCTATACTGATATAAATATATGTTTCTGGCTTATAATCTAAGTAATGCTATGACTGAGTTCTGAAATACTCACAGGTATATATCCTTGGTGGTGTAGAAAGTAACAGAGCTGATTGTTGCCACAACCACCAACATGCATAGAGAAACAGGAACAAAAAGCTTGATGACATGTTTTGCTCCATATTTGAGTTCTTCCTCTTCTTCTAGTGGCCACTCTGTTATGTCAGAAGGATTACCTGTTGCAGGAGCACCTGCAGGGGCATCAGTTGGTGCATGACTGACGAGTCCGTTCTCTTGGTGCTAGGAGAAAAGAAAAATTAATTTTTACAAATTAGTATCCATTGTTTCTTCATAAGGCTTGTATATTTAAATTGGTTGGTACTACAGTAAATGTACGTCGAAACTGATGTACATTTACAGATTATCATTTTGAAAGTACCATCACTGGGCAACCTAGCCAATGCTGTAATTCTTCTGACTTTTACTCAGGAGGTGTCTGGTTGCAATCTTCGTCAGGCTACTGATTACCCTGCCTGAGGTGTTCAGGGGTTTCTTAATCTCTTCAGGCAAATTCTGGGACACCACCTTAAATTAGGCCATGGCTGCTTATATCCACATCCACTGAAACTCATTATTCACTATCATCCAATCATGTGATGCTATATATGAGGGAGAGTAAGCAAATAGTAAAAGAGCTGTAATGGACAAAACAGATTTTCTATGTGTATCACTAGGTAATAGCACAGTCCAACTTCTGGTAGCACATGCACATGTTCAGAGGCTGGTTTCTGTACTCGAAAAGGGCAACCATGCTTGAGGAGTATATTACCAAAGAGCAACGTCCTGTTGTGTTTTTTCTGTAGGCAAAATGACTCAATGCAAGGGATATACATATAGAAATGTTTCCTCTTTATGGTGGGAAGTGTTTTTCACGCAAAGCGGTTCACAACTGGGTCAAGAAATTTTCTCAAGGACAAGTCATTGCAAATGACAAGACAAGACGTCACAAATGATGCTGACCAGGTTGTCTTGTTCAGACTATGTCAGAAACAATGGTGCAGCAGATAGAAGAGTTGATTTGAGCTGAGAGGATGATGATAAGACAGCGTAGCAACTGCACTAGCATATTCCCATGGTTTAGCAGAGCATAATGCTTGATCTTTTAAAGTTTCAGAAAGTGTGCACACTGTGGGTGCTCGGAGAACTGAATGACTGAGAAAAAACGAATCCAATGGCTCTGTCATTGCAACAACTCTGAGTCTTACAATATGTGGATGAAGAAGATGATATACTTAACAGGACTGTTACTGGGGATGAAACATAGGTGCATCACTACCAACCTGAATCAAAATGTGCTTCAATGTGACAGAAACATCCTAGTTCACCTTCAACCATCAGCTGGGAAAGTTATTCTTACCGTGTTCTGGGATTCTCAGGGAGTACTATCAGTCCAATTTCAGAAGCGTGGTGAAAATGTGAATTCTGCATCATACTGCCAAGTTCTGTTGAAGCTTCAGGATGCAATCCTAGGTACAAGTAAGGTGTGTCAGAAATCTGTGTGGTTCCCCATGTATTTTCAGCCAAAGCAGGTGAGTGCTGATCAGTTTCATAACCTGGCCTACTAACTCCCAGGGAAAGAGCCCTCCATACCCAGCAGGTTCCTCTCTACTGGGACCACAGCCAATGTGGATATTACAGGATGGAGAAAAATTCCCATACATGCAGGCAATCAAAGTCTCATTATTCATGCCATAGCTAGATGTTGTAGCAACTAAGCTATCCTGGTTCATGAGCATGCAGTATATCAATATCAAAGAATCATGCACTTTCTCCAAATGTAGTGGGCAACATCTGAATAGAAAGATTATTCAATTTCCTTTCAAAATTAGACTAATTTGAGCTCTATAACTTAATTAGGGAAAGAGTTTCAGCAATTTGAAAACATTAAATCTTGGGACAATATACAGAATGGCCATAAATTATTCAACACATTTCAAATTTACAAACAAACATATCTTTTTGAGATATCAGCAAACGAGCCACTGAAAATGTTTTGTGTTGAGTGCCTGAACAACAGTGGTGCTGCTGAAATGCACACAACTGACAACAAAATGGCAATTTCATCCCAGCAAAAGGCAATGTCTGTGTTGTGGTACTGGAAGACAAAAACAATTATTCGAGCACAAAGATGTTACCATCTGGAATATTGAGAACAAGCACCTGGAATGTAGTCCATCAAGCGATGGCTGAAGTACTGTAGTTTCAAGACACATGTTGCGTCCTGCATACGAAGTGTGCAAGCAGATGATTGGACTCCTTCCTTCATGAGAAGACCATGAACAGTACACATTGCTCTTATATCCTTGGGTTATTTGTAAATTGTGCACTTTCAACCAAATGTTTTCATTAAACAAGATGGTGCCCCTCCATACTGGGGCCTTACAGCGAGTGTCTCTGAAAACAACTTTTCCAAACAGATGGACTGGGAAAGCCGGACCAATCCCTTGGCCTCCTTGCTCGCATGACAGAAATCCATTGGATTACCTCTTACTTAAAGGATCTGTTATCCAGTCAAAAAGTTGATAATGTGGTTGAACTCCATGCATGAATCAACAAAGCAGTTGCATCTGTGACACCAGAGATGCTGGAAAACACATGGCATGAAATCCAGTACTGTTTGGACAAATGGTGCTCACATTGAGATATACTGAACTTGATGAGTTGTTCTTTCAGGTACAGCAAAACAACTCCCTGCAACTCATATACTCTGTGTTTTGTGTATACTTGAAATGTGGTGAATAAATTGTGGCCACCCTGTATTATTTTTAAAACACTGAAAAATCAATAAATAAGAAACTATTACGCCTACAGGCCTACCACGTGGTATAATAACTCACTTCGGTGAAAGCTCATTCCTCACCAAATTTCATTAAAATTTGAAGTAGTAGGGTTGAATTTTGTACTTTTTTGTGTTGATTTGACACGGAATGACCCAGATGAACGTTAAAGAGGTTCTAACTTTTGTATATATTGACTTTCGAACATCGTGACATAAGGTATGATTGACATTTAATATCACAAAGCACAAACACAGCAAATCTCACGACTTGGCACGTATAAATTGTGTAGTTCAGTGTCATCATGATGAGATCTTTATAAAAGTTACAGCATGGTCCTTCTCGTTCTTTAATTAGCTTCGTGGAGAAAAATTAAACAAATAAAATTGGCATGGATAGGGATAAGGAAAGGCCATTGGTCACATTCATAATTCTACTAGCACGGAAAAATAAGAAACAATATTTACATCGTCTTCAGCTGTATCTCCCCTGGGTTCTAGAGAATTTTGTGGCTTCCGCTTTCTCTCAGCCACAGATTCAGTTCTCACAGGTGCTACATGTGCATCCATCAGACTTGTATATTCTGTCGCTGATTCACATTCGCTATCAGACATTCACTGACTAATACGTTAGTACCCTGTCATCTACAGCCCCACTACTTCTATCAGCATTACACAAAAACTGATAACGCAACGCACAAAAGATTTCACATATAATCAGTCAATACCACCTCCTTACACCTCGCTTTCGTCGCGTTCATGGTCCACGACGTCCACAATTATTGCAGGATTACCAACATTTATTGACCCAAAAGTGTGCGTGTGACCATTACACAACTTCGAATTCCGCCAAGAGATGGTACTAAACGGCTGAAGTTATTGGTGCTGCCATCTTTAATGAATATTTTTTACTGGAGCAAATGTGAGAGCCTGGATAGCGCAGTCGGTATAGCGACTGGCTACGGGCTGTACGTGAAGACGACTGCGCATGTTTCTAGTTGCCAGGGGATGTTCGCTACCGGTCGCTAGGGTTACTAACAGGCAGCAGTTGGTAGCTATTGGTAGATGCATTGAGCCATTTTGCTGTTGTGGTTTTGGTGAACGGTAGAGAAGGTGAAGATATAAAGAGGGACTGCGTACCGCAGATATTTGTAGATCGTGTATATAAGTGATAGTACCGTAAGTATTTGTTGTTATGTCAAATAAGTATTAAATAAATTCGGTATGAACTTCATGTACAATCACAAAGATGTGAAAATATTGGATCTAATACAAAAGTTTCACATGGAACTGTTAACGCCGCGGTCTAAATATGTCATGTAATTGTATTTGACTGTGTGGAGATTATTACTGTTGAAAGCATTTCCCGTTTCTTCCTTCCAGTTCTTTATTACATATCTCTCAAGAAAGTCGCGGATATAAAAGGTGTAAGATCTGTGGGATAGTGTTGGCAGGACCCACGAATTGCTAAAAATTTTATTGGTGGAGATTGTGAGATGAGACCTATAGGGCAGTGTGGGGTTAGTAATCAGTAAATGTGCATGTTGTGTGGGGAATTAAAAAAATAATTTTGTCATTTAGTATAAAGCATTATGAAAGTTATAGGAAAATATAGAGTAGGTGTAAATATAGGGGCAGCATGCAGTGTATGAGGTTACTATGGTAAGCAACCAAATTTTATTGTGACTGTTACACAGTGAAGCGCACAATTTTGAATTTTGCCAATTACTGAAGTGTAGTGTACTTACCGCTTATAACACTCTCTTAATTTACAGGGAATATGGAAGCCCCTGAGTTGGGAGAATCGTCTTTCAAGCAGAAGCAGGCAGAATACATGAAGCGGCTAAGAGACCTGCATACCAAGAGGGTAAGAACCCACCTCTTTCATGTACCTTTACATTTGTGGCAGAAATACTTTCACAAATATGATGGCTGCACTAACTTCGCAGACAAGCAGCATTCGCTCAGTCTGTATAGTTCACTTGTGGACTAAATCCACAGAGTTTGTTCTTATACGTATACACAGGATCAAATTGCTGGAACAATTCCACCTCCCCCTACCAGAGCTTGTAAACCAAACAGCATAGGTTAAAGCTGCTTTGGTAGTTGCCATAATTTGTACATTGAAAGGTGTACCCACCCATTAACCTAAGATTGTTGAACAACTTTTACTGTGCAAATAAGCAATAATTGATTGGATTTACCACATAAACTCAAAACATGTAACAGTCTCATAAATATTGAATCGTTTTTTGTCACTCTAGAATGAGGCCCGCCAAATGAACCACAAAGAAGTAATGGAAGAAGACAAGCGTAAGAAATTGCCATCCAACTGGGAAGCACGCAAGCGGCAGGCTGAATGGATATTGAACAATGAAGAGAAACGAAGAGAGGCTGAAAAGAAAGTAATTATATTTCTTCATACATATAAATATGCCGACAAAAGCTGGGATTGTGCAAGTTGGTACGGTGACTAGCCACGGGCTGGATGACATAGGGGTCCACCCAACCTTCTATTCAATGAGTACCGGGGTAAAGCAGCAGCCAACCACTCACCTCCATGTCACAGTGCTTAATTAGTTAAGCTGAGGGACAACTTTACCTTTTATTTTGAAAAGTTTCTGTAATTGTCCTGAGCTCAGATTTACATTTTGCTGATGGGTGGTTTCTGTGTCATATGACACTTGTTGTGAAGTTGTGTAAAAGAGTGTAAGTTTTGCATCCTCAAGATGGAGGCAGTATGTTCCTCTTAGACATTGGTATCCATCTGCCAAAATACACAGTGACATACCATAGAAGACAATATGTATATGAAATGTTTACCCCATCCTTCAACATATGTAGTGTAGCAGCAGCATATATTGTCTATAGCATCAAGAAGCAACTAGATGTGTTTTCAATATGAGATGGGAACCATAATCACCTTATTGGAAATGCCTGGGAACATACATGACTGTTCATATGTAAAGTTGCTTGCTCAAGGTATGCTGACCCTCGGAGATGTGTTAAGACAGACTGTGCATGCAGAGAGTACACTTCCACTTTAGCTCTAGTCTAACCTGCAGACTGCTTGCTCACTTTGATATATGAATATTAGTTTGATGAGCCACAGTACCAAAACTATATTTCACTTTTATATTACTTTGGACCATAGAACAAAATATACAGCAAGCCATTATGTTTCAGGGCGAAGATTATGATCGTGTCAAGCTTCTGCATATTGATGCCATTGAAGCAGAGCGAATTGACAGGAAGAAGAAAAAGAAGAACCCAGATCCTGGTTTTGCAGATTATGAACAGGCCACTGCTAGGTGAGGTGTTATGTCTCAGTAGCTGATGTAACTGTGGTGTCAAGGAAATTATCCTGCCTATCTGACTTAAAGCATTAGTGTTGACATAAATCTATCCACAGTCTGCAGTTTCACTTCCATTTTTAGGGTATATGATTGGCAGCTTTCTTTTCACAGTAGATTGAATTTTGGTTTATCCTTTTTGTGACAGTATCCCTTATTATGAAATAACTAGACCCAAAAAAATGTCATTAGATAACACTGTAGCAAAGAAGTCATCTTTCTAAATTTTCTTGATGTAGTCCAAGGTGTCACAATGATAACCTGTCTTCTTCCTTGCAGACAGTACAATCGCCTGGTGAACAGCATGAAGCCTGACATGGAACAGTACAAGTACCAGAAAGAGAAGATGGGAGAAGCATTCTATGGTGGGCAAAACGTCATCCTGCACGGTCTCCACAAGGACACAAAGGAAGGAATTGATCACATGGTTCAAGACTTGGAGAAGCAGTAAGTAAACCACATTTCACAGCAGTCATATACTAGCTTTGGTATCATCGCTCAGTACTTTCACATCTCACAACAGTCATGCACCATGGTCTCATGGGTCAATACTTATGTCACATTTTTCTCCACAGGATTGCAAAACGGGAGAAGTACAGCCGACGGCGAATGCACAATGATGATGCTGACATAGACTACATAAATGAACGCAACATGAAATTCAACAAGAAATTAGAACGGTTCTATGGAGAGTACACTACTGAGATCAAGCAGAACCTTGAGCGTGGCACAGCTGTGTGAACAACCCTACTTTGTAAATACTTTTGTTTAATAAATTGAAATATTTATCTCTATTTCTATAAATTTATATACATGTTATTCTCACATTTACAAAATATATAACTTTCCACATGATGGCCATTGCAATATGGAACCGGTTTCCTGCTGGCCATTCAGTCCTTCAGTCCTGCTGATCAGGCATCCTCCCCTGAAACAAGAAGTAAACACACCTACTTGTTGCCAAGCAAGAGTTCCAGATTTTCCATCCTGCCAGATTTTGGGTTGACAACATGATTGATTACTCTCAAAAGACCAATCGCCACATTACACTGCATTGCATTCTCTGGGTCGAAAGTTAGTCATAATGACTGTACGGTGCTGAGGGTGTGGAATGTCAATGTACAACAGCTTTTTGATTCCAGCATAATAAGTGCATGAGAGGTTATCAGTTGGTTTATGGAGACTGCTTGTGTTAACACTGTACATCTGCATTGGTCTGAAAATGTTTTTCATTATTTGTGATGAAATTTATTAATGAAAATATATATTTACATTGAAAAGTTAAGATCTCTGCAAGAATTATGGAATTTACACCCATCATCTGGAATGTAAATAACTTTTTGTCAGATGAATTACCCCAGAAAATTATTCCATACTTCATTAAAGAGTGAAAGTAAGCAAAATAAACTGATTTCAGAATGTCAGCGTTGCTGATATGCTACTTAGCTTTGGAACCAACCGACCAATATGGTTTTTCAAGTTTAAATGATTATCACCTTGTAAGCCAAGGAATTTTGTGTTATGGACTCTTCTATATGTTTATCATTATATCCAGTGTTGAATGGATATTGTGTTTTTTGTTATAAATTTTATTATCTTTTATCTAGATTCAGGGAGCTTGATTGCAGAGAAATGTTTACTAACATTTGACAGAACTTTGTTTGATATGCAAAAATCATCTAAATTTTTACTAAATTACATCAGTGTCATCAACAAATAATATGGACATTGATGAGGTGTTTAATGTAGGAGGGAGATCATTTATACAGATTAGGGAAAGCAAAGACCCTAAAATTGACCCATGGGAAACTCCATGCTTTATTGTTCCCCAGTTTGAGTTGGTACTTTGGGTTAAATTTTATCGTCTTATTTCAGTTTTCTGTCTGTTAGCTAAGATCTGGAGCAACATGCTCTTTCTCACTGAATGCCAAAAAAAAAAAGTAATTTAGTTAATACAATTTTGTTATTTTCACAGTCAAAAGCTTTTGCCAAATCACAGAATATTCCGCCAACATGCATTTTTTTGATTAACAGATTTTAATAACACTGTCTGTTAGCTTAAAGACTGCATTTTCAATGGATAATCCTGTCCTGAAGCCAAACTGTTCCGGGACTAGTATATTATTAGTCCTCAAATAATATGTGCATAACTTTCTCAAGTACTTACTAGTGAAATTGGCCTGCAGTTTAACTAGTTTTGTCCCCTTTCTTGTACAATGGTCTTACTAGTAAGATCTTATAACAATCTGGGAAGATCCCTGTCAATGGGTGACTGATTAAAGATGCACACTTTTCAAATTTTACTTGTTATTCGATCATAACCTGACAAGTTTTACTCTGAGGGAACATACTTTTTACCTGTTCAGTGGTTGGAATGATCTTCATACCAGGGAATTTTCTAGGAAATGCCTCTTTTAAAATTGAAATGACATCACCTCTCACTTTCTGATGCAAGTTTAGATCTTCAGTAATTGCCAGAAAAAAAAAATGTATTGAAGGCATCAGCACTTACTTCTGGGTCCTTTATGTCTTCATTTATAAGAGATGGTATTTGTTCAGCCAAATGTAATTTTCCTGTTTTATGTTTTATTATGTTCCAGATTGTTGTTTATCTGATTTTGCTGTAAGCCCACAGTAACGCTGCCTTTTAGCCTCTTTTATATTTTCCACCTTTTACACCATTCTTCTTTATGATACAAAAGTCCTAGCAAGCTGTAGAAACTAGCCATCCATGTTTGTGTGTCCTTTGCCAGAAAGTGGTTGCATTTAGAACAATCTTGTCTGCTTCAAGAGTATCAGCTGAGACGATGCTGCTTGTCAAATCTGCTTTGATACTAGTAGACAGAATGAATTTCCACAGATCACCTGTAGGTGAAGTATAAACTTTAAAGGACCTTATTCTGAACTTTGTAGCTTTCAAGGGATATGAATGTACTGCTTGAATCTCAGCCTGCCCTTCAACAGAGTCTAAAATTCATGAAGGGATATACTTTCCTCTGACCTGAAGAGGCTGCTTAATTTGATGTTTAGGTGTTCAGAATAAGACTGGCTTTGAACATTTTCTTAGTTCATTATTCATAAATGTGAAAATTGTGACCTGTACCAAAAAGAAAATTTTTAATAAAACAAATTTATCATTGGCTCTTGGTGGTTCCCATAGCATCTGATGGCAAAATGCATGAAGTTCATCACTATCGACATCTTTCCAATTGAGAACATAGAAATGTGTTTCTGGTTCATCCTTGCAAGTCTTTATGAATTCCATAGCGTACTGCTTTGTTTCAGTAACTATAGTGTTTATTGCTGAATCATCAAAATATAGCCCGAAGGCCTCCTAATGCTTTTCTAGCAAGCTTGACTTTATAGGACCACTTTCAGAAAAGTGAATTTTACTAAGACGTTAAGAATCAAACTTTTTCCAATTGCAAATCACTCTGTTGTGCCAACTGAGGCCTCAGTACTCTTGCATCACCCATTCTTTATCAATTTCCTTACATTCTGACTTCGCCATAGAAGAAACACACTCTTAAGAGTTAAAAATATCTACTTCAGTTCCTCCGTCATACTTACATACTTCATCATCGCTAGGCTGTTCCGTAACTTCCAATATATCACTTGTTTCCAGGCTACAGGATGTACTAGGAACAAACAGCTTGAGCTGGTTCAGAGGTCATGAAACATTCCACATGCCTCATATGAAACTTCAGATGAAAGAACCAACACATACAGAGCAAATTACATCTTTGGAGGTATGCTTCAGCTAGTTTGACTCTCCTAGGAGAGGGCAGATCAGTGACAAATCTTGTGAACCTGCAGTCAGTGAGGGCATACTCAGGATGCCATTGATAGTGTAATTCAAATGCCGGTGAGTGCACGCTTGAGTTACCATCTTGAGGGGTTAAAATTATCCTCCTATCCACGGCTAAGTTTTCTGAGTATCCATTCTTGTTTTCTAGCCAAAATTCTGTATACATATTTATCACTAAGTTTTGTACATTTCATCCAAATCCAGTAAAAGGGTTCACTGAAAAATGTCTGTGGATTGTGGATTTCTTTAGTTCACAGCTTATGAGTATTTAGACAGTAAAATCGCTTCTATTAATATAAATTATACCTTCTGAACTCATTTTTTCCAAGTCCTCTGGAAACATTCTGATATGCATAGTTATCTGCACTTTGTAAACATCTGATGTCCCTTCAGGACAATGATATCAGTGATACAGTATTCATCAGGCAAAAAGATGTAATGGAGCTCTGTATGTGAGACCACAAAGAGCAGTACTTGCCTGGTTATGTGACAAGTGTTTGGTGTAATGGCCTACAAACAAGTCTGTGTCCTGGATTCAAGATTTAACATCCAAGAGGATCATGGGATGGACTGCAGCAGTGACAGCAGACAGTCAGACAACCCAACTGTGAATGACCCCTAGAACAAACAAACAAACCAATTACATAAGATTCTGAGGTCATATAACAGGATGGCTTGGACAAGAATTGGGAGTAGTCATGGTCTATTCTGCATGTCATCTTAAGTGATGTGGTTTGGCTTTGGTCTAAATGCTATCATGTAGAAGGAAGATTTGAGGTAGGACAACCAAACAAATTATAAAGTTCCTAACAGTTTTAAGTGGAAAAAAATACTTTTACTAACTGTATGTCATCTTAAGTGATGTGGTTTGGCTTTGGTCTGAATGCTATCATGTAGAAGGAAGATTTGAGGTAGGACAACCAAACAAATTATAAAGTTCCCAACAGTTTTAAGTGGAAAAAAATACTTTTACTAACTGCTGATATGATTAATTTATACAGGAAACAAGTGTGTCAGGGAGTGACAACATTCTGTTCCATAACAAATTGTATGATGATCTGCTGGTTCAATGCCAGCTCTGTCTCATGTGACCTGTACTCCTTTAAATCATACTATATATTATTAAACATTCATCACTTCAAAGAATGTTTCAAATAACATTTACGGTTTTTTGCAGTATAGGCTACTTTTATGAAAATGAATAACGTCTGAATTGAACTTAACTTAAAGAACTTGTTACAACCAATTTACTTACTTATGGAGCTTGAGCCGCCAATTGTGAAGCTACTCAAGAATTTGCAAGCATTTTATGGAACCCAAAGGTTCATTACCATGTTCACAAGAGTCCTACACCGGTCCCTATCCTGAGCCAGACCAATCCAATCCATAACATCCCATCCTATCTCTCTAATATCCATTTTAATATTGTCCAGCCACCTATGCCTTCGTCTTCCCAATGGTCTCCTTTCTTCCAGCTTTCCCACCAATATCCTATATGCATTCATGCCACATGCCCTGCCCACCTCATCCTCCTTGACTTGATCATTCTAATTATACTTGGAGAAGAGTACAAGTTATGAAGCTCCTCACTGTACAGTTTTCTCCAACCTCCCATCATTTCATCTCTCTTCAGTCCAAATATTCTCCTCAATACCCTGTTCTCAAACACCCTCAGTCTATGTTCTTCCCTTAATGTCAAACACCAAGTTTCACACCCATACAGAACCACAGGCAAAATTATAGTTTTGTATATTCTAATTTTTATGTTTTTGGATAGCAGATGAGAAGACAAAAGGTACTGGACTGAATGGAAGCAAGCATTACATGGGTTCAATCTCCTTTTAATTTCCTCCTGAATCAGGGTTTGATTTGTTATCGTCGTTCCCAAATATCTGAACTGTGCCAAATTTTTAAAACATATGTTTCCTATCGTTATGTCATGATTTTGCCCTGCATTTTGGTGATGAGACAGCAACATATACTTAGTTTTCTCTGTGTTTAGACCTTCTTGCTTGTGTCAATTAAAGTCTGTGTGTTTTTCTTTATGGTATCTATATTATGACCCAGCAGATTCACATCATCAGCTAGACCAACAGCTGATGTGTCCCGTTTACTTTCAGTCCCACCTAGTTTTCCTGGACATTCCTAATAGCATATTCTAAAGCAAAGTTAAAAAGGAGTGGCAATAAAGCATCTCCTTGTTTTAGACCATTTTGAATAGGAAATTTATCAGACAACTGTTTACCTATACGGACTTTACCATACATTCCGTTTAAACACATATTAATCAGCCTAACTAGTTTCATGGGTATCCCAAACTCTATTAGAATACTGAACAATGCTTCCCTCCTAACCGAATCATAGGCTTTCTTGAAGTCTACAAAGAGCTGATATATTGTCTCATTGTACTCCCATTTTTCTCTAATAACTGACGAATGATCCGTTACATCGAAATCCACATTGATGATCCCCAATAATTTCATGTATGTATGGACTTATTTTTTTTTTCGAGCATGGACTTAACCTTGAGAGAAGAATATTGTATAAAATTTTGTATGAAGTCGATAGCAGTGATATCCCCCTATAATTACTGTAGTCAGTTTTATCACCCTTCTTGTGAATTGGTACAATAACAGACTCCTTCCACTGTTTAGGCAATTTTTCCTTATGCCAAATAGAAGTAATTAGCTTATGGATCTTAGAACATAATATTTCACCTCCTGCTTGAACAAGTTCTGCCAGAATTTGATCACTACCTGCAGAAGGCAAAATTAAACTTTTAGTGTACACCCCTTAATACTGATTGTACATCCATTTCATAGTTTTGGAGATGCAACCTGGATAGACAAACACAATCTTTCCTGTATCTACACTTCATACACTTTGTACACAGCTGATCAGGAGGGCCCAGACAGATAGATGCAGAACATCAGCATTTCAAAATAATTAATTTGGCCCCCAATAACCTATAATCACAGAAATCACAAACCAAAGTGTTTCTTGAAATGTTCTACATATAGCCAGACATCAATTTAAAATTTAAATTACATTATTCATCACCATTAACAGACTGAATTGTGAACATATCTCCATGGACCTACAAACATGCAACACAATTCATGTTCTCTCACATTGATTGCGTCCTTTTTCACTGTTAACAGCTGCATTATATTCTTGGCCATTGTTTGATATTGCACTGTCAGTTCTTTGTTTTCCTGAATCAGTATGCTAACTATGAAGAAATTGTTCTTTGGCAAAGCTCCCATTTTGTCAGATGATGAAGCACACCTCCACACACAAAAGATGCAACTGAAACATGACACATACTTACTTCTGGCCGGAAAGTTGTGGTGTGTCACATGAATGTGAATGTCCTGCATCTCCCCTCCAGCTGAAACCAATATATATCACCCCATGTTATGTTCAAGCAAATGGAAACCAGCACTTACTTCATCTGAGGATATCCATTAACAGAATCAAAGAATTCAAAACTTCTAATATCAAAGAAAACTTAAAATCCTGAGACCTATGATGCCTGAAGTTCACTAAAATAGTATTTGAAAATTCAATTCATATCTCAATGTGTTTCCACTACAAAGACCAACCAGTTAATGCTGTGTAAAGGGCCAATTAATTCTAAGAATCATATGAAATATACTAAACAACACACACCATATGGAAAAAATGCAGAATTTTGTAACGTTAAAATGCAAGTGGTACATATGTATATTAACTGCTGTGCTTGAAGGGGTTTTAGAAGAAGGCTCTTCATCAGTGTTCATTCTGTTTGTGTTTAATGTTTCTCCCAATATTTTGTCATTCCCTAGTGTCCTCTGCACTGCCCATACCATATCAATATAAATGTGGTTAGCTTACCTGTATATTATATGAAGCGTCATCTTCCTCTTCATGGGCTGGAGACAAGACTACATGAAGCACAGCTGTACAAGGTGTCCATAATGGCATTCTACAAACTACATGATTCCTTGTAACATTTGCAATTGTTCTCCTTAAATTTTGTGACTTACATTCTGTGAATATTTGTCTAAACAAAGTTCATTTGGCAAAAAGGTGTTTCAATAAAGACTTTCAAAATCCATTTTCAGGGCCCACACTCAAAAAAAAAAAGATATGTGTCCTGTCTTCCCTGTTCCAAAACTAATGTAACGGTTTTAAAATCATAAATTCTGTGTTGGTTATGAACACAATTACGGTATACTGTACGAGACTACAATGCTTTATTCCCCAGTTATAGATGACAGCGAGCTGGAATGAATGCTAGACCTGCATCTACCGCACACACAATAGTTAGGTTACAAGTAAGTTACATGCCACACCAGACATAAAAGAGCACTTTCCGAAGTTCTTCAGGGCCAGTAATCTCCTTCACTCTTTATAATGCTTACATCATTGCACTTTAATTTTACTAGCATTTTTTTTTTCCCCTTGGCACTACAGCCCCAGTGGGCCTAGGCCTACCTCCATGAACTTCTCCGTTCACTTCGGTTTTTCGAGATCTTACACCTATGGTAGGACTCCTTGGGCGAGTGATCAGCTCGTCGCAAGGCCTCTACCTGTAGACAAACACAGAAAAATGCACACAAACATCCACGCCCTGAGTGGGATTCGAACCCATGATCTTGGCTTCCGAGCGAGCGAAGACAGTGTATGCCTTACACCGCTCGGCTACCGTGACTGGCTTAGCATTCTTTAAGAAACTGAAATATATACTGTAAATATACCACAACAGATGATATCAAAGTAACAATGTAAGGGCCTACACGCTCAAATACATCTGACTCCCGTAATCCACATATTTAGTGTAAGGTTTAGCAGATGCTAAGCCCATATTCATATCTGCCAGACTGTGCAACAGCGCAGGCAATTGGCTACCAGTTTCTCGTCATAGATGACCATTTTCAATCCCAGGGCAGGTTTTTCTCTGAGCACTTCAGTTTTTTCCGCACCAATTATCATTCCACCACTGCTTCATAATCATACATCATCAGTAGATGGTACAACAGACTTTGGTACAAATGGACTCAGCCTCACACCTAATACAACAGACCCATTTCAGGATTCCGTACCAATCTCACTCCACTTGTACAATAGACCCAGCTGAGGCTGCAATATCAAGGGACTCAGTCTCACCCTTCTACAATAGAACCATTTCAGGAAGCAGTACTAAATGACTTCATGTCATGTCATGTCATGAATTTTTAAGAGAACTTCATATGCATCATTAACATCTACATGCTTTCATGCACACAGAAAATTGCAAATTGTGGAAATTTTAAATAAAAAGATTAGTTGCCTTATTAACGGGATAATGCAAGAAAACATTTTGTTTGCTCCGGGTATCACCAGCCACAAATGTTCGGTGTATCACACTGCCAGTTTCATACAGTGCAGATGAAACAACCATCAAAGACACATGCAAGATGTCTAACATCTGGAAAATAAATAGTCTCAATGTGAAAGACAGGAGTAGAGATAAACAAGTACACTGATGTTCACAGCCACTACAATAAATAAACACTACAAAAACTGATACGGTAAATCTGATACATAAAAGGCCAGTTTGTGATGGGCTCAAAGAGGTAGTGGAACCTTGAGAAAATGTTGTGCTGTCACATATCGCAATAACAGGATACGGTTACTCTCAACTCCCAATATCTAACAGATGGCATTAATCATCAAAAGGCAAGTGACATTTATGTAAGCTCTGCCCATGTCAATGAAAAGAGGGAAAGGCAGAGGATGAGGAGAGATGAAAGGTATGGGAAAGAAATATGTGAATAAAGATGGGAGAAGACAGAGGAAAGAAAGAAAGCAGACAAGGTGTTAAGATTCAAAAGAAATGATTCTCCGCAAATTGATTAAACTCGCGCATGGCCAGATGACAGGATATCCTGAGATCCTTAACAAGCAAGCACATCACTGATATCACCTTTGTGTTGGCACTTAAAACTTATGTCTATAATTAAGCTGTATTTAATCTGTAAACAATAACAAATGGACAGACTTTCTGCTGAATTTATAATAGGCATTACATTAGTTACATTATAAAATATAAAGACAAAAAACATGCTCCCACAGTTACACTATATCGATGAAGAAATGTTCTTGATACAATGACATGATGGACTGTTCAACATTCAGCAAAAAAGCTTTCAAGTTCTACAATCTGGATCCTCTTTTCTTAACCAAGTCACTTGGCAAAAGAAAATAAATCATACTTTATATTTACTTAACTCTGACTAATTATTGCCTTACAGAAGCACCTCTGCAGCACTGTATGTTTCCGACGCAATGAAGAAACAAGAACGAGAACAGAAACTGCGCCTGTTCATATGAACATTTCCTCTATATGGTCCAACCACAGAGATGCTTGGTGGTCTCGCAGGATGCACAAACAGTGACTGAACAAAATCAGTGCACTTGGCATTGGCCAGGTACACTATTCATTTAGTATAAGGAGAAGTGGGAGGTGATGGTGTGTTTGAGCCCTTGTTCTGTTAGTCACGTCATGTAGTTAATCACTCCACAATTCACACGCTGGTTCAGTAGGAGGCAGTTTTTCCACATGCATTACCACTGGGTTGGGTGAGAAGGTCTTTGAAGGAATGGGATGGCAATAGCATGTGTCAGTACCTAGCAATAAACGTGGCATCTCGCATGTCTCACACTTGTCCAGCAGGGGATGGTTTTGGAATGTACACTGTGTGCAGGTCCAATGGGGACCATCTGCTGAGTCTCCATGCTGAAGTCTTCTCCCAGGTCCTGCAATGTAATGAAACAATTTATTATGTGCAAGGTCCTTCATTGCTTTTTCATAAAAGATCTGGCTTAGCACAAGTAAATCTGAGGGGCTATATATATTGTCTGGTGCATTCATGATTTTCCTTGCGGGACAGTACCTTGAAGTAGTGTGTGACCATATTTCTTTTACTGCTAGTAGAGTGACTAGTAGGGGACTAAGTCCCTTGTACTGCAGCCACTTCTGGCCTATTGTACCAGCCCCAGATGATAGGTGAGGGTGATTGTGGAGCAATTGGTGGAATGAAGATTGGCAGGGGAAACCGAAGTACCGCCACTTTGTCCACCACAAATCCCACTTGACCAGACCCAGGATTGAACCCAGGCCGCCGCGATGGGAAGCCAGCGACTAACCGCTTGAGCTATGGCACGATCTAGTGTGACCATATACTTCCATTGAATTTCATACAATCTAGAAGCTGAGAAAATGACATTCCATATAAACTTAGGAGTACAGTACTTCTTCGGTCTGTCTGTCTCTCTCTAATATCACATGGCTGTGACTAATAGTACACATTTCTCATGTAAGCCCTTCTACACGACAATGCCAAATGTATCTGCCTCTCAGCCAACCATGCAAGAACATGACATAACACTACAAAATGTCGGAGAGCAGAACACATAGTTCAACACCAGCAAAGACATCAGTCATTTGTTTTTGTGAAGTGTATCTCCTCCTGAGAATGTACAGGTTTCTGTCAGTTGCTGAACACTGGAACAATGATGAAGTCTGCCTAACTGGATAGTTTGGACACCTACTGCCACTCAATCCCTTCTTCCTGAGAATATCACCTCTGCAGTTTCATTCACAGATATGGTCTCCATGAATTACCAAAATTTAATCAAAATCATTAAGCCATTTTCAAGAAAAATGATGTGTTTTGAGGCCTATCTGAAGGGCCTCTACACGGTGGAACAGAGGAAACGCGTGTTTTTTCAAATGGCTAGTACTCAGCAAGGGTGGAGTTGACAACCTTGGGAGTGAGCTGGCAGACAGCACAGACAATGCAATTTCAGTAGCCATGGCGCGTTGGAATGTAGAGCATCGTGTGTTTGCTGTCGAACAGTTTTTTAAAAACAGTGATTCCGCAGTTACTATCCAACATCTTTTCTGTCGAAAGATCAATATTGAGCGTCGAGGAACAATTCCAGATCATAACACTAGACTCCGATGGGTGGAAGCATTTAGAACTACTGCATCTGTCATGAAGAGGAAACCATCTGGCCTTCCCCATTCAGTATGGACCCCAGAAAATGTTGACACAGCAAAAATGGTGGTTCTTACTAGCCCCAGACGTTTCGCTATGCATCAGGCATTAGCTCTGGGTATGTCACATCGTTTGCTACATTGCATTGTATACGAAGAGTTACAATTTCATGCCTACAAAATAATGATTGTCCAGCAGCTGGCCGAAGGGGATTTTGGACAACGCAGAAAGTTTTGTGAAGAAATGCTCACCATTCTTACTGAAGATGCTAACAACATGGTAAAGATAAGTGACAAAGCACATTTCCATCTGAATCGATTTGTGAAGAAACAAAACTGCTGGTTCTGATCGGCGGAGAACCCAAGAGAGGCACACCAAATACCTCTCCACAGCTCAAAAGTGAGTGTGGTGTGGTGTTTGTAAGTTAGGGATCGTTGGTCCTTACTTTTTTGAAGAGGGGGAGATTGCAGTTATACTGACTTTGGCGAGCTACGTCAACATGTTAAACAGCTTCTTGCATCCAGAACTCCTAAGGCATCGGGTAAACATGAGACAAATGTTGTTCCAACAGGATCGTACCCAGCTCACACGGCAAGAGCATCGACAGAAGTTGTTCAACACATGTTCCCTCAACACGTGATCTCCCATTTCAGTGATGTTTCTTGGCCCCCATGCTCCCCTGATCTATCAGTTTGTGGGGATACCTCAGGGCAAGAGTGTACACAAACAGACCACAAACAACCCAAGAGCTGAAACTTTCCTTTCGTCAAGAAATCGCAGCTGTGCCGGAAGACATGTTGGTGAATGCGATGCAGAATTTTGAGGAGAGGCTCCAAATGTGTGTCCAGCAAGAAAGACGTCATCCGACTGACATTATTTTCCGTACGTAATGTAAATTAAAAAAGCATTAAAATACCTTCTTTATCTTGAAAATCAACAAAGTTATCCTTAATACGTGTTTCCTCTGCTCCACCCTGTAGTTTCTGGAAATAGAATGTTCATATTCACTAGGCCCTGGCATATGATGGATAGACTCTTAAATACCAATTACAAACAAAAATCTGTCCAACTGTTCAGGGGTTAGCAATATGTAAACCCATAAACACTGAGAGAAGTCCAAAAAGGNCTCCACCTCTCAGTCTTCAATTCACAGAACTTACTTGGTGGAGGGGGTTGTGAGGATGGGGGAAAGATGAAGCCCTGCTGCCCAGTGTAGATATTTTTGTAAAACTCTTCATCTGTTTCCCCAAGTGGCACCTGCACATCCAAACTGAGGTCCACCTCTTGTGTCATCTTCTTACATTCTTCCTGCAGCCTCTGGATCTCCACTCGTAGCTCTTGTACTTTCTGCAACTGTAAAAAACGTTCACAATTAGAACAAGTGCAAAGTTTCTTTTAAAAACTGCATTTTAACTTATGTTTGTGTGAATATTTAAAAAAATTATATTTTGATAATAATACACTGAAGTATTAAACATGTCACTCAAGCAGTTCTACCCTGACAGATTTTTTTGTGGTTTCCTGCTTTCCACACCCCTTCTAATCAAATACTAATCAGTCACCACTGAACACTATATAACCTGAGCTCTTGAAAGCACTATTAAATAAACAAATACGATAAGTACTGTGAAACACACTTCTATGCTTTGAAGAAGGAAATATTTACACAATGATCAGTGGCCTCCGTAGTCTAGAGCTAACGTTCCCACCTCATGACTCGTAGTACGCGGGTTCAAATACCCGGTGGAGGTCATCGAATTTTTAAGGGCAGAAAAATTCAGGGAACAAGTCCTCCGGGAGGGGCTTTAACCCGTGGGTCCCGTGTCGTAGCTTTACGGCACGTAAAAGAACCTCACATCTCCAAAGGAGGTCACTGAGCCAAATTAACTGACGTTTCCCGCCCAATAGCAGTCTCTAATACCTCTGGTAGATGGGGGAAGCATTATAGATACCTTTCAGCTAGTAGAGCCGGTCTCGCTGGCTGAGCAGGACTGATGGTAAGCACCAGTACCGGTAGGATATAGAGACTGGTAGAAATCATAGACAGAAGCACAATGGACCAATACAGGTCTCAGTGCATGGGGTAACCCACCCTCTCCAATAACTAACTAACTACACAATGATCAATTTATGACCATAGCAGCGTCCCATTTTTATCTATTACTGTCATACATTCAGCACTTCTAACCATTCTGTCCGAATGTCACCACTGCTGCAAATGCCAATCAGCGATGTTTTTAGAACCTGGTGAAATCTAGGAGACAGCAACAGGAGGTTGGAAATGTGACTGATGAAAGAGACAAGACATGCTTCCAGGCTGTTTTCAGGGAAACTTTTTGGAAAAAGGTCACTTGAAAGACTAACAAGAGATGGGAAAGCAGGTTGTGTATATGTGAGGCAGACAGAACTGGCTCAGTAGTGTGTCCAGTGGTAGGCTTAGATATTAGTTCATTAGTGAGATGCGTCTTATGGAAAAGAGACTGTGAGAATGGGAGGTGAATAGAACTGGCTCAGGATCATGTCTAATGACAGATGGTATTAGCAGTGTTATACCTTCAGGTTCTATTTGCTACTAGAGGGTTTGTTCAATAGTAAGATGGATCTTAGAAAAATATGTTATGAAGACTGGGGTGGCCTGGAACTGGTTCAGGATCATGTCCAATGGCGAGCTTTGGTATTATCGGTGTTGAACCTTCAGGTTCTGCTACCGGAGAGTTAGTTAATCAATAAGATGGATCTCAAGGAAATTGGTTGTGAGGATGGGAGGTGGATGGAAATGACTCCGGGCTGTGGTCAATAGCAGGGCTTTAATATTAGTGGTACTGAACCTTCAGCTTCTGCTAAAATAGTTTTGGTTAGCTAAGTTAAGCCTGAATCATACAGCTGAGCACTTCTTATCACTGACTTTATAGAAAACCATAAAAATCTCACTACAGTGCAGTATTAGTGTCATACAATACAGTCTGGACATGAAACTACCACAGAGGACACGACAGGTGGAGACATGGTCTGTTTGCATCGCTGCCGATATTCAAGATCCCTTCTCATCTCCTGAACCTCCCTCTGCATCGCACGCAGGTTCTCTTTCTCTTTCCTCAGTTCTCGCTGAAGCTTATTCTTGCGCTCCAACTGCTGCTGCAGAAGAACTGAAACATAACCAAACACTGTGATGAACTTCTGGAAGAAAGGCTTTTGAGAATAAGGTGCTGAGGAGAAATCTGGAGAAATACAGAGGAAGTAACAAGGGAATGGAGAAAACTGCATAATCAGGAGCTTCATAATTTGTACTCTTCACCAAATATTGTTAGGCTGATCGAATCAAGGATGATGAGATGGGTGGAGCATGTTGCACACATGAGATAAGAAAAACATACTGTAGCATGTGGACCTGTTGCTAAGTAATAACAACGCCCGCTGCTAGACAACACGTTCCTAACATGTGCCAATGGACTGGCTGGAAAGTGTGTTTTCTGCATGGTCCATACTGAAAGCTATGCATGCAACAATGGATACAGCAACAGAGAAATGGTGTTTTCTGTGGAGTCCATGCTGAGATAATATTGTAGCATCATGTTGCACTTTTCACTTGGTGTTTTTAATTCTACAGTCTTATATGAAGCAGTTGAAATCAAGACAAGGAACATAACACGATGGGGTACACAACACAGCACGGAGGATTACAAACATGCACATTAGGGGAACCATACATCAGCAACCAGACATCAACCCAGAATGACAGCAGTTTCCTCATCCACAACTTTTAACACCTGATGATGACCAATTCGGCAAAACATGTAATGAAAATTTTTAAAATATCTAGCTTTCATTATGTTTTAACACATTTTTGCACATAAGACTGTAGAATTAAAAACATGATGCTGAGATGTTATAACCAGGACACTTAGTAACAGAAATTAGTGCAGATGAGTACAGTGGAATGAAGCGAGTTGGTTGGCGAGCAGTCTGTCAGAGGACTGCTGCAGTTTGGTCATTGTGAGCTGCTGCTGTTAGAGGCTGGTAGCTGAGGCACGGGACTAGTTCAGGAAACCAAAGTAAGGGGAACGTCCTCCACTGAAGGCCATTACCAGGCAACAACTGTGAAGACACAGCAGACTGAAGAGATTTAGTGTGTGCTGTAAAAAACTGTAAAACATAGTCATGAGTCTTGTGTTAAGTGTGCAATAAATCCAATCACCAGTCCAAACCCTGTCTATAGTCACTCATACATGTGACAATATAAAATGATATGCTAGAGAACCAAAAGGATTGAGCAGGCTGATGCAGTGGTAACATTCTAGATTATTTCAGAGATGATTGGTTCAAATCTCAGCGAGAATGCCAGCTATCCTGACTGATGATTTTCATGGTGTTCCTCAGTCTCTCCAGCCAGATGCTGGGATAGTACCTTGCCTAAGTCACAACTGCTTCCTTCCAAATCCTCTCCAATTCATTATTCACCCTTCATCCTATCACTCAAAGCTATATGGTCTTAAAAAGAAACTGTGATAGTGTACACCAGAATCATTTGGTTCAGGATGGAGTTCAGTGTCAGGCCGTTGTGAACATAGTAATAAACCTCTGGGTTCCATAAAAGACACAAAATTTCTTGTGTAGATATTGACTATTAGCTTCTCAACAAATTTCGTTACTAAGTGGAATTCCTTTTTAGTGTGAGGTAGACATAAACATTAAACATGCTATAATTATCCTTGTGTCACAACACCAATATGTAAGTAGTACTAACATCTGAAATTGGAATAATACTGCCATGCAAATATTCTATGAGGCCGCCATGCTGTTTTTCTCTGTTTTACTTCGGAGATAATGACTGAATGAAGTTCCATTTTTCGAAGGTCTATCACAATATAACTGATGACCTTAACCGTTGCACAGTTATGCTAGTATTGTCGCCACCAAGGAAATGCCAAGATGGCAAGTCAGATATGATGCAGGTTGCTAACAGGGTTCTGTAAGAGGTCCATGCTGATAGGCCATTGAAAAGCTTGCAAAATTTCATTCTGGTATTTTTTAAGGAAAACAGAAAATAAAATTTACAACACCTGAAAAAAAATTCGTCTGATGACCAATATACACAGACATGGAATTTAAATGGTACAATTTACCCGACTTTAAGACCAGCAGGGTTTGATCTTTTGAAAACCCCCAAAAATAACTTTGGAAACAGCTATGTTGCATAAATTTCTAGTCCTACAGATCCAAAAACATTATCATTATTTTATTATATTTTTGAAGAATTTTTTTACTTAAGTACAGGCCCTATCCTCAATAACTGTGTTCAATATAACCACAAAGCTTCGCATCACGGCCATGTTTGCAACTGTCAGCTTACAAACAATACTTCATACAAAATTTGTAGGTAGGCTCATGATATATCTCAATACGAAATGTCACTTGCCTGGCTCCAATGGTTCAGTACTTATTGAACAAACAGCAAGGACATTTTCTCATGGGTGCCATGTTCTTATTTTACAATAAAAAAAAAGCATAGTCAAAAGCTATATACCTTTCGAATATTCTTTACCATACAACATACCAGGACTCCATATTATGAACTGTTCCCAGCTCACTAGTTAGTGCGTCCACCATAATGTTATTCATTCATTTCATTTATTCAGCATTCCATAAATCCTTACATGGTTTTTCCAAAACACCATGGATACAGAAGTAGTCAACATGAGTAAACATAATTACATACTGCATATTGCTGTGGAAAACTAAAACGATGACAATGGGGTGGGGTGGCCTCCAATGCCAGACATTCTTACCAAGTTTCATTAAAATAGGCCAAATGGTTCAGAACTTGAAATGGAGGGAAGCACATTATGATCTGATACGCCTAAATGAAAGGAAGGCGAACTAAAAACGTGGTCTGGGGTTCCGCCAGTACCGGTTTATTGGACACTGGAACATTGCAAATTCATCTCGCCACAATATTTACCTTGGCTCTGGCTGGTCTGGCATTCCGCTGTCCATGTGGGTGTGGGCTACTAAGTTTAGCGGCGTGAGGAAAGGGCAAGGATGGGTTGGTGGGCGACACATGTTCAGCTGTTCCCAACACACTTTAATGTTATCCTCCACACATTTAACGTCCTAACAACAGGTCGGGTTACTCACGAGAAGCAGTTCTGAAGATCTGAAGATCTTTGACACGGGTGCGCTACGAAAGTTAATAACCACTTGATGTACACATCAAACTGAATCTACAGGCCGTAAAATTTCAACATCATGTTCACAAAAGCCATCCATTTAAACATTATCTTCCGACTCTGTCTCTCAAGTATCTTATTTTTTAAGTTCTCGAACAAATATATGGTTTAGTTTTTTATTATTTTTTATTTCCCTTATGCATGTTATCGGTGATGTCCCTCACACTTCGTTCTTCATTTCACGGCCCTAACGTATCAGGTCAAGAATACTACCGTGTAATTTCTCCTCGTGTAATTTTCTGTATCTTCAATACATACACATTTGTATTACAACCACGGCGTCTAGGAGCCACTAGCCAGCATAACATCGAACCCTTCTTCCTAAGCTAATACTAGTAGTCGCTCTGCTGGTGAGGAAACTCCCCGCATTTTACTAACTTTTTACGCTACAATGCCACGTTCGTAAGAAACTAATTCAAAGTCCAGTAACATCTCATCCCCGCGACCATAAAGACTTGACCCAGCGCACCAGCCATTATTAACAGGGCCCTACGTGTAACTTCATGGCTGCCTTACCATAAATGTTGGCAGAAAAAATTGTGCAACACCTTACTTTAAAAAAATCACGCAGCGCTGGTGTCTTTGCCCCACAGCCGTCTTGCAGTAATCACAGCTGGCCGCGAGTAGGCGGGGTGCTGCCGAGGAAGGCCGTCTATTTCTGTCCGTCACTCCGATGTTAAAAATTAACTCATTCTGGCATGTACAACACACGACTGCTTTCGTTCCGTTCGTCTTGCTACTCAGAAAACACGGACTTCATCAACACATATATACGTATAAGTGTGATGGCATCACGAACAATGTTGCAAAGGATAAGGAAATACATTATTAACTTGTGTTTTTCTAAACATGAATGTAAAGTTATGGCGGTGTTTTGAACTACTGAAGAGTAACACGTATGAGCGGAACTGCAATCGAAGTAGAACACTTAGTAGACTTTACACATTACCAGTTACTGTTATTGCAACCGCTGACAACAGAAGACCATCGAAAGAGTTAAGCAGCATTATCTGCAAGAGGGACAACGATGAACGATTCTTACAGGTACACTTTTCAGCGAGGTGAGGTTGCATGTCTTCGGTCTCGTATGCAGACATACGTATGGTGTGTATGTTGTACACAGTGAGAAACACTGCGCTGCCCCAAACTGAGGGCAACAATCCCACCTTTCAGCAGGACAGCACCTCGCACCACTACAAAACCACTGTCCTTGATTGCCCTAACCATTTAAATCACAATGGTAGCTATATGCACAACGTTCATTAACGTTTAAGAAAGGCCGCGCCACAGCTAAAGCGGTTAGTCGCTGGCTTCCCACCGCGGCGGCCCGGGTTCGATCCCGGGTCTGGTCAAGTGGGATTTGTGGTGGACAAAGTGGCGCTGGGGCAGGTTTTCTCCGAGTACTTCGGTTTCCCTTGCCAATCTTCATTCCACCAAGTGCTCCACAATCACCCTCACCTATCATCTTGGGCTGGTACAATAGGGCAGAAGTGGCCGCAGTACAAAGGACTTAGTCCCACCCCACTAGCAATAAAAAAAATAAATGTTTAAGAACTCGGCAGTCTATGTCGGAATACAACTGTCATCGCCTCGAACAGATATTTGCTTCGGAGACACTGAACTTGGCAAAGGTAACACACTCTTGACGTGAGGCAAGACTTGGAGTATTGGTTACATGTGCGACCATCAGCAACAACGCCGACACTAAACTTCACCGACTGCTTAGGTCAAACTGAGGCCGCTGTTTCATTCATGTTCCTACACTAAATACATGGAAATTATTTTCTTAAATGTTGGGGATGCCGGTGCTCAAGGCTTCGCCTTTTCTGGGTACTGCCATATTACCCTCTACCCCTCTCTTTCCTATGTCAACCAGGCCAAAGAGATGGTCGCTGTAAAGGTTTTCACATGGTTATCACCATAATCACTCATGTCAGCAGAAATCCTGGGCAACTGGACAGAGAAACAACATATAAAACGCGATGTGGCAGGAGTCGATCCATGGGACTTCTTTCCATAGCCTCAGTACAGCATGGCCAACTATATCAGCGCTGTATAAAACACTTCACATAATTTCTAAGATTTTAAATTGGACAGTACTTCTCTGGCGCCTGGTAACGCTTGAAGAAGAAAAAAATAATAATAAAGGGCATAAGTTAACTACAGCCCCTTACACCAAAACACTGTTGTTATTTCCGACTTAAGGCTGTGCATGTAACTTTCGCTGTATATGGGCTAGCCGTCTTCAAGACCGCACCAACGCATGCGGGGGGGGGGGAACTTGGGAAATAAACCAGTTCTGGCGAGTTCGTGCTGTTGCTGCTTTCAGCTTTTCAATTCGTGAATGCGAACTTCTGATGATATTATAAACAGAGCAAAACGGATGATTAAAAAATATAAAGCCGGGTATCATAAGTGCGCCTTTCCGGGTTTTACGAGATATTTGTTTTCATGTATAATTACCCCTTTCTTGATCGAGAGTAAGAGACAGGTTGCATGACCATTATACATATTTCAACCGATCTATATTCTTATATTTTTCAGACCTATAAATGCACGTAGAAGGTAGCTTCGTTTAATTATTACCGAGAGTGAAAGACTTCAATACTTCCCCGCGTATTTGGAAACCCACTGTTAACTGTTCGGCAATATTCGCGTCTGTGCGAAAAACCACAGCAATGCTGAACGTATGTATGCAGGGCCTGACAATTCCTTTTTAACTGTCTCGAAAACGGTATGAGTTAGCTGACAACTTTGCCGCCATCTGTGGGCCGATTGTCTAGATGTGGGAGCCTCGGCCTCTTAACACCCTTATGCGCCTTCACGGCCTCTTACAGGGGCATCTTTAACTTTAACGTTACTTTTAATATTTTGTGACTTACGTTGGGCACAGGGGTAGAAATGAAAGCAGGACTTCACGCACAAAGTGTCCGTCATTTTTTGTCTTATTGTAAACAAAAACTGGTATAACTGACTCCATGGAGCTGAGTCCTTCTTGAGAAGCCGTCAGTCTTAGCCCTCCATTGGTACCTATCTTCAGCCAGATCAATCCAGCCCATACCACCCCATCCTAGCTCTCTCAGATCCGTTTTAATATTATTCTCCTACCTACGTCGAGCGAGGTCGTCCTGGTGGTCTTCTGGCTTTCCCATCAAAATCCTACATGCATTACTCTTCTTCCCCATGCACGTTACATGCCCTGTCCATCTAATCTACCTTGTCTTCATCATTATAATTAATTAACATGGGGATTCATCATTATAATTAACTACACTTGGCGAATGAGAGTCATGAAGCTTCTCATTATGCATAAGCGAATTTCATTAAATTCTTACTACCAAATTTCGTGAAAATTCGTTCAGTGCAACCCTGGTTGTTCACTGAGCAGGGAATTTCTCAAGTATCCGAATGACTTATCAGCTTATTAAGGTGAACTCTGCTCCATGGAATGTGTGAGTTCGAGGCTCTTTCATAAGAAACTGACGGGTGCTCATCCGACAGCCCGATCCTGGCCGGTGAACACGTGAATAACCATTTGAAAGGAACAAACACAACGGATGTTCATATTTCAGTTCATTACAACATGGAGGCCCACTAAGCCTCATATGCAATGGGTACAGGCTGTCCTGTACGACAACCACTCACATCGATTTATAACCACGGCATGCGTTCTGTAGACCGTTACGGCATGACGTGAAGTCAAACGTTGAACTGACACAAAACACTGTCCCAGAATTGACAGGCCATTTTCGCGGGGTCGCATGGCATGTTAAATAATTTTGGGGCAAAAAGATTTAAAATTCGGCTCCTCAGAGCGCTGAAGCACTTGGCTCGCCAGAAATAGCGGCCACATTTGGTGTTGGGGGGGTGCCAGCTGGCGGGCCAGACCATATCATATCACAAACTGTGGAACTGTTTGGTCAAGGTGAAGGCGATGTATGCAAATCCGCAGTCATATGACCAAATGTGTCAGGCGACTGGCTACGGGCTTCGACTCTACGGCTATAAGACATCAGAACCCACCCCGATATTACGACATTATCCGTTAAGCACTGCTTTCAAAACGGTGGTTCACGAACCCACTGGGAGTATGCTAGTACTTCAGGAGAATGCATTGTGTGCGAATACTAGTTCTACGAAAATAATAGCCGCAACATTAGTCAAGCATTTTGTCACTGACTTCCCACCGCGGAGGAACGGGTTGGAGCCCGGGTCTGGTCACGTGGGATTTGTGGTGGACAAAGTGGCGCTGGGGCAGGTTTTGTACGAGTACTTCGGTTTCCCCTGTCAATCTTCATTCCACCAGTTGCTCCACAATCACCATCATATATCATCTGGGGCTGCTAAATTAGGCCAGTAGTGGCCGCAGTACCAAGCGGACTGAAGTCTCACCCCACTAATAATAATAATAATATGAAATACACAATAAATTGGTAAATGTATACCTAGTGTGACAATTACAGGGTGTTTTCTTTCTTTCGTTTAATTATCTCAAATCCTAAGGCTTGCGGAAAAGTGTACTGGATATAAAACGTAAGATTAATTTTCTCTTCAACTACTGTTCGAAGAATTTTTTGCAAATTATACAGGGAAACGTGTACAGGTCTTCGTGTCCGATATTGTATCCAGTCTTAAGCACAAATGGAAAGTGACAGTAAATTTTTTGTAAACCTCCATCAATATTAGAATTCATGAAACGCCGTTTAGCAGTTCTTGCGATGTCACATGTACACGGATAGCAAGACAGACATGGCGAAGGTACGTATAGGTGCATTTTCATTCCTGACACATCAAGAAACAATGAGAGGGGGCGCAACTGTTCCAACTGCATACTTCCCTTCAGTATGGAAACGGTCTGTGGGGTTCAGCTGTGTAACACAGGCCAACGGAACTGGAAGTGAAGAGAGACATGCCAGTGATACAACCTAAGCGGTCTGGAACCACAGCCACTAAGTGGATCACTGTAGCAGTCAGATTACAGTCACTTATACTTACGGTCATATTGCCATTTTGATTACTGAAACCTGTCTATGAATATGCGCATGCCCGCCTGTTACCTAGACCTTTTTTCATTTTGAAAAATAAATGTATATACAAAAAAAGGCCTAAGCAATGCCCATCCAGCCCTCTATAGTAAACTTACAAACATCTTATTTTATCATAGTGATTATCTAATGATTTGAGTATATCTCTTAACTTAACTCTATTAATATTTTGTACATTTATTTCTTTTTCTCCTTTTTTAAATTAATGTAGGAATTTTATGAAGTAAAACAAGTCCTGCACAAATCTTTTGTCCTCTAGGCTTAAGAGCTCTGTATCCTACTTAGGGTATTCTTCTTTTTTGCTATTCTCAGATAAAATCCCTATCACTGTTGCCCTTTGGTTCTCATAAGGTTTACAATCCCAGAAGAAATTCCTCCTTTTGCAGTCCGTCATCACATTTGCATTCAGTTGTGGGTACAATCATAATTTACTTAAGCTTGCTCTCATATGGTTTATTGACACGAAGGCATGATGGTTCATTTTTATCTCGCAGAACCACGGAGATGAGCCATTCCTGTAGTACCTTTCAAAGCAGCTTTCTCCTCTGTCCGTTTTGGTGTTTTGACAGAAACTGTGAAGGACCTCTTTGCCTTTCTTTTCCCTTGGGCTTCAAGATCTGATACTGATAATAGCAGCTGACTATCTCTGCTGTCTTTGATTGATTGCCTCTGAGTCAGATCTCTCAATAACTTCGACTCCACAGTGCCCCAGGATCCAGTAAAACTGGATTCTTTCCCCTCACGATTCCAGTCTTTCTGTTTTGTCTTTAAGCATTTGAGTAATGTGCGATGTGTTGTTCACTGTACATGTGTTACTAATTCCTCTTCGTATGCTTTCCACATCTGAGAAACTCGTAAAATTTTTCTCTGAGGCTACCCTGACTGTCATTAAGCTGGACTGTGATGCTACCTAGTGATACACATAGAAAACCTATTACATCCATCAGAGCTGTTCCACTTCCATTTGTGACCTATTTCCTGACTCTCCCTCGTACTTTTCAATGAAAATTAAAGGCAATGAAACCAAAGAGGACAGGAAAACTAGAGTTACACAGCCCCTATTACTGCAGCTATTGCAGAGGCCGGAGGACACCCATATGGTATATGAAATGGGCTTATTGATACAAAGTCCAGTGGTAGACTTCTGTGAAGACTGTCATACTTTCTCATATGGCTTACAAAAAAGAATTTCTTAAAGAGTTCAATATACTCCAGTGTGGAAAGAATTATGATACAAACATATCGTTAATGTAAGATTTGAGGCTTTCACGGCGGTGACTATGAAGAAAGCAGTCTTCTGGGATTTGGCACCGTGTATATGTGGTGTTAACCGACGTTTTGGAGGAACGTATCGCCTCCATCTTTAGGGTAGAAGAAAAAATATAAGAAATCTGCAAGCGAAGAGACCGTGAGAAACGGTAAATTTACCGTTCCTCCGAAACGTCAGTTAACACCACATATACACGGTGCCAAATCCCAGAAGACTGCTTTCTTCATATCATTGATGGCTTGTGTAACAGAAATACATGAAAGTAAACATGCTACACTAAAACGTTTTTGGCCTATTTTCCTTATTTTGAAAAAATAAAAGTAGGCTAATGAGCTCACCTTGCTGCCTGTGTCTGCATACGTATCCCCCCCCCCCAAATAATTNGGAAACAGTTCAGTAAACACATTCCCCACAGCAATGAATACACATGCAACAACAGAAGAATTGTTGGCTGCATCATTTCCTATGCTGTCCACGTCACATCATCAGAGAGTAGGTGATTAGTTCTTCCCACAACTTCTTTAATTTAATGATATTACTCACCATGTGTGAAGGACTGCAACCGCTCCTCCTGTCCCCCCTCATGTGCTGGTGTGCAGGATGTATGTATGGGTACTGCATGTGTCCGGAGAGCTGATATGCTGCCCACCCCAGCAGGACCAATACAGATCTGCAGCTGTGACTGAAAGCCTTGTCGTGGATCATATGAACATGTGGAGTATGTCAAACTGGAACCTGCGGACCGGATGTCAATGGGAGGCTGTGGCTCTGATGAAGGAGGACGCAGCGTCAAGTTGACTGAGGTGTAGGAACGTGCCTGCTGAGGCGGAGCACACAGATAATGTGGAGATGGAGAGACCTGAAGTGCAGACCTCATACGAGCACTGGGGCTCGTACTATAGTTAACATTGACTTCATAGTTGTCAGGTTGCTCCTCACCACTGTGATATGTCACCACACTAACAGTCCTGTCTCTCACATCACGATCATCAACATTAGCCAGAAACTCAAAGTTATTTGTCTGTGGACCAGGCACACTAGTTTCATTACTGAGCACAGACTGGTCACATAGCGTGGGGGAGTTGTCTGGGGGCTCTGCTGACATCTTCAGTGCAACAGGGTAGCTATGCAGGAGGTAACCCTGGTTCTCACGTCTCAGGATTGCCTCACAGGCATTCCTGTCATGGGCATTCTGCAAGTACATCAAACACTATACACAATGTCTCTCACACAACAAAATGTGCCAGACGTTATTTTGTCCAAAATTCAATTGGGTCTCACAAAATATTTCATGATGCATGACACAACACTGCCAAAGTGGAATTCATGAATAACTTCATACAGGTACTGAAGCATCAAGGTACACTGTCCTTCCTGAACCATCATAACAAAAGCTTAGTAGTTCTGACTACCTGACATCCCCACACTGAACAGGGTGGCGTACTAGTAACACTCTAGACTTGTGCTGGAGGGGGGGGACATGGTTCAAATATTGTCTGGGACATCGGCTATCCTGAGGTTTTCATGGATTTCCTCAGTTGCTCCAAGCTAATATCTGGATAGGTCATGACTGGTTTCTTTCAAATCTTTTTCCAATTCATCAGCCACCTAACACTGAGGGCTATACTGTCAAAATAATGAGAGCATCATAAAAATCACCTACAAATGCACATATCCTTATAAACATTTTTAACATTGTGTAAGATTTGAGGTTTTCGCGGTGGTGACTATGAAGGAAGCTGTCTTCTGGGATGTGGCGCCGTGTAGAAATTGTGTTAACCGACATTTCGGAGGAATGTATCACCTCCATCTTCAGGGTCTTCTACCCTGAAGATGGAGGTGATATGTTCTTCTGAAACGTCGGTATCACCTCCATCTTCAGGGTCTTCTACCCTGAAGATGGAGGCGATACGTTCTTTCGAAACGTCGGTTAACACAATTTCTACCTGGCACCACATCCCAGAAGACGGCTTTCTTCATTTTTAACATCATCCTCCACCTCTCATTTCATTTATTCCAATCTTCCTATTACAGTTTTACATGCAATGAATTTTTAATACCTTACAAAAGTGTACTGTGACTTCCATAACTAAGCTTCCACAGCAAAGCATTGCTTCACAGGAAATCTTCTTGCTGTATCCTCACAATCAGCACTTCAGCAGTCTAAACTGTACTGCACAACCACATAAGTGTTATGTGTTACACATATCCAATTCCTCCAAACATACTAAATAATTAAGATATCAGTAGCTTATTTGGTTCCAAACATTCGTAACTATGATATATTAATACAGGGAGGATTTTTACTTCGTTGGGCGGTTCCAAAGCTCTGCGCTTCTCAGATGCAGGTGCGTCACTCGCTGCAAGGCACATACAAATTTTGCTGATAAATCAGCATGCCTGACAGCAGATAATGTTTGGAATGAAGGGAAGTTCTACCTTCATTCAAAGATCAGAGGTGTTGAAAATGCTCTCCCTGTATACATTCTTCACACAGAAGTTCTGATTTACCCTCTGAAGCTGTTTGGCAGGAATATTTTCAATTTCCCTACAAATATTTTCTTTCAGTTCTTCTGTTCAGGGGTTACTGTTGTAAACTATGTCCTTCAAACAATCTCAGAAAAAAATCACAAGAATTAAGATTAGGTCCACATGATGGCCATATGCCACTGCTGATGATTCTGTCGCAGAAGACATCAAACAAAGGCTGCATAGACAAATGTGCAGCATGGGTAGTAGCTGAGTCTTGCTGAAACCGGCCTTAGAATCCGATAAGTTTGCTTATTTATGTATCCCTGCAAGCGAAACCATTCTTCATCAGAAAAGAATGTCAATTGCAGATTGATCTCACCTTCGACGACAGGTGCAAGGTGTGTGTGGATTACTGTTCTTTTATAGGACCAAAGCTTCAGCAATTTGTGTTGCCATTCTTGAACTAGACTTTGACAGTCCAGTCTCTTGAGCTAGATTTTCAGTGATTTTCTAGGTGTCTGTAGAAGTCATCTCAGTCTTCTCAGTAAGCACTCGGCCCTTATGGCTTTGTTTCTTGCCTATTAAGAGTCTGGTTATTCTAAGTTTATTCACTGAACTGTGAATATTTTGCCTGCTAGAAACTCCTTCATCACGAAATCCGCATTTCATGAGGTGTCATACAGAAATACACACTGCTCTAAAGTATACCGCACCATGACATACCGCACTACTCAGTAACTGTAACTGAAAATATATGCCTAATGGAGCCGGTAACTGCTGCGTACTGCCAAATCATAAACAAACTCCCACACATGAACCGTACTGCTCACTGTGAAACATAATGCCAGTCCATAAAATCAATAACTTCCCTTAATTCAAAATGTTATCGACAATCAGGCATGCTGATTCATCGCCAAAATGTGTATGCGTCTCACAGCCAGCAATGTACCAGTTGCCATGAAGTGCAGAGCCATTAAGAAACTCTCTGTACAACAATCAATGTTCCTGGGGGTAAAGCGGCCAGGGGCCTGAAGCTGACCACTCACCATCAACTAGTGCCGAGGTCAAGAAAATGTGGATCTATAGATCCATTTTCCCATACATCTTCATGGTGTAGTGCTTAATTAGTTAAGAATAGGGACAACTTTACATTACCTTATAACAATCAATGTTCACAGCATAATGTATTATCGTTTTATTTGAAACTACATTTCAGATATTGGACTCTTGTCTCCAAATTCAGGCAAAATATACTGCCGAGCCCAATTAACCGTTGATCCCAGTCTCCAGAAGACAGGGACTACATCTATCAGTTGAGCCCTATAGAGTACAGGTTTCTTACCTAAGAATGAAGACAGAGTTTAATCTCCAAAATGTCATTTCTAATAAAAAACTGAGTGATGGATAATGTCCACAAAATTGATCACAGTATTGGCTGATTCGTTACACATAATTTACACCAATTTACTTACCTCAAAGTCAACATTACCAAAGTACGATGACAAAATACTGATAAAAGTGAGATTCCTTAAAGAAAATGTGGGCTATGGGACACTGTAATTGACTTCTTGCAGCTGAGCTTTTCTTGAGAAGCTGCCAGTTGTGCAGCTACCCAAGAACTTCCAGGGATTTTATGGAACCTGAAGGTTCAATACCGTTTTCCCGCCACTGGTCCATACCCTGAGCCACATCAATCCAGTCCATACCACCCTCATCCTATCTAAGATCCATTTTAATATTGTCCACTCACCTAAGCCTTGGTCTTCCCAGTGGTCTCGCTCCTTCTGGCTCTCCCACCAATGTCCTACATGCGTTTCGCTTCTCCCCGTTCGTGCTACATGCCCTGCCCATCTCATCCTCCTTTACTTCATCGTTATTATTATACTTGGAGAAGGGTACAAATTATGAAGCTCCTCATTATGCAATCTACCGTCACTTCATCTCTCTTTGATCCAAATGTTCTCCTCAGCACCCTGTTCTAAAACACCCTCAGTCTATCTATGTTCTATGTCAGAAACATGTTTCATGCCTATATAGAACCACAGGAAATAATACAGTTTTCTATACTTTACTTTTTATATTTTTAGACAGCATACAAGACGACAAACGTTCTGCACTGAATATTAGCAAGCATTACCTGAATTCAATCTCCTCTTAATTTCCTCCTCAATCAAGTTTTCATTTGTTACTATCATTCACAAATATTTGAACTGTACCACATTTTCAAAACATCTGTTTCCTATCTTTGTGTCATGATTTTGCCCTGCATTTCTGTGATGAGACAGCAACATATACTTAGTTTTCTCTTTGTTTACTTCTAGACCAACTTCCTTATTTGCGTCAGTTAAAGTTTGTTTTTTTCTTTATGGTATCCATATTATCAGCCAGTAGATTCACATCAGCAGCATAGACCAACAGCTGATGTGTCCCATTTAATTTCAGTCCCACCTGGTTTTCCTGCACCTTCCTAATGGCATATTCTGAAGCAAAGTTGAAAAGGAGTGGCAATAAAGCATCTCCTTGTTTTAGACCATTCTGAATAGAAAAATTATAGACAAATGTTTATGTAGGGCAAAGTCATGATATAAAGATGGGTAACAAATGTTTTGAAAATGTGGCACAAGTCAGATATTGGGAATGACTATAATGAATCAAAACCTGATCACTCACTCATGGAGCTGAGCCTCTCATCAGAAGCCGCCAATTGTGCAGCTATTCAAGAATTTCCCAGAATTTTATGGAACCCAAAGGTTCATTACTGTGTTCACAAGAGCCTTCCACTGGTCCCTATCCTGAGCCAGATCAATCCAATTCATACCATCTCATCCTACCTAAGATCTATTTTAATACTGTCCACCCACCTATGCCATGGTCTCCTCAGTGGTCTCTTTCCTTCTGACTTTCTCACCAATATCCTACATGCATTCTTCTTCTCCCCCATTCATGCCGCATGCCCTGCCCATCTCATCCTCCTTGATTTGATTATTCTTAATATACTTCGAGAAGAGCACAAGTTATGAAGCTCCTCATTATGCAGTTTTCTCCAACCTCCTGTCACTTTATCTCTCTTCGGTCCAAATATTCTCCTCAGCATCAGCATCCTGTTCTCAAACGTCCTCAGTCCATGCTCCTCCCTTAATGTCAGAAACCAAGTTTCACATCCATACAGCACCACAGGCAAAATTATAGTTCTTTATAGTCTAATATTCCCATTTTTAAACAGTAGACAGGAAGACAAAAGGTTTTCGACTGAATGGTAGCAAGCATTACCCAAATTCAGTCTCCTCTTAATTTCCTCCTGATCACGTTTTGATTTGTTATTGTCGTTCCCAAATATCTGAACTGTGCCACATTTCCAAAACATCTGTTACCTATCTTTATGTCATGATATTACCCTGCAAAGTACGATGAGATGGGAAAGGAATGTAGCACGAATGGGGGAGAAGAGGGATGCATATAGGATATTTGTGGGAAAGCCAGAAGGAAAGAGACCACTAAAAGGACCAAGACACATGTGGGTGGACAATATTAAAATGTTCCTTAGAGAAATAAGATGGGATGGTATGGATTAGATTGATCTGACTCAGGATAGGGACCAGTGGAGGGCTCTTGTGAACATCGTAATGAACCTTCTGGTTCCATAAAATGCTGGGAAGTTCTTGATGGCACAATTGATGGCTTCTCAAGAAGGGGTCAGCCCCATGAGTGAGTGAACACCATTACCACTATTAATTTCATAAAAATTCTTTCTCCCAGGTTTGAAAATATCTTCCCTGCTACTCCTATATTGAAATCTAACAAAAATGTCATGTGGTACACAGATAGTTCATCAAATACATACTCTAGTTTCTCATATAAGACCTCTTTGTTATTATCATATTCATCCTCAATATGGACATGTGCACTGACAACAATATCATACCTGTGACCTACAACATCCCATTATGAACAAACTCTATCCTCTTAACCCTCTTAAACTACTTATATGATTCCCTTATGCACAAAAAAAAATGTTCCTCTGTGGCAATTCAAAGAGTACACAAATACCCTGCCATATAATTGTTCTCATGGTCTCAGAGTGGAGGAGACAATGTTTGTTGCTCTATAACCAAGTTCTGAAATATAGGCAGCCTTCTCGTCTCCATATACCGTTTCACATTTAATACATAGCATTAAGAACTTAAGTGAGAAGTTCCTTTCCCTTTCTTACCAACATAAAGGGTCTCTGGATTACATACAAATAAAATGCATCCACAATGTTAGCAGTGGGTGGTCACTACCTGTCTAATACACTCACTGACGACTCTGTCGGGCACAGCGGGGAATTTCTGCTTCAACTCGTGGAACAACTGCATGATGGAAATGTTGCTGCAGCCCGAGTCACAGCCTGCCATCTTCTCTGTCATGCATGGTCGTCAGCACCTTCATCCTCCTGGGGGCAGGAATTCACACACTTTAGCAACATCAAACTGGTGTTTTTTAACCTGCACTCATAATAAGTAAGATGAACCCAAATACTCGCATGCATGATGCTCCATGCACTGAACTGAATACCTGAGGATTGGCTTCCCAGTCCATCATGGGGAAAGAGGTGCAAACTGGATATGAGAATCTTCCAGGGAGGGGGGGGGAAGCAATATGGTCAGGGAAGGTAACAAATGCCTGAATTTCAAAATAAAACTGAAGCCCTTCTTGTAGTATAAACACCAAAATACCAGTCTGGCAGATCTGGCCTCTCACTTGAAGCTCACAGCCATCAACATGCATATATATTTCCTTGACGCTACTCCAGTTCTTAAATTTTACTTAATTTAATTCTTAACAAATTGTATGGGCTGCTAAGGGTATTCTGATACCAGAACAAACCATTTCATTGCACTCCACATTGTCTGTGAGCACTTCACTTTTGCACATAATTTTTTAAGTTTCTAAAGGGGCAAGTCCGTTCTAATATTTTGAGTGCGCAACCCTCCCCCCCCCAAACGCGCTCTTACGATTCGCCGCCAATAACGGCAGTGGGCCCTTACGAGCCTTGAACTGCGGCCCTCCATCAATTCTGCTGGGGATATTCGTGACGAACAGCAGTGTCATTTTGTTTCTCAATGCAATTGTGACGCGAGCAAATTCATTGCCAAACTGGAAGGAAGGGCGGCCAAGGTATAATGTAACAAGGGCGGATTAACTAAAAACGCTATTAGCGAAAACACACCCTCGCGTGACCAAACACCCTCGGGTCCTCGCCACAATCCCATCAATGCTCACTTCTAATTATATCCCGGCACGCTTCGCGGAAAGTTAATTCGACAGATAAAAATAACGGATTATTTCGGGGCTGTGACGTGTGGGCAAATAAATTTAATCGCCACTATCAGATTTACTCGTAGGTTGTTTAATGATGCTGGACAGGTTATTAAGAAATGCGACTTGAGAATTATCAGGAATTTGTATTTATTTCTGGTTTACTACATGAAGCTGTCAGTAGCCCGGTCGGGTTGGTAAGATTAGCGAACAATGAATTGAAACGAATGTGGAAGGACGCGGTAATGGCATGATTCGACGATCCATCCCGAGAATTTTCGTAGACCTGAGAAAACGCACGTAAAACTTCAGTCAAGCTAACAGGCGTCCCGCCGAGAGCTTAATTTGGTACCTCTCTGAAAAGGAGTGGGAAGCGTTACCGCTTGAGACAACTTCCGAGCGATGAAACGGAGATACAAACTGTCCATGGGACGACTGAAGAAAACTGAGAAAAAATCTCAATCAGTGAAGCCGCTGGAAGGGCCCCACAACGCCACTACATTCCTGGCAGATTTACAACAGGTTCGAGACTCACAGTTCGGGAACTCGTGGCACAGTGGCCCAGATGTATCATGAATCCAGCAAAACTGGATGCTAACAGTATATGCAAAATTCTGGGGCTGGGAAATACAAACACTATTTCAGTCTTCACGCCTCTATTAACCATATAAAATTACCGATATACTACCCAAATGTGTATACAGCCATTGCAAATAACATCCATGACTTCGTTATTGTTTACCATCTCAACACAACTACTATCAAAATCTCATTCCTATTTACTGTGTATATGAGTGTAATGTGTAATGAGTTTATTGGGGCACTATGTTACAAGCCGGAAGGTCGCAGGTTCAAGTCCCGATGAGGTCACTGGATTTTTTTTTTCAATTGACCTAATCCTTCCGGCCGCACTATGGCCCTGGGGTCCATTCAGCCTTTAACAGTAATGAGTACCAGGAATTAATTAAATAAATTTCCTGGGGAGTAAAGCGCGGCCGGCGCGTAAGGCTGACAACCTTACCGCCATCTTTGAGCCGACTGTCTAGATAATGTGGGACCCTACACGTCTCACAACCCTCTTGTGCCTCCATGGCCTGTTACAGTGATAGCTTTACTTTGAGTTTATTAGTTTTAATAATATGACAATGTGCTACAAGTTTCGGCATATAACATCATCACCAGGTGGTATACATTAATAAACATTTTCAAACTACTGTATTGCGCTTTATATGAATTCACTGTATTAAAGTATAATAACAATTACCAATGTATCTGACTTTCCACTTAGTGTATACATTCAACATTTCGTCTGGATTAATACAAGTCTTATAAGTGTATTAAAACTGGAACAAAAGTTATAGATCCAAATGGATGCCTTGAGATGTACATAATTATACAGGGTGCGTCAGAAAGGATGGTTGGATTTCAAGCGACTGTTACGCCGCGACGGGGGGAGGCGTAGAGTGGGGGGGGCCGACCGTTGGGTCGGCGGGAGAACGCAGTTTCAGTTGGTAACATGGAGTGGTCGGGTGCACAGCGTGCGTTCGTCGTAGACATTTTTTAAAAATAGTCTGTGATCGCCACTCAACGAGCCTTCAGCACTCATTTCGGCTCGGACGTCGCGATAGGATCCCTACTCGGAACACAATTTTGTGGTGGGTGGCTTCATTTCGTGCCACAGATTCGACCTAGGTTGAACCTAAAGTCATCTCGCATCGCAGTGACATTCCTTGGCCCGCACGTTCGCCCGATCTTGAGCCCTGCGATTTCTCCCTTTGGGGTCATTTGAAGGCCTCGACGTCTGTATCAGAAGCCAAGGACGTCATATGGATGATACTGTATTCAACAAATAAACTGCATGTATTGGCGAATCTGATGGTAACAATAAAATTTGGATTTGATGAAGCCTACCAATTTTATTGTCCTGTGAAATGCATCCATTCTTTCTGACGCACCCTGTATTTATAATAAAATAAAATAAAAATTTTAATTTATAAAATATATTGTGTTATGATGTATTAAAACATTCAGGAAATGAATTAAAATTATTGTTCGTTACATTTATGGTATCTATCATGTCTCAATATCGTTATATATTAAAAAAAAACACTATTTTAGTCCGCAAGAGAACTATACCGACCGAGAGACCGCCGCTTGTTGGCGAAGTTTAGTGCCAATTTTTGCGGATAGAGGGTGTCGCGTGGTCAGCGCAACGAATCCCCACGGCCGTTAATTTCGGTTTGCTATAATGGAGCAGCTTTTTCCTTGAAATAGCTCCTCGATCATTATCACGTGGCTGAGTAGACTCCGTTCCAAACCCACTACTTCTCAGAAAAAAATNGTGTGATGGCTGCACATGACGCTTCGATGGTTTCTCGTAGCGTTCAGTGTAGCTGGTTTTCGTCGATAAACTTCATCCTTCAAGGTTCCCCATACTCGAGAGGTGTTAGGTCTGGAGACCGTGTTGGGTACTCAATAGCACCTCTCCGACCTATCATCGTCCAGGTAGAGTGTCATCCAAGTACGCCCTGACATCTTGATGCTAGTGAGGTGGAGCACCATCTTGTTGTAGGTAAAATCTCTCATCTCCAAACAGCTCTGAATGGCAGGGAAAATCGATGTCTGAAGCACATCGAGATACACCTGACCAGTGACGGTACCTTCAAAGAAGAAAGGACCAATCAAACCGCACGATGACAGAACACACCACACGTTAACAGTCAGCAGATTCACTTCCTTGCCCATGTGAACGACTTCAAATTTATCCCGAATATGGGCAATTGTTCGACGTGTTGGTGGCTGAGTTCCAAACTCATTCTACCATTGTCGTTGAACTTCTTTAATGTTTTCGTACTTCCAGTACCACTTCAATACAGCCTTGCGTTGCTCAAAGAACAACCTTTCAGCCATTGTTGCTGCCGTCTTCTGCTCGCAGCGCACACACGGCACAACACTCATGTGACTCGTACCACCTTCACCATCTGATACGAAAACATTACACTACACTACTGTGCAAGAATTTTAACTACATGCCATTTTGTTCCAAAGATATTGACTATCAAAGAGTGAGTACATTTTTTTGGAACCTCCTGTATATGTGCCATTTATGTTGGTGTCTATTAGCACAATTACAGCATTATAATATATAGTTATTTACAGATATTGTTTTCATTGTGGTAAGGCATGTTTTATTTCTACTCCTATTTGATTTCCTTATGGAGCAGCTGCACTGTTCGGAATCAGTTGTTGCGATGTTCTATTAAGTTTTATCCTATGTTTTCCACGATCTGGCTTTCTTTATTTTATGGGTTTGTCCACCTCTCATGTTTCTGAATCTGGCTTCGCTGTGTGTTAGATTTCAGCTGTCATGACTTCAAGACCATGTTATATTTTTTACAGTTAAACTCTGTATTTGACACTATAAATCATACAATTCATAAAAAATTACAGATCTTACTGGAAAACCCATGTCCTTCAATGTTCCATACAAGAACCCCATTCCATGTTATTGCCAATGAAAATGGTATGACAGAATATAAACCATGTAAGAATGAAGAGGTATAAGGGATGTGGGGATAAACCGTCCACGCATTTCCAATGTCACCTTGTGCCAGACAAATGCCAGAGATTTATTTAACTCCATTCCTGACAGAGACCAAGCGGAATGCTCTTCTGAACATAGGGTGAAGAATGGTCTAGTAGGAAATGGACCATGAGAATTCAATGCCATAGGTTGGTATTGCATCATACAGCATTTTGCTGTTGATGTTCATTTAGCAAACACAGTCATACACTGTGGGTTCAGAATTAGTGGAGTTTTAGACTTTGCCCATCACCCGGTATTACAGAGAACACTAAAAAACGCAACACTTTGGAAACTGTATCTGTTTCCATCATCAGGTGTTCTCGTTAATACCATAAATTGGACAATGAACTAAAACCCAGTAATTCCAATTGTTATATACCATCACATGAACCACTTAGAATCTACATACACTGTGGGTGTCTGGTTACAGTGTGGTGATGAAGGGAACACTTGGAACTGACAGGGATAGGAAAACATGTATAATGAGTAGGTTCATAATTGTACTTATCGCCATACAGTATTTGGACAATTTGGACATGGAGGATGAGATGAATGAAGCATTTTTTTTTTTGCCAGTGGGGTGGGAATAAGTCCCTTGTACTGCGGCCACTTCTGGCCTATTGCGCCAGCCCCAGATGACAGGTGAGGGTGATTGTAGGGCAATTGGTGGAATGAAGATTGACAGGGGAAACCGAGGTACTTGGAGAAAACTTGCCCCAGCGCCACTTTGTCCACCACAAATCCCACTTGACCAGACCTCGGGATCGAACCCGGGCCACCGCAGTGGGAAGCCAGCGACTAACCGCTTAAGCTATGGCACTGCCCTAATGAAGCATTTACCATGCCAAGAGAAAATAAATGCATACAATATTTTGATTGAAAAACCAGAAGATAAGAGACCACTAAGCAGACCTAAGTTGGAATGACAGTATAATATTAAAATACAGGGTATGAGGCTGTGGATTGGATTCATCTGGCTCAAGAGAGTGACCAGTGGTGAAATGTTGTGAAGATGGTGATGACCCTCAGGTTTCCATAAAAGGCAGAGAATTTCTTGCCTGGTTGAGTGTCAATTTGCTTCTCAAAATGGACTCTTCTATGGAGTTACTTTTCATGAACACGTATTAAGAAGTCACTATATTTGAGGTTAGTAAATCACTATCCAGGGGTGGCCAAACTTACCGACCACTGTAACTATATTTGATAGCTTTCAGAAGTGCCAGAGCAGCAAAGTGACATGGATTATTTGGCACAGGAGTTCAGGTATAGGCTTTCCATGTAGCAGACTTCTTCATATATGCCATAATATGTTAAATGTATTAAAATGTACTGTCAATGATACTGTTTCGTTATCTTATACTGGTCGGGAGAAATTAGCATTGCTGCCACCTTCTTACACTTTACACAAAATATGCTTATCACTCCAGTGACTTTCACTGAACAGTTAGTTACATGGCATGTTGCCTTCATGTTGATATTTTCACAAACAAAGAACTACTGCCAAACTACAGTAACCTATATATGGCTGCCATATCAGTATCTCTACTTCGGAGACTCTGAAGACTGGTGTACACTGTATCAACAATCAATATCACACATTGTACTACACACAGTAAAGTAAAAGTAAAGCTATCCCTATAACAGGCTGTGAAGGCCCATAGGGTTGTGAGACACTGAGGGTCTCACACTATCTAGACAATTAGCTTAAAGATAGCAGTAACATCGTCAGTCTTACGCACCCACCGCATTTTACTCCCCAAGAAAAGTATTTAATTAATTCCTGGTACTCATTTCTGTTAGAGGCTGAGTCGACCCTTGGGCCATAGTGCTTCTGGAAGGATTAGGTCAACTGAATAAACTCCAATGACCTCATCATGACTTGAACCCGCTACCTTCCGGCTTGTAGCATCACAGTACGAGAAACAATAAAACAGCACACTGTCTGTTATTGTCTGCTCCAGTTATGTAAACACATGAAATAAATTGAGCCTTTACAGACTTTGTAAGTTAAAGCAGACAAATATGTTGAGATACTACAGAAGTCAATTGCACTATATGAACTTTGATGCACTATACATTCTATGAACATAAAGACAGTTACTCTTTGTAACCCACTCAACTATAACCATCCAGGATCATAAGATTCAGCTATAACCCACTGCATTCCAGTATCCTCCTAGATGGATGGGCTGCAGAGGATTCAGACTGCTGGTGTAATTAACTGACCTATTTCAAGCAAAACCTACCCAGATTACTGACTGCTGCTGTTATGAATGCATTTCTGGCACCTCCAAAGGAAGTTCACATTTGCTGATGTGTTGGCACCATCAAAGAGAGTTCTTTTTCAGAAAGAGAATAAACTTTAAACTAACACACGCAGTCACAGGAGCGAGACGCAACATAGAGCACAATACATGATAGTGAAAGAGTGCTCCAACAGACGATGATAGACGTGACTCGCGTAATGAAACACGACGTAAGAATGAAATATGCTGTATAATTTTAATATTTCAACACTTAACATTTATCAGTATATATGATAAATATATATTTTAGTTATTTTAGTATGTATAGACAAGGCATGCAATGAACTAGTTTGTCGTGGATTGGATCAGCACCTGAAGATGGCACATTTGTGCCGAAACATGTAGTGAGAGTGAGAAGAGGGGATAGATGAATGTATGCACTAGAAGACGGATAAAATAAATCATGGACTTAAATCAGTGCAACAGGACGCTAAAATATAACATTCCAAAATCTTTATACTTTTTTGCTGCTGATATTCTCTAATTTCACACACACAATTATGTCAGTGCAACTTCTTATTGTGTTGCAATAACAATGGCTAGAATATTTATAATTACTGAAGTTCGTTACCTCTGAGCATGATATTAGTTCAGAATAAAGGAATGAACAGCATATAACACAAAACAATAGAGAAAACCCTGTTATGCCATAAAGACACAAAAACAAAAATGTCAAAACTCTTTAAGATATTAGTATACTTCCTCTTGGTTTGCAAAGAGAATATTCAATACAGTGAGATATATAACATGGTTATATGACGTTCCAAGCGGCAAGGAGCAGATCAAACACCAGTCGTCCGAGCCTGTAGCAAACAATCTACATGAGGGTTCTTATCCAAATATACTGCCCATCTAAAACATGACATAGCAATGGGACAAAATCGAGGTGTTCTGCAGTTCACAATGTTAGCACTAGATCTGTCACGTCCCTTGAAAAAGTTTTATAAATACCATTCTACATCATCAAGCCGTGTTTTATTCAATGTGGAACTGAGCTGATTTACAGATAAGATGTGCAGCCAAACACAAAATTGTTATTTACCGGAAACCCACTTAAGTTAAATTACCATTTCAAAAAACACGATGTGACAAGACGTAGGTGGCAACTTACCCATTACATCTATTGCATTTCGCCTTTCCTAGAAAAACAGTTTAAGGATTCCTGAACTGTAACTGAAACAAATTTGATGAAATCACAATTCACTTTACAAAACTTCTGCGTTTGTAAGCTACAGTCATCACCGCCATTAATTCCAGCAGATAACAGTATGTAATTACTCAACACGGTTCACGACTTTACACTCGAAGCAATACAATTACGTAACTGTGATTATTTTCGCACATTATTCAATATGATAGCACAGAGACATTTACGAAAACCGATACGTACAAACCTTGAAACAAAAATTAACGTTCACGTACGATTACGTACTACCAAAACGTGCAGTAAAATACAAACTAGTTCAAGGAACCATCAATAGGTGGCACACTAAGAAAGACAACACGTATAAGAACTGTGCGGATTGCTATCTGTTGACAAAAGATTGAAGTTCATATAATTGGTGGCAAAAATAAACCTGCGATTAAGCACATCGCTTGCAATCACAACTACAACATATAATGTGGGACTTATTAGTGGAATGGGTAACTGGCGACGGAAATTGACGTTTCGGGGGATGCGTTGCCTCCACCTTCTGGATCTTCTGGATAGACGAGTTATACGTCCATACTCTTCTGCCCTTATGGGGTCTACACAATCCTCTGAAACTCAGTAAACATCTACCCAACTACAAGCCGCCAAGCTAGACGACAACTTCAGTCACTACCATGAGAACCTCAGACTCATTATTGAACGATTTTGGAAATGAAGGTAAAGTGACGGGTATATTCACTCCTCCACTTAATTATGCATCACACTATCAAGACGATCAAGACATTGCAGAGTGGAGGTACACCTCCATGTTCAAGACTTTTTTTTTTCAGTTACAGCAGTGTGCTTGTAGGGTTCAACTTTTTTTTGCCAGGCAGACACTTAAAATTTCGAAATTCTAACATCAGTGTAACATCTTCTGCACACTTATTAACTTTATTACCACTGCTCATCTGAATCATGATTTTTCACTACTGCTGTCAGAAAAAACAGACTTCAAACCAACCCATGGAGTCCCTTTTAACGCCATAGCAAACTGAAGCCAAGGATACCACTTCAATATTTCTCAAACTGTGGTCTTCAAATGAGACCTGGTCATTACAGCCACTCTAATAATATAAAATATTCTTCTTTTACAAAAAAATAAAATAAACATTTTGAAACCTCTCACTTAAATTACAGTCCTTTTTTAAGTCGGTTACTTCAATAATGAGGGGGCACTCGGTAGCGTAGTTGGTTGAGCCATTATGCTACAAGCCGGAAGGTCGTGGGTTCAAATCCCAATGAAGTTATTGGATTTTTTCCATTTACCTAATCCTTCCAGCCGCACTGTGGCCCTGGGGTCGACTCAGCCTCTAACAGAAATGAGTACCAGGAATATTCTTGGGGGTAAAGGGCGGCCGGCTTGCAAGGCTGAAAGCCTTGCCGCCATCAATGAGCTGATTGTCTAGAAAATGTAGAAAACCTCGACATCTCGCAACCCTGTGAGCCTCCATGGCCTGTTAGAGGGATACCTTTACTTTTTATACTTTTTACTTACTTCAATAATGAGAGGCACACAGTAGTGTAGTTGGTTGAGGCACTATGTTACAAGCCAGAAGGTCACAAGTTGAAGTCCCAATGCAGTCATTGGATTTTTTCAATTGACCTAACCCCTCTGGCCACAATATGGCCCTAGGGTCAACTCCACCTCTAACAGAAATGAGTACCAGGACTATTCTTGTGGGTAAAGGGTGGCTGGCACGTAGGGCTAATAACCTTGCAATCTATGAGCCGATTGTCTAGAAAATGTGGGAACCTCAACATCTCTCAACCCTATGGGCCTCCACGGCCTGTTACAGGGATCCCTTTACTTTACGTTAGTAATGATCTGTGAAGTATAGTACCAATTATAGGATGACAGAGTGTGGAACAGTTAATGGAATGAAAAGTGGATGGGGAAACCAAAGTACTCCCATTGTCCTGGTGCTATTTTGTCCACAATAAGTCCCATATGACTTGATCTGGGTCACTGCCAGTGGAAAGCCAACAACTAACCACGAGAGTTATGGCATAGCCATAATTAAATTACATGTGTGGACTGGAACCAGTCTGCAGTTTTAAAACCGGGAAGCAGCCCAGGATAACTCCTCTATGCCCTCTTAGAGCAACCCAGTTCTATTAATGACTCTAATATAAACTACACTTGACATTAGTTAATACGATCAACTCTGTGTTGCAAGTTTATCACCTCAATAAGAATTTATTTCAAAAGTGATAATTCTTCTACCAGTCATTTAGATGTGATACGCTGTATATTATATTCATATAAATGTGTTCTTACTTAACATGTCTTTGAGCAGGACTGATGAAAGCTTAAATGGTGCCCCAAATGATGATAAATTCCCTAGTTACAAACAGATCAAATTCAAGGCTTTTGTCACAACAAAATCCCCAGGTATTGTGACATCATCATTAAGTCATAATTCTTAAAATAGTTTTATTTATATTGCTACATAACATGTTCAGATTACTACCAATTAATGTCCATGATATAAGCAAAACTTTGGCAGAAGTTAAATTCCAGTGAAAAAAAAAAAAGAGGTGCGGCTGCAAAATGTGCCACCCCCGGGAACCATTTGGTTTGCCTTTTCTGTCACCCTGGTCCTGGGTCCAAGAACAGAAAAAGTTCTCTTCATCACTACAATATGGTGGGAGACTTCAGAAACCCTGACTTTAAGTCCATGATTTATTTAATCCGTCTTGCAGTGCATACACTCATTTTTCTCCTTCTCTCCCTCGCACTACATGTTTCGGCATAATAATGCCATCTTCAGGTGCTTACTTATCCACGTCAAACCAGTTCATTGCATGCCATGTTCACACATTAAAATAACTAAAATATGTATCTATCATATACATTGTCCAACGTTAAAANTATTATGCCGAAACATGTAGTGCGAGGGAGAGAAGGAGAAAAATGAGTGTATGCACTGCAAGACGGATTAAATAAATCATGGACTTAAATCAGTGCAACAGGACGCTAAAATATAACATTAACCCTGACTTTGTTTTATATACAATACCTTCAGACTTATCCAGACTATGATGAACATACAAATGTGACAACAGGGATTGCCATGCGATCCACTTCAATTCTAGTGTTTGGGCCATGAAATTTCTGCTCAGGAAGTAAAAAAAAATATTCAAACATAATTTAGAAGGTGGCCCTGATTTTAAAAATTAATGAATTACTAAAAAATGGAATCATCTACGTGCATTTCTGAATCCACAAACTAACTTCATGGACCAGGGTCTTTCTAGAGAAAGTAATAAGTCACTCAGCTAATCAACAGATTCTTTGCTTCTAATAGAACCCAAAAGCGTTTTTTAAAGAAAAGTTGTTTTTTTTATGGTTTCTGTAATGTACACCTTTTGAAGCAGTGCCATTCTTGTAGCTGTAGAATAAACAGATTGGAATGTGGTATTCAGGTGGTACAGGCACGCTGATCTGTTCTCATGAAGTTATGAACATTGCTGACTGCCACAGACTATATGTGGATTAGAGGAAGACATTTGTGAACATGGCTTAACTTAATTACAACCTGCTGACGTTTGAAAGAACTGCTGTCAGTGTTTCATATAAAGTGTTAGTTTGCACTATGGCATTTAGACTGTTCACAGTTTTTTAATTATTTCTGTCCTTATCAAGATGTATTAAAATTCGTTTAGACAGAATAAAACAAAAATGTATGCCCTCCTTACTAAGGAACAGTATTATATACGTGGTGTTTCACAATTTTAGGGCAATATCCTCCTAGGTTCTGTTCAAAACACACTTTGTACCAAAGTTTTGATCTGCTGGACCACTTGTTCCCAAAATCTTTTAGTCTCAATCACCCTTCATGTAAATAAAAATGTTTGGGGCACCAACATATACAAGTGAGTTCAAATGTGATTCAGTAGTGTCAAAGGAAATTATTAATGACGTTTAACATCTGTTAAGTCTATTCTCTATTAAATTCTATGTTTGTAATTTAATGTAGCTTCTTATTACCATGTTACACATAAATATTACTCATTTTTAGTGATCCCTGGAAAAATCAGAGCAAAATCTTTGACTCACTTTCACTTAGTCATGCGCACACACATTCTAGGATAGAGGAGAAAATGTGCATATACAAAAATAATATTTTGTATTAAAAATAAATATGTCATCCTTTAGTTTCAACAATACAAAGAGAATATAAATATAAAACAGTTATCATCATCATCATTCATAGCACGGCAGTTGTTCATAACGCAGACACATGCCAAGATTGTCTTCTGGGGACTCTTCTCGGGCACCTGGGCCAAACTGCACACGTATGTTGAAAGGAGTCACGCTACCTGCAAGAATAGTCTCCAGTAAGTGTGGCTCATGTTAGGCCATTTGTGCCACAGGCTGAATACAGTGCTTTATACTCACTCTCAATGCGGCAGGGCATCTCCCCCTGGTTACAGAATGAGCTGCCACAGTGCAGAAGGTCACAGACCCCAGGCCCACTGGCTTCCGGCTAGAAACATATGTTCAGGTTTATTCCATTTTACAATACTATTCCAATTACAAATGTTACAGTTTCTGTGGGGGGCAGTTGATTTAAACACTACACTGATGAGAATCTTAAATTGGGGTAATTTAACATTGAGAAGGACTTGGGGTGATTGAAATTGAACATCAAATGTGGGAAAACTTAATAATAAATGGGGTTCCACTGTATATACTGTTGAAAGGGATCAAAAGGTAAGGATTTGGAAGAAGACAGTCATTGCCCGTTACACTGTACTCACCCTGAAAGATTATATCAACAATATAATCAGGACAGATGGTAACCTGGCTGAGATTTAACTGTGCACCTCCCAAACACTAATGCAGAATCTTGCCACCTGCTCAAGTATTTGAGGAAGTCCCACAACAGAACAGATGAATAAGTACCATGGGTGACTTGAGGAGAGGCAAACCAAGAGTTGCACCATCCCAAATTTTTTAAGAAAGAAAGTAAGGAAAGAAGGAATGCTGAGGCAACCTGTCCTGTTATTTCTGAAAGTGAAGATGGAAATACTCAAAATATTCACTTCATGACATATGTGCCACTATGCTAACAGCATACTTACCATGATGAGTTCCTCTGAGTCACATGGCATCACAATCTTGTCATCACATTCTCGGCTGTCTCCAGCTACACCATCTCCTGAGCCAGGATCTGTGTGGGCATACCATTCAATTCAATTAGTGGGAAAAGCACATGGGGGACTGTGGGACTGCAATCACTCACTGCACTCTCACCTGACAAAACTGGGGGTCCAATCTTGAAGGAGTTCTCATCACATGGTTCATATGCTATCGAACACATTCCTAAAACACACCAGACTCTGTAAGATTTGATGTTCTGACAGGGAGGACTACGAAGAGTACCAGGATGTAACGCTGCATAGGCTAGTAAAGTTTATCAACATTTTGGAAGAACAAGACTGGGCTATCCCCCCCCCAATATTTTAATCAAAATAACTGGAACGGACATTAATTGGGTCCATGAAATGTCAATTAGCGATATGTTGGTTTATGAACTCAATTTTAACATTAATATAATATCACTAATTTTATTCAAAAAGTTGCAGAATGTGATGAAAAACAGTGAACATTGATAAGATTGTACTACCACACTGATGAAATGGCTGGTTGAAGTGACAGAGTTTGTGAACATCACAAATGCACATTGGCACTGATCAACTGACTGGGGTGATCATTTAAGTATTTGGACATACTGCAGAGTATCGATAGACTGAACTGTCAGTTAGTGTGGGATGACTACTGTCTGCAGTACATCATTATCAGCCTCCAGAATTAGGACTCAAAAACAAAACACTGCTAAAGCAAGGATGGCCATTATATGAAATCAACTTCACAATTCCCTTTGATGTTATTCTCCCATCTCCACCTCAATCCTTCCAGTAATCGCCATTTCCTCACCTTCTTCCTGCCGCATACAGATGGTGTAGTCTTGGTCTGCCAAGTGACGGCCATTGTCTGCAAAGTTCATCGTCTGGATAATTCCTGAAACATGAAACTTGACACTTAAGTAATGACAGATACAAATTCTTTGTAATCAGAATAAATGATTCACGTGTAATGTAATCATGGAAAACATAAATTTGATTTAATTGCCTTCATAATACAGCATTAACATGCTTTCAATAAATTTCAGGTTTCAAGTGCACTGAAATTCAAAGCTCTCAAATACTGGCATTTCCATACTGAAGACATTCACAGACTTGAAGTGTACACTACATATAACCCTTTAAACCATAAGTACTTCTGTTGTTAACATTAAAAAACTCTACATTTTACTTAGTTTCATATGATTCCTATAATAAACATCATTAACCAGTCAGTTTTTGAACTGGAGAGTTGCTAGGTTTTTTAGTGAGAGGGAGAGACGCAGGAATGTAATTTTTACATATTTTACATAAAATTCAGTCTTCAAAAGTTGTAAAAGGAATGCAGTGGTGTTTGTAAATCAGGATATATTACAATGTGTATAACCTTTACTATTCTAATTCAGCTTTCTCATTCCAAGTATTGGGCCCAGTGACCTGTTATAACTCCCCAAAATTTTTCATCCGTCTAACCCTGTAATGTAATTCCTCTCCAACATCCTGAATATTCCTTCATTCTCAAAGTGCAGCTCCAGAGAGAACACGTTTGGGTAATTGATCTGCTGTTGTAATTGAGCTGTTCTGTAAATATGAGGAAGTAATTATTAATTCATCTCTTGGGGCTGGCTGTTAATGATATCTCATCAAATGTTAAAAGTTAATTTTTTAATACTTATTCGATTATTACTAATAACCACTCAATTGTGTTTACAAAATAACTCAATTATGACATCTCATAAGGAAATTGAGGAGAATCATACAAAATAAAAGTAATAACATAATATGCAAGCATTGCGTGTAATATGTAATTCATCAACACCACTCAATATAAATATATATAACTCGAAACTTAGATTATAATAATACAAGCTAATTTGCTTTCAGATATAAAACAAACAACGAATCCCGGAAGGTACCATTATCTACCTCACACAACAAGAAACCTGAAAACTATCGTCATAATGACAGGACAAAAAAAAATATATGTGTTTTTAGCCAATATCACAAGTGTCATAATGATTTTAACAATTAACACTAGTGGGGATCCATACACCAAGCACATTGGCCATGCAGTCTAAACCATGAACTGTCTTCACTCACTCAAATTCTGGGATCATGAGTTTGAATCCCACTTCTTTGTACATTTATTTTGTGTCTGTGTTGTTCTGTTTGTAGGTAGCGGCCTTGCAATGGGCTGATCCCCCTTCCAAGATGTCATACCAACTGTGTATAGGATTAAGAAACTGAAAAATAGGCGAATGTCCAACAAAGGGCTGTAGATAGACAGATTGATCCATATTAGTATAATTCAATAATGAATGACGTATTTAAGAACACTGCCTGCTTAATGATCCAGATATAGATCGAACCTTGTAACACTAAATAAAACCAATGTTAACACAGTGATATTAGATTCTTTTAATTTTTGATAAATTTGTGTGTTGATGGCCCAAAAAATCACATCACGACACACAACAAGATGCAAACAACAAAAATTTATAGCTAGGTACCTCTGTTCCAGAGGAACCTGATCCTTCACCTTCTTGTATCCTGATGATGTAGGCATCAGGTTCTTCAAAACACTGGCACAACACATGACATCGCATCCCTGATGGCTATTGTCTCTACACTGAGAGCTCTAATCCTTCTTTTATTATTTTCTGCTACTGTCCGAGTTTATTTTCAAATGCTCTTAGCTGACAAAACAATAACTGATTATCGATGTACACACCATTGCTACCCTGATAGTACTGCCTGCAACCAGCAGGGGCACGTTGATTGAACTCAATCTGTGTGACCTGAAACACACAAAATCATAGGACATTATTCTGAGCTGCTTTGTTAACTGTTCTACAGAGCCACAATAAAGCTAAAGCTGAAATAATTCAATAAGGAACAGACACATTCCTTACTATAATTCTCCAAAAACTGACACTTAAGCACTCCTTCAGGAAGGGTTGGTACACAGTTTACGGAAACAAAGTACTGAAGAATTGGTTTACTGCCCTAGGAAATTAAAATTCTAACAAATAAGCAACTGTACAAACCCTATACTAAACACACAGCGTACATACAGAACAATAACAGATAACATGTATGTCATACAGACAGAAAGGAAGGGCAGACATTTGAATACCTTAGAAAATCATATTCATAAAATTAGTAGAAATAACTTTCATATGAATGACATGTATATTGACATATACAATTCCATATTTCAGACATTACATGAACTTTATGACAGCAGCATACACACTCCGAGGAAAGATATATAAGTGGGAATAAGGGCACTGAATGCCCATACAAGGGACATACACCCAACAAGTGAGAACATACATATAAAGGCGGCATGTAAGTATGTAAGAAAATAACACACAGATATACAAAAATAGCAGATTCATAAAATAATTATTCATTGTTGGGTTGACAACAAATATATACTGTAACATGTCGGCTGTGTGATGCGATACGAATAAATTGCATGGGTCTTCTGATTGCAACAAATTATTTTATTGGATGCTTATTTGTACGCACACTCATACAATTATTCACTTAGAGCACTCTTACACCATTAGTACACTCTAGAACTCAACTGTGATACTTCTGATACTTGTGATCTCGTGATACTGAACTCTCCCTGGAGCTACACTCTTACATATCCAGTATTCGGACGGGAGAGGGAATACCATATCAGAGGGTTAATTTAATCTGTTGCTATGGATATTCCTAGGCAACGGTCTGTTGGTATTAAATTCGTCGCCGTGGGAACTCAACAAATTCCATGTATTTGTTGTCACATAAGTATGCATTCCTGTTGCAGCCATCACATTGCTCCCTCCTTAAGGTTGTTCATCCCAAACAGCCTAACGGTACTTCATTTCCATCATTTCTTTGGTATTCTTCTTCCGAGCTCTACCTCCACCCTCCTTCTTCAAGGATGCTCATCCTGAGAAGCTCCATAGTAGGGCGCTCGTTGATCCTGTCGTATCACATTCATCCCTCACTATCTCTCTCATTCATTCTAGCTAGGAAGGTCGGTGCTTCTATGTTGCCGGCTCCTCCTCCGTTTCCTGCTTCTTTTTTTGTTTTGGAGGGGGTCGACCCCTCCACAGTGTCCAATCCATGTTTTGTTGCTCCGGATGACACCGATACCTCCACAGCGTCGAGTCTCTCACCTTTCGCAACTCACCGAACATCCTGGTTGCTTCCTTCACGAAATCTAGTCCAAAAGACCTCTTGTCAAACCCCTCTGATGTCCTCTCGACCTTAAGGCAAACATGCCCTATTGTGCCTGGGTTCTTTATCCCAATCTTGCATCCTGGGCCCTTCCAACATTTCTTCCGTAATGTACGTCTCTTCGTGGTTTTCGTTGCGACATTGTTCTTGTCTTGCCTTTGAAGCCCATATCCCCTGTGCCGTGCCACTCTTGCACAGTGGGTCATCATGCTAAGTTTCTTTCGGCACCCATCCTTGCCCTGGGTCCATTCATTCAGTGTTCCTCACAGCTCTGTAGCTAATTGCAAAGAAAATCACAAGAAAAACTCAGTGAGGATATCTCCTGTTCCAGCCACTATTCAAATTTAGCACCCCCAAAAAACACGTCTAAAGCAATCCATTTGCTGCACAGAGATCTGGGAGGACAGAAATATACGGAGAGTTCTGTTATTAGATGACCAACATAAAAGCAGAAAAGTATATGTAAGGAAGAGAAAAGGGAAGAATTAATGGTAGGAGAAATAGTGAATCAATTGGTCAAGCACACTCACCTTGATCTCCCACATACGGAACAAGTTGTTGTCAGTCAGGTTCATGATAACATTGACCGAGTCATTCACATTTTCCACATCATAGTACACTGTAACACATCATAATAACAGGCTTTGCAGAATCATTTCACAACTTCACACCACACTGCTCCAATATTCATTCCAAACTAATTAATTTTGGTATATAAGTACAGTATGCACACCACCTCTGGATCCCACCCAGGCTCCATCTTATCCAGTGGGTACCAGGGACAATTTCCCACAGGGGTAAAGCAGCCATGGCATGAAGCTGACTACTCACCTCCATCTGGTGCCAAAGTCAAGAATGGTGGAGCTATACCTTCACTCCAGCATGTCTTCATGACATAGTGCTTAATTACTTGAGCTTAAGGACAACTTTACCTTTATGTAAGTACAAGAATACCGGGATGGGCAGAGTGTGTAGCATGCATGGTAAAGAAAAGAATGTTTGGTTGGAAATCCTGAAAAAAACACTAAATGGAATATCTAAGCAAAGTGAGGAGATAATAGAATAATATTAAAATGGCTCTTAAATAAACAGGGTGGGAGGTTGTGGACTGATACATCTGGTCGACAATTTTTTTTATTGCTAGTGGGGTGGGATTAAGTCCCTTGTACTGCAGCCACTTCTGGCCTATTGTACCAGCCCCAGATGATAGGTGAGGGTGATTGTGAAGCAATTGGTGGAATGAAGATTGGCAGGGGAAACTGAAATACTCGGAGAAAATCTGCCCCAGTGCCACTTTGTCCACCAAAAATCCCACTTGACCAGACCTGGGATCAAACCCGGGCCGCCACGGTGGGAAGCCAGCAACTAACTGCTTGAGCTATGGGGCGGCCTTGGTTGACAATAAGTCCCATGGTAAATTCTTGTGAACACAGTAATGAAACTTTGGGTACCATAAAAGGCAGGGAAGTTTACTGATGGGTGACTATCAGCTTCTGAAGAAAGACTCTACTCCATAGAATTAGTTTGTACAGCTGATATTGTTCTACAGACTTATTCTTTTGAGTCTGATGGAACTCCAGACATCCCAGTATAGTTCAGAGATATCTGTTCAGGTTAACAAGTCCCAACATTAAAAAGAACAGGAACCTGCCAGTGTACAGTGAATACTTTTTCACATTTAGAGACCATAATCAGACCTATAAAGCACAGTGGGAAATGAATGTATCACTTGCTTTAACATTTAAAAACTCCTACCCACACAGCATATTTATGTGTTTTGTATGATTCCCACAATAAAAAGGAATTATTGCCCTAAACAGCGTTAACTAATTTGTCTATAATGGAGAACAGTGTATCTTCTCTAAGGTATGAAGAAAATTTGTAAATATTATTTACAAAAACTTCAGGCTTCAAAGTGTTAATTGCATTGTATCGATGAAATTAAATTGAACAAAATTCCATCAACTTATAGATGAATTTCTTCGTGTGATCAAAAAGGCAGAGACAATAACAGCATGCGTTCAGATTTGACCACTAATATGTACTACAGCACCATAATTACACTGCAACACGCTACAGCTCGTAGTACAGCAGCATGCTCATTGAATTTACATACCATGCTGACCACTGTTTTGCCCACACAGCTTCAGGTCCTGAGTCACTCCTCCACTCATGATGAATACATCTGAATCACACACACCTGTCCGTCTGTTCGGCTGTCCCTGTAACATGAGCACAGTCACAGAAACATCAGTGCTGACAACCAGCAGCAGATCCTTCTCTACCTTGACATTAAGCTACGCACCAGATTGAAGTGCACAAAGTCAAGTCGCAGCTGGCTGATGCTAGAGTCTATCTTCTTGATCTGGACACTGCAGGCAGCTGCATCACGTGACAGAGCTGGGAAGGTTGGACTGATGAAATAGGTCATGTTGTTGTTGATATCATTACCACAAGTGGCTGTGACTGTAGGAGTAAGTCAGATATCAATCAAAATGGACATGGTTTAGCTTAAATGAACATTTTCTCAAATAACTTGGTATATGACATCATTGGACACCATCTATCATAACTGAATGATTTCCTACCATAAAAAATACAGGGTGTCCAAATGAAAGATATAAAAAAAAATTGTATCTTAGAAACCATTTATTATACACATTTATGGATTATACCTTTACAAAGGGAAACTACCAAAGTTTTTTCCTGAGTATATAACTTTCTCAATAAATTTCAATGTGGGCTCCCTTGGTGGCAAGACAACTATCTAGATGATACTAGACCTCATTCCACATTGCTTGAAGCACACTTAGTGTTACCGCAGCCATATCATCCCTTATGTGGGTTTTCAGGCATCGATCTTAAGCTGGTAGACAATGTTCTTCACATAACCCCACAAGAAAAATCCAGTGGGGTTAAATCTGGTGATCTAGGAGGCCAAGAAATTGGTCCACTTCTGTCGATTCATCTCCAGCCATCTCTCTGTCCAGGTGATTCCTAACATGGTGGCACCCCATCTTGTTGGAGGATAGTTTGAGGTGGTAATTGGGGCAGCACATACAGCTCCAGTACGTCCAAGTACGAATGTCTGGTCACAGTCTTTTCCGAAAAGAAAAAGGGTGCAATCAACTTGTCATACATTAAGCCAGCTCACACGTTCACTTTGGAGCTGCCTCTCTCCAACTCACATGTGATATGTGACTTCGCCAAATCCTGCAGTGGTACCTGTTTACTACTCCATTGACATGGAATGTCGCCTTGTCTGAGAAGCACACTTGACAGAGGAAATCAGGTGATGTATCAGTTCTTTCTAGCATGTCCATAGCAAAGTTTGTGTATGCTACTTGGTCACGTGGTTTTAACACATGAATCATCTGATTCTTGTATGCTCTTACATGCAGCCTTTTATGTAGCACAATGTGCACTGCTGAATGTGGAACTTGTAACTTCAAGCTAGCAGCATGAATTGGTTTGCACAGTCTTTGCTGGAATGCCTCTCTAATGTAACTGACATTTTCTTCAGAGGGCTGTGTCTCTCCAGGAGATATTACATGCGACAGACTACCTGTAGTACTGGGTTTGTTGTCTCAAAACCAAATGCTTTTCTGTGTAGGAGGTTGACGTCCATACTGTGAGAGAATGCAACTCTGCTAGCCACAACATGCACCGAACCTGTTCCTGTGGTGTTGACATTGTTACTGAGCTCACCTAATGTCACCAGCTGGCACATGAGCATAAGTCAGGCATGAAAAAAAAACTTTCAGAGCTTTCCTTTCCGATGACATAAACCAAATACATGTATGACAAAAGCATTGGTTAAGTGGAAGAAATTCAAAGCTCTCATTTGACAACAAAATCTTAACAAAACAATAATAAAACCAATTTGGGTATATGGAGTGGAAATATGGGGATGTGCTAGCAAAACCAGTATTTCCATAATCCAAAGATGTCAGTCAAAAATACTATGTATGATTACTAACGCCCCATCGTATGTTTCCAATATAACACTCCATGAAGACCTGAAAGTGCCGCTAGTAAAGGAAGTCATAAAAGGGAAAAGCACAAGATACTTCAACAAAATAGAAGGACATGAGAATGTACTAATTCAACCGTTACTGGAAACACACAATGGACGAAGACTAAAAAGGAATTGGCCAGCCTACCTGAGAGAGTTAACGCGGACTTATCTCTGGAGAAGCCCTCTCCACATCATGAAGAATACTACAGCAAATTAGCTTATAGAATCAAATGTAATTCTGATTGCTAATATTATGTAAATAAAAAAAAATATATGCCAATTAGTTTCCAAGATATAAATTATTTATTTTGGATACCTTTCATCCAGACACCCTGTATATATAACACAACTGCGTGGACTTCTGAGGTGGGAGCAACACTATGTTATTTCAACATAAGCTCCAAAAATGTTGTACAGTGATGGCTGCTTCAAGAATACAGTACAGAACTTCTGTAAAGGACACTTTTATGCAATGCAAATTAACAATATGGCAAAGTTGGACGATTTGCATTTAGCTTCCTGTTTAACAACGAAACTAATGAACTACTGCATGATTTTAGGTTTTCATGGAAGTAAACATTTATACTATCTCTCTGAGTTATTACATCACATACTCTGGTATGCATGATCATCCTCAAGTGGTGTGGGGCTAACAGCAGCCAATCTTAACATTTTACATGGCTGAAGAACAACAAACCTCAAAGGCATCAATCAGCAGGGTTAATTGCCATGGTGTCTAGCTGCATACTTAATAACAACTTATTCTTATGTTTAGTGTCACAGAAATATCTGAATACTTTAGTACTTCATAGAACTGCCTGGGCTGAATCACAGTTGAGAGTGTGCACACAACTTTATATCTTGAACTGCTCACTTCAGCTGTTAACTTTCAACCTTTGCTAATTACTGATCTTTTCAGTCAACAGTAACAGCATGAAGAGTACTATCTTCTGGTATGTGAGACTGCATATTCTAGTAGGACTTTACCTATGTTTCAGAAAAACATAATGCTTCCGTCTTCAGGATGGGCAGAAGAAATGCTGGCAATCATATACCAGGTGACACAATGTCACAACCCGGAAAACTGTAATATGAATAATGAAGTGCTGCTGCTAGGCGCATGAATAACCTTTCTGTGTCAGCAATTAATTACAAGTGGGCGGTAACAGAGATCACTTCAACTGTATCTCACAACCACCAAACAGGACAGAGACCAACAATCTGTGCTGGCTCATGTACATAGGTAGATAAATATAGCAGGTATCTCATGACTTCCAAGAACTTATTGTTAAAAATAGTAAAATAAACACTAAATAAACTTAAAACTATTTTAGGCCAAAGTCACACCACTGAAGAAATTAAATAGTTATGCCCAGCTTCTTCATTTAATATATATCATTTTAGAGACAGTGACAAAAAAAATGAACTGTGCCTAAAAAGTTTCATAATGACATAGAACATTACATCATTATTAGGAAGTTTGTGAATTCCACTTTGAAATCATAGTGAGAATCAAAATCTCTATAACAGGGATCGTGTTCAAACGAACATAACCTCAAAAATGTTTTGAACAGAAAATGCTAGAGTCAAAACACATCTATTTCTCACACTGTGCAGGTTGCCAGCCTCAGTCCACTAAAGGCTCTGGGTCACAAACAAGTACATCCTGATAAGACATCACTTTTGTACACAAAGAAAATCACAGTAAATTAAATTTTGCTGTCACACTAACTTCGTCAACAAGTGGCAGTTGCTCAGTCGGTATAGTTCGCTTGCAGACTAAACCCATAGTTTTTTTTGTTTGTTTGTCACAGTCTGGAGGATCATGATTTAGGATCACCATATTTACCAGCAATAAAGCCATGTATCAAGTGGGTACTCTTCATGTAGAAGTTCTACTGGGCAGGACAGCAAACATGGTGAAAATGAGAAATACATGGAATACTTTGGTTGGAAAACATCACTGAAAGAGACAATCTACAAGGCAGTGAAGTGTCTAGGAAGAGGTACTACCATAGAAATCAGGGAAATCTTGGCTTGTCAGTCTGTAGGGTGGATCACAAACCAGAACCTCTTGAATGTGATGCTGTATGCTAAAATGACTGGTTTAGCTGACATTTGACTATTCTGCTGGACAGTGAAACAGCTGTACTCACAGACACAGCAGACTCCAAAGCCCAGAGCACAAGGGCCACTGGCCCGACCGCCCTGTATCCTGCATTCATACACGTTCAAACACACTCCTAAAACAGAGTAACACTAATATGTTAACTGTATAGACAGGCAAGTCATAATAGGATATGGCTCATCTGCTGGTTCCTACATGCAAGAAAACACAGCAAATCTCCATTAGGGAGCTTGGTATTTGAAGCAAATAAATACTCCTCGTTCCTTGGAACACATATGTAATTTTGGGAGGAAATGCTACCAGAAACTGAGGTGTGTACCTACTATGTATGTTTATTGGTCTAAGTGAATGGGGAAACCCACCCCCTTTAATAATAAAAAAAATACTATGTATGTTTAATTTAAAATTTCTTAGAAAACTAAAGGACATATACCTCACATGTGGAAAATTGTTAGAATAGCTGACGACAAGAGGCCTCATGAAAAGGTGTAAATGGGTTGACAATATTAATGGATCTCAAACAAACAGGCTTTGAACATGGGTGCAAGTGGAGGAGTCAAGCCATGCATGTCTCCCTTCTCTAGATTTTTGGAACAAATCAATATTGAAGTAAGGAAGTACAAATACCAAAAATTAAAAGTATTTTTAAAAGTATCCTTCTTTCCTGAATATTCTAGAGGGATCAGTAAAATTGCCTTAAAAGGCTTCGATGTAAGTTTGTAAGCAAATTTTTATGGCTGCCTCCCCTGGGAAAAAATGCTGTCGGTGCCAATGATTGTAAGGGTTGGATTCATGTGGCTTGGAACTGGGTTCAGTGACAGACTTTCCTGATCATGGCAATAAATCTCTTTGTGTTCCATAAATAGCATGAATTTCTCTAGTAGCTGTGAGATTATTAGTTTTTCATGAAAGACTTTGCTGTAGGCTGCAAGCATGAAGTACACTCACCTGTTCTGCGTCCATCATCCGAGAGACACTCCACACTCATAGGGACTGGGAAAAAGTTGAGCACTGGAACACAACATTACTGTTTGTGTTGGATTAAAGTTAAAAGCTTCTCAGTGATGAACACATTGTTGGATTACAGTTAGAAACTTATCAGGGATGTACACATAAGTTCTTCCCAGAAATTCTTGTAATACAGAATGTCCATAAATGACTGATACTTTCAAGGATAAAATACGAGGAAACTACAAAGCATACCTACATACGACTGGTATCAGCAGAAAGTAAAATTCTCAGAGATTTCAAAATTGGCAGTATAGCTCCATATTACCTATCATTGCCGCCAAACTCTGAAATTTTCAGAAATGACATCTCCCATATAGAGCTTTTGTGTGATTGCATACATGACAACAAACTAATGCAACAGCGTTCAGTGGGCTTTCAGAAAATGGTTTCATATGGGTTAACCTCCTCAAGAATTGATACAGAAGTGGTTTGATGGCTTTGAAAACCAGAGATCTATTTGTAAGAAGAAAATCATTGGCCATCCTCGTGTGAGTGATCAGGCTGTACAGCAGGTGGAAGCCACTTTCAATCAAAGTGCAAGGAAATCTGTGAGGAGGGAAAGCCATGAGTTACAGATGCTGAACACAACTGTGTGGCAAGTTCTATGCAGATGGGTTTGCATAAAATCTTATAATGCCACACTACCAAGCCACTGGATTGGGCGGGCTGGAACTGCAGATGGAGTGGCCTCGTTGCTTTCCTGATCTCACTCAATGCAACTTCTTTCTGTGGGGTTATGTAAATGAACAAGTGTTTGTGCCACCTCTACCACTGGATATTGATGAACTGGGGTTGACAATTACCACAGCTATTGAAACAATTGACAGGAATACATTGAGCATCTTTAAGACATGTAAAACTTTCAGAGTCTGTAATTCTAATGGCACTAATTACAACTGTGTAGCTTTAATACTTACCTTAGTATAAGAAATTAAAAGTGTATCAATCATTTATGGACACCCTGCATTATTATCAGTGCCCCCATTACTTAAAATAACTCCATGGAGCTGAGCCCTTCTTCAGAAGCTGCTAGTTGCCCAACTACTCAAGAATTTCCCAACATTCTATGGAACCTGAAGGTTCATTACTGTTCACAAGAGCCCTCCACTGGTTCCTACCCTGAGTCAGATCAAGCAACATCCTATTTACAACCCCATCCTAGTCATTTAAGATCCAGCTTAATATTATCCTCCCACCTATGTCTAGGTCTTCCTAAATGCCTCTCTCCTAACTTTCCCACCAAAATCCTATACGCATTACTCTTCTCTCCATCCATGCTACATGCCCTGCCCACCTCATCCTCCTTGACTTTATCACCAAATATTCTCCTCAGCACCTTTTTCTCAAACATCCTCAGTCTATATTCTTCCTTTAATGTGTGAGACAAAGTTTCACACCCATACAGAACCACTCTTACAAGAGGCTTGTCCATTGAAATCCTACAACACAGGTTACATGTATGGCCTCTTGGGCCTAAATATTTTCTTTTGCAACTTCAATTTATGATAGTCCATAATAATATGACACTTGATTTACGATCATAAACATAACATTACAGTTTCGTATAGGTTATATTTGGTGTTTTGACAAACAGGCTAATATATAACACACAATGCTAGCAACTGATATTTCCGTACAATGCACGTAACATCAATCACTGAAATACAAAATGGTGCAACTCTTACAGACTAAAGAAAAACATACCTCTGCTAGTACGATTGTAATAGGTAAGACCATTATCTCCACCATCACTGTCAACGCTCAACCAAGTCTTGAACACAGGCCACGCTCTGACACTGCAAAGCAACAGCAGAGCAGCGACGTGCGGCGTAACTGGCATGGCGGTCGTCTGAGATGAACTGACCCTGAACTGGTATCCGGAAGTTCACATAACGTGTGACCCACTTAGGGGACAAGTGGCGAAATCTGACATGCCGTTAATACTATCAATATCCCATTTTTTTATAAATACGTTGATTTTTTTAAACAACCCTTAAACCGAAGTAATACTCTTCTAACTTATGTAAAAGCGCCGGTTTGGCAGCCAGGGTGAAAGATTGAGTCAAATAATTTCAATTTTTTTGAAGAAAAAAAAATCTGATTATTTTGGCAGACATAAATAGAATTGGAGTTATGCAACACACGTGTGTACTAAAATACTGATATGTACCTACACACACACAATTATTTAGGATGGAAATGCCCCAAGCTGCCTTTTTTTTNTGATTATTTTGGCAGACATAAATAGAATTGGGGTTATGCAACACACGTGTGTACTAAAATACTGATATGTACCTACACACACACACACACACACACACACAATTATTTAGGATGGAAATGCCCCAAGCTGCCTTTTTTTCAGTTTTTTGCTTCATTTTTTAAAGAACTTGAAATTGCACAAAAAACGCAAATCCTGATATCATAAAAACTCCAGAAATCAAGCAATGACAAACATAAAAGAGAACTGTATGCAATGAGAGATCTAATGAATGTACCAAAAAGGAAACACTGTATATATGAATTCTTCATAAATAGGAATGAAAAGTATGTTTTCCCAATTAACAAAAATATTCTGCGACAAGTTAGAAAGATTCTCAGCCACTCAGTGTTTCACTAGCACAAGTGATGCACATTTTCTTGAACACTCCAAGCAAGTTGGAGTCGAACACTGACATTTATATCCTGTCATCCTCTTCATTAGTTCATCATTTAGACCTCACACAGGTCTAGCTTGAAGTTCTTCCACAGTGTGTCCAATGAGCTTCCTTATCTCAGACCTTAAATTTGATATCTCCAAATGCTGCAATAAATGAGGCTTTATCCTTTTGTAATCCAAGTCATTTACAGAATCCAACGGTCCCAAAATATGGGGCAGCCAGAAGAAAATGTTGAAAACAAGGGAAACACATTTTCATTTCCAGAATTGAACACCGCAGTCAACATAAAAAGACCCATTAGTACTTTTATATCATTATCTTCATTTGATCTGCTGTTGAACTTCTGGTGTTCATATACCTTCTCTTATACACACTCCAGTTTCACATTGGTCAATTTTACAACTTTATCAACCATTTCTTTGTTAAAGAGCATATTCCAATCTTTATGGAATGCATCCTGTCGCGTTAGACAAACATGATAATTGATTAGGACGTTCCAAATTGCTTGGCTTTTGAAACCTCCCCAAAAGATTTAGTAGTGACTGATAACCCTGAAAACCCTTAAATGTCATTATGAAAGAGAGTCTGTCTTAAAGTGTTGGGTAGTTTGGATTTCCATTCAAGGCCACTCTTCTGAACATAAGTCTCTGGCTCCTTGCAATGTTTATGCACAGATATGTTGTCCAAAACATTGCTCAGAGACTGTGAATCCTCACCATCAAGATCTGCACTGTCTGATTCACTACTGGAAGAAGTTCTGACAGAATCCAGATCAATGTCTGAATCATCAAGTGAAGAAACTTTTTTTCATTTTCATCATTCAAGTCACACAAACACTGCTGGGCTTTTGTGACATTATCTGCATCTTGTCCAAAAAACTGCCATGTCATCATGTAATAATGTTTGCACAAAATATGTACAGTAACACCATATACACCAGTATAACAGAATTAATATTGCTATTAAAGCAACAGTAATCAGTTTGATGTATATATTGCACCATTACAGCTACCCAGTATATGATACAGCACGGAACTGAACACTACTCAAAGTATTGGTCTCGCAGACCACTAAGCTTGCATCAATATGAAGGAAAATATAAGAATAACAACATGGCATATACAACCATGATCCCCAAAAATTCATCTACAACTTTCTGAAAGCTGCTCAAAGCCATATATAATACTGTTGCTAAATGTTACAGAAATATCATAGCAGTCTTGCAGACCAATACTCCAATTTGTGGATTACATATGAATATAGTATATAGAAACTGTTGACCTCATTCTTGATATACAAAGGACACAGACAGTACCTGGATAATATTGCTCTCCTCTCCCTTAGCATGGCAATGCAAACCTGTATCTCCATTGCCTGTTTCTCAAATATATATTAATGATCTAGGACAATAAACTGATTCTACATATGTACAGTAATGTTGCCATTTTAGCTACATACTTAATTGAAAGTGAAATGTACATTGCGCCATGCTGCATGATCACAGTTCATCACCTATTCTATAAACAGAAGGGTTACAATACCACACACTTTCATAGGTGGTCAATATCTGTTAAGAACCTGCATGCTAGGTTCCCTGAAGATGGAGGCAGTAGGTTCTCCAAAATGTTGATAACCACCTACATGACTTTACAGTGTCATAACCCAGTCCTCAACCTGTCTACCCATGTGGAAACCTCAAATATGGACTAACATATTTGATTGCTGGTGTCATGAGATTGGCTGATTTGCTAACCATGTCACTCTTCTAAGCAGTAAGATCAACTATATTTGGTGTCTCACAGTTCCTAATATTTTGTCCTATAACACTGCATATTTTAAATTGTGAGACTTGATTTTGGTTGAAAACCAAGAGACATCTAAATAAAAACACCCTAAACGTATTTAATCTGCTGAATAAAAGATGCATTAACATGCAGTCACTTCTGTCAAAACAATTCTGAACTATCCTATTAACAAACCAACTCCATGCAGCAGTGTTGTTCTATAGAAGCTATAATACTTGTTCAACTCCTCAAGAAATGCTCTACTTATTACTAAACCCAAAAGTTCATTTACATATTTGTGGAACCAAAAAGTTCATTAATGTGTTCATAACAGTCTGCCAGGAGCATGCTGTAGTATAGCTGGTTGAGGCACTATGCTACCAGCCAGAAGGTTGCAGGTTTGATTCCTGATGAGGTCAGTGAATTTTTCAGTTGACCTAATCCTTTCAGCCACACTTTGGCCCTGGAGCAACTCAATCTCTAACAGAAATGAGTACCAGGAATCTTCCTGGGGGTAAAGGTCAGCTGGCGCACAAGGCTGACAATCTCACCACCGTCTGTAAGCTTCCTAGAAAATGTGGGAGGCTCAACATCTCATAACCCTATGGGAATTCATGGCCTGTTACAGCAATAGCTTTACTTTTCAACAGTCTGCCACAGCTCCCTGTCCTGCACTGCAATAATTCAGGCCGTGCCCTCCCACCATACTGCTCTCTTGCATGAAGCATTCCCAACCAAATTTTCACTGAGTATAAAACTCACCATAACAGAAATCTTGATATTCACACATCATTTCTTCAGTAAAGTAGCCTACTCAAGACATGACAATCCCTCAAAAATGTTTTGGATAGAATGCAGTAAAATAAGAAAACATTTATGTGCATGATCATGCATCTCAGACCTGAGAGGGTTATCTTATCATTTTTATTTCCAACCTCATTCCTACCAGCTACAAAGGATAAATACCACTGAAACATACAGATTGTTTAAAAAAAATGCAAACTTAAGTGGTTAGTCGCTGGCTTCCCACTGCTGCAGTCTAGTCAAGTGGGATTTGTGATGGACAAAGTGGCGCTGAGGCAGGTTTCCCCTGCCAATCCTCATTCCATCAAATTCTCCATGAGCATTATCACCGATATAGATACAATAGGACATATGGAAGCCAACATGCTGAGGGGACCTAATATGGATTCCACCTCACACTATACAAACTCTTAACTATTGTAATCTATTGTAAACAATTGTAAGTATTGTAACTTTACTCTCTTATTGTAATTAGCCAATGTACAGTAACTGACTTGTCCTTTATCATGTAACAATGATCTACAGAGACAAAATAAATAAGTACACCTATTGTTCCTATACACTGACTACTAGAAAAGATTCCTGATAGTTGACATCTAGGGACATATAGTGCTGTGTCCTTTCAGGCAGAAGACAGGAACTGTTTAGATTCAGCCACTGTTTACCCTGAATACCAAATTTATTTTATTAGGTTATTAAATACTGGGAGAACTGATATGTATACTTCTCCTGTCCTATGATGGGCTAAAATGAAATTCAGGAAACTTTTAAAACGAAAACCAAGTGCCACAGACATTACTACTATCTCCCAAGGCAGGTCTCTATTTGTAATAGTTTGTCTTATGCTCCTCTCTCAACTGCACAGGCAAAGTAGCAGAAACCTGAGAAATGAAAGTTGGTATCTGGGAAGAATGTAAGAAATGGTTACGGCTCTTCCTTAACAATCAGCTAAAGACGCCAAGTAACCAGGATCAAATCAAAGTTGAGCTGATGTTATTACAGGAAGGATATGACTGAAATAAGTATAAAAACTAATACAGGAATAAATTTATTGACACAACAACCATTTGTGCTAGGACTGCTTAATACAATAACTCTTCCATAACATTCTCGCAACCTTCTAAATCACCTCAGCCAATAAGGCCTAACCCTTTACTTGAAGGAAACATTTATTTTCAGTATACTCAACTTCATTTTCATCACATCAGAAACTGTTCCCGACAAAATCCATATGAGGTAAACATGTTTCTCTTTTACATGAGTCACTGCTTCAGGAAAAATTGTTCCACGTTCATATTGTAGTGTTCTGGGTAATGATACCATCCAGCCTGGTAGAGAAGAACCTATGTTTCAGGGTAAAAGTGACTTGTACCCTGAAGATGGACACAGTATGTTCCAGAAAACATTTCAACCTGATGACCACTGTTGTTAAAATCTAAAATTTTACAATGATGGTGAGGTATAATTTTGGAAATACGAGTATTACATTCTCAACTGCACACATTGACAAAGGCAACTGGCATTAACAGTAACAAATTATGCCATCATCGAGAGAATTGTCGGGTGTCGCCTGGCTTCCTCTTTGGTTGGCGATACACTTTGTTCTTGTGCATCTTCTGCTTGCTGTTGAGAGTACTGAAGTAGCCATAGCCTCCACCAGCTTTCCTCTTGCGGGGTCGAGCACCCTTGCTGCTGTTCACCTCTGATTCATTGTTTAGGAAACCCCAAGAACACATTTTACAATATTTCATTGCAAAGACACTGCACATTCTTTGTCAACTGGTGGTTACTGAATACCAAACAAAAATGAAATCCATCTGACCAGTAATGTGGGTTTCAACAAAAACATTTCACAATTTGGTTCCTAGTGCTCATAGCATTATTCTCCTGAAGATATCACCAGTTTTATTTAGGAAGATGGTCTTCATAAATTACTGACAATCAGAATTGCTACAGTGATTTTCAAGAAAATCATCATTTTGTTTTTTGAGGTCCATCAGAAGGGCCCATTTTTTTAGCCAGAATGTTCATATTTACCAGACACTGACCTATGATGGGTAAACTCTTCAATACTGAATATGAATACAATCTGTTGAACCATTCAGGTGTGTGCATGCATGCATGCATACATACATACATACATAATGACAGACAACATTCTCAAAAACCACCTCTTCATATTCAAGAGGGCTCAAAACATGTAAATCCATCAAAATTTCAAGACCAGTCTCCTGCATAACCTCAGTACTTTCTCACATATGCTACATACATGAGAAAATGAAAGGAGATATACGTATCCCTTGATTTATGCAATGGTTGTTTTCCAAAAATAACTTGCATAAAGCAAAATCATGTGAATTGAACATAATTTTTCCCTTCTCCCCTTGCAATTCGTCTTTGCAAACCCACACAATAATCTATTTCCATTTCTTCCCGCCTCTCTCAATGGTACGCAAGCAGTTTGCATTAAGGCAAACACTATTACTTGAAACTGGACGAAATTAGCTGATCACATTAAAATGAAACTGCGATTTTCAATCTTGCATATAACAAGTACTTGAAGGTAGCATGTAATATGTTATTATGGGAAAACATGGACTGGTAAATCATATAACAAAAAGTCGACAACATACTAAATTTTCTGTTGCTGTGTTCATGTCAGTTACCACAACATCACAATATATCCATGCCTAAATCACACTTACATCTCCACTACTACCCAACAAAAATTTTCTAAGAGTTTCTTGTTATCCTGAACCTTCCAGATATACTGCTGTACCAGTAAAATGTGAAAAAAACTGAAGCTCCTCACTCTGCAGTCTCTCCCTTCCCTTGTGTTTCTGTGGCTGTGTAAATTCCATGAAGCAGAAAACCCAACCAGCCCTCTACCTTACCCATCTGATAGCATAACAAAGGATACGAAGATCAACAGCTGGTGGAACTTGGAAACCAAACGAAGCTGCCACTTTTGACAAGTCCAGTGTCTCCACATCAAATATCTGTTTCAGGTGATGAGAGTCATATGCTCTGACATATGCCTTGTATGCCTCCTTGGCAGACAGATTGAGGAAGTAGTTCTTACCGATTAGCTTCTCTAGCTGCAACACGGCAAAAAGGAAGTTCAGTTTCATACATTCTTAATCAGAGACACCTTAAATCCATCCAAATAGTATTTAACAATTCAGTTTCTACCTCACAAAAAAAACAGTGTCTAAGTTATAAGACCAATGAGTTAATGCTGTCAGGCAAATAATCCCTGTTTATTGAAAGAATGGTATTAAGCACATAGCTACACTGCCTGAACAAAATGCAGAGTATATAAATGTTAAATTGGATGATGCATACAGTTTAATTTAATTTCGCTTAGTGGGGGGTGGAGTCGAACCGGGTCCACTCGGCACAGCAGCCACTGATTCGCCTATTGTAGCCTGCCCTGGGTGATTATGATGATGGAGAATTTGGTGGAATGAAGATTGGCAGGGGGAACTGAAGTACTTGGAGAAAACCTGCTCCAGTGCCACTCTGTCCACCACAAATCCCACTTGACCAGACCCAGGATCGAACCCGGGCCGCCGCGGTAAGAAGCCAGCGACTAACCGCGTGAGCTATGGCACTGCCGACATGCATACAGTTACCACTATACTTACAATTAATGTAACACATGCATTTTAATTAACTTTCAATTTCAAAGCATAAATTGGAAAGACGTATAGAAAATTTCAGGAACTGGAGAACAGGCATAAGTATGCAGCATTACCAGTATAAGAACAGCCAAACAGAGGGCATGCTGAAGTTTGTGAAGGTTGTGATATTACACATCCTTATTCAGAAAATAGGTTTGGCAATTACAGGACTTAAATTATATTTGTCAACACTGGCTAGCTTTTATCTATAATTCACTTAGGAACTGGATAGAATGCATAGCCATTCTTGTTTTGCCATCCTAAGAACCGAGCAAGCAATGTGGATATATACACATTCCTTTCCATCCATAAAATACAAAAGATATCCGGAAAGTAAAGATACAAAGTCCAGAAAATAGTTGTAAAGCATTTTTAGAGGGATTCACTTGTAGCACTTCTACAACACATCTTTATTTACAGTCACCATGGATCGCAATGCACTTAGTGAGCCTGAGAATGAGTTTTCTTTATTCCAGTGTCGTAGAAATCTCCTGTCTGCTCTCTTAGCCATGGAGAACAGTTCTCGACACTTCTGGATATTGCTGATGAAGTTCATCGATGGTTCAATGTCTGTCAGCATGAATGATTTCATCAGTGACAATGGATGGCCTTCCACTCCTTATTTCATCATGAACATCACTGCTTCCCACTTCAAATTCACGACACCATTTTGCCATGTATTCCTGTTCATCACATCTTCGTCATAAACAGAAATGAGTTGGCAATGAATTTCAGCAGCAGTTTCTCCTTTCACGTGAAGAAATCGAACTACTGTGTGAACCTCGCACTTGAGGGAACTTTGAATTGACTTGGCCATTTTAAACACACACTGCAAGTGCAACATTGTGATGATTGTGGCTGGTGAACTCTGACCTGTCATACAGTTCCTATCTCACATGGCAGTACTGCAATTTCTGAAGAAAATATGTCCCCTGCAGTTTTACTGGACTTTTATCTTTACTTTCCGGATATCCCTCGTAGTTTGAATTTCATCATCTTTCCATAATGTACACAAGCAGTTTTATGTAACGTATGTAGGGCAGAAAATGTGAAAGATACTGTTGTCTTTCCTTATGACAGAAGACTGTGGTATTGTGATATTTTGTACTTCTAAGTTTAAAATAATCTGTCATGGTATTATCAAATTTCTTAAAAATGCTCCATATATAACACAACATTCTAAAAAATTCTTAAAAATGCTCTATAAATGACACAACCTCCTAAAAATTTCTGTTCTGATACATGCATCCAAATTTTGAAGCTAAAAAAATCTGGAGAGAAACATAGAAATTATGTGAGCAAACACTGTAAATAAAACAGAATATCAGTTTCTCATGGCAGCGAACATTAAGACTGCAATCTTTTAGCATATGATGCCAGTCAGTCTGGTAACCATCAACCAAACTACACAGTCTCATCTCAGAACACTCCAGTCTGAACTGTATGTAAAACTTTATTCACAACAAGTGGTGATCACTGTTATGCACTTACTTGTAATTGAATGTCAGCAATCTTGTTCCATGAGAATTCAAACTCATTAAGCGGAATACGTGCTTGTTTGAGATACCGCAAGAAGCCCAGTTCCTCAGGCCGTAAGATTAACAATGCATGGCCTTTACCCCCCTCGCCACGTGCAGTTCGTCCAACTCTGTGGATGTATTCCTTAGGGTCATCTGGTGGATCGTACTGCACAATCCAGTCAACAGCCGGTATGTCGAGCCCTCGCGCAGCCACATCTGTACACAGCAGGATTCCTGTCTCTGCATTACAGAACTGGAAGAATGTTGTCGTACGTTTTGTCTGCTTCTGCTTTCCCTGTTCACAGCAAAACACCTCATCATTTTCAAACCACAACAAAAACCATAATTTAAATACAAATGGCCATGATTTGCAATAATCTGGTATTACTTGAGGTTCACACAGCTGTATTTGCATACTGAATACAATTTTAAATACAATATACACAATATGGAATATTCTAAATTATTCATGCACAACTTTTAGGCATGTTTACAACTCATTGAAGTGCCAGTTGACTCTGCTCGATCCACCTGTTTATTTTAGAGATAAAACAAGTTGAGAACTGCTGGATGGATTTTCATGAAATTTGATAGTGAAGAACTTCATGAAAAACTGGTAAGTAACTTCAATTTTAACTTATATTGAACAATATTAATGACCACTTTACATGAAAACCTAAGTGCATTTCTGCATGTATTATGAGCATAAATTCCTAAATATTTATGGGGGTGAAAATATATCAAACAAAAACTGTAGAGAAATTAAACATATCTTATATTCAGTGACAGCACAGTCAGTACAGCAACTGGCTATGGGCTGGGCAACTGAGGGGCCAGAGTTTGGGTCCCTGTAGTCATGATTTTCTCTCCTCTAAGTTGTCCAGACTGCCTCTGGGGCCCACCCAGCCTCTTATTCAATGGATACTGGGGGATCTTTCCTTGGCGGTAAAGCAGCCAGGGCTTAAAGCTGCCCACTCACCTCCAACTAGTGCTGAGGTCAAGAAAATGTGGCTCTATACATCCACTCTCCCATAAGCCTTCACGGCGTAGTGCTTAATTAGTTAAGCATAGAGAGAGCTTTATCTTTTTTTTATCTATTATGTTTTCCACACATCTTAGAGATTTTGAGCCAACAGGTCATTATTACTAATTTCCACAGAAAATTTTGTTTTAACCACATTACTGTATCACTTAAATTTGTTTTGGTATACAATAGCAATGCTCAAACTGTGTGTCAGAGTAGCTGGTTCTTATGGGTACTTCATGGAGACAAATAACATACATGTATACTCATGACAGGCAGGTCAATGTAGTTGAGGAGTTCGTGGTGAAACTTGACAGAGAGACATGAGCTGAAGAATACCATCACCTTCTTCTTACGGTTCTTTTTGAGGAATGTGAACAGAAGCAGGAACCTTTTCTCTGATGGACACACCACATAGCCTGAAAACATAATACACAACAAAACTAGACAGTGTTGAAAAACACTCTACTCTCAATGTGATTTCCTCAGGACCTACTCCCAAGGGTTTTTAAATAAGACACACTGAAAAAGAATATATTCTTCCCAGACAAGCTGTACAATTTTATATGATAGCCTTCAAACTATTGGCATATAAAAAGTAACACTGTATCTGCTCATACCAAGCCTCAAACCCTTTTACTACATAAACCTAACACAGTTGCTGAGTGGCAGCAATTATGCTTTCTGGAAGTTCCCTGGGTCAAATCTTGACCTGGAGACTGGTTATCCTGACTGAGGATCTTTGTGGTTTTCCTCAGTCCCTTCAGATATATACTTGCATACTATCTCAAATTAGGCCATAACCATTTCCTTCCATATCCTTTCCAATACATTATTTATTAATTATTCTATCATTCAATACTATATATTCTAAACTAGCGACAGTGTCTTTAAATAACCAAACAAATAACCTATACCAATATCTTGCACTCATCAATATGGCAGCCACACGAATGAGTAAAGTGGTGATGTCGCCAGCACCATTCAATGCTGGATCTTAGAATGATGTATGGTGATAACAGATGTGTGAAAACACCATAACTTACACAGGAACAAGAATGCAGTGACCAAATGCTGCGACAAGAACAGTCAAGGATTCAAATAAGATAAATAATATTCATTTCAGCTAACAAACCTTGCTCCAGCCCCTCCACAGTTGCTTTGTCTGTTTCATCATCCACACCAACATAAATGGGTTCCTTCTTGAGTGCCAATCTGGTAAGAGCCTCTGTCTTCTGTGTGGTGGTAGCACTGAACAGCATGGTCTGGCGTCGCTCTGTCCAACATAAAGCACTTAAACTGACATTTGTGAGCCAAGTGGCATTAGGGCATAGTGGCATATCTCACAAATTCAGTTCTTCAAGTATGAGTAGCACTGAATGCAAGATTCTTCAATGCAACAAAGCCACAAAGCAGAAACTGCAACACTGACTAACTGAACACACTGTGTACAGCTGATAAAATTTAGTTTCCTACCTCCTGACTACTCAAAATGTTTTGGATCAGCATATTATACAAGATCTACCTGTGTACATGTACTGACATAAACTAGTGTCATTCTGTTGTGCCACCTACTTCACAATACAGTGCAGACTCAGAGGGGAAGACAGTGGCTATCCTCTGGAATGTGATGCCATGCAGCCTTGCCTGCTTTCAAACTCAATACAGTGAGAACCTAAAAATATCAACACTGAGATACATACAAGAGCCATGCGTCTGCTTTTCTTTTTAGCAATTCTTAGATTCACACAACTGTCCTAAGAGTAGAGCAACATATTTTCAATTTTTCATAAACACTGTAATACCAGTTAAAAAGGTTAAAACTGGAGGTAAAGTTGTTACTGTGCATCATACCATGAAGACAGGATTATGGTGGTACAGATCCACACATGCTCAACCTAGGCTCTACATAGAAGTGTCATCAGCTTCACATCCTGGCCACTTTACAACCAGGGAAGACTGCAACAGCACCCACCAGATAGGTCACAGAGCCTCTCAGGGCATGGTGGAGAGAAGAGAAATCTCTGCCCTTTCCAGGACCCAAGCCCTGATTTTTCAGTCATTCTGCTCCGAAGCTAATCACTACAGAGCCTCAAGCAAAGAGGAAGTGACAAAACAAATGTCATATATATATATATCCATTCATGTTAAATGGGTCACTTGTCACAACATGTCGCATCCTCAGGTCACAAGACAAACCTCCAGATATGGAGAGTACCTAAGAATGTACAAATAAGCAGAAGGACCAGCAAACAAGAAGCGGTCCTGTAGGCTGGGAACTGATCAGTAAGCTGATAACACCTTACTGTAAGGACTAGCGTATTATGGAATGTCATGAAGAGTCTTGGGCTCAAACAGGCTATTTCAAGTGTACGTGAGTCATGGTAGCGTAGTGGTTGAGGAGCTATGCTACAAGCCAGAAGGTTGCAGGTTCAAGTCCCGACGAGGTCATTGGATTTTTTTTTCAGTTGACCTAATCCTTCCAGCCACACTACCCCTACTCAGCCTCTAACAGAAATGAGTACCAGGAATTAATTTTTGTAAAGCGCGGCTGGCACGTAAGGCTGACAACCTTAAAACCATCTTTGAGCCGATTGTCTAGAAAATGTGGGAACATCAACATCTCACAACCCTATGGGCCTTCACAGCCTGGTACAGGGATAGCTTTACTTTACTTTTTTACTTTAACCTGAGTCATGGAAAATGGGCATGATATTTGGAACCTGAAATATCAGGAGTCTGCACAAATCAGGTTCAATCACTACAGCAGCAAGTGAATTAGCAAAGTAAAAGCTGAGTTCTCAGACCTGGTCTCTGAACTGCATATGAAGAGAAGTATGGCAAACAGAAGGATAGTGGTCGCAGATGAATGGCGGGATGGAGGGAAGGTAACTGCATCCGACAATCTTTATCTATGTTAGTTGATTCAACCAAATTCATCGTGCATCCTGCTGAGGGCAGCTAACTCTAAAATCATGCACGGTATAAGTTATATTTCAAAGAGCACCAAATTCTAATCCTCAGAAATACAGGGTGTTTCACGACTGTAGGGCATAATTGCAGGAGGTGATTTCCTAGGTCTTCGTGATCAAAAAAGTTCATATAAACATGTGTCCGATTTTGGACGGTTACGGAGTTAGACCATTTTTTCATTCCCGTACATGCCCTCATGTGAACTGCGTCTTGTCATCTGGCGGGTTGCTATTTTTAGCCAGCTACAGACAGAGCGTTCTCGTTATCTCGACACTTGAGAGGTACCTAAGGCGCGGTGGGTTGGTATGTCTGGCACGGTTCACAACCGAGTGGCAGCCTGTGTTGCGGCCGGCAGTGGCATTTTCGAAAATCAGCTTTAAGCACCAATAAATTCAAATTAAAGGTAATTTCACGAAGTTAACTTTACATTCATACTTTAAATGTATCATGTATTATGCTGGTTTATTATTTTGTTCCGTTTATTGTCAGTAATCGTTACCTTCTATTCTGAGTTTAAAACGGTCATAACTCCGTAACCGTCCAGTATCGGCCACATGTTTATATGAACTTTTTTGATCACAAAGACCTAGGAAATCACCTCCTGCAGTTATGCCCGAAAGTCGTGAAACACCCTGTATATAACTGAAGCTGGAAAGAAACTAAAATAAATTAAAAAGGGAATTTACTTCCTACATCTATATAATGTGTTCATAACAACTCACTGGGAAGGAGGTTAATGATCTGTTTCAGTTCCTCCTCAAAGCCAATGTCCAGTATTCGATCGGCCTCGTCGATAACCAAGCACTGTAAGTTCTTGAAAAGGAAGTCTGGTGTGTTCTGAAGATGGTCCAGCAGTCGACCAGGAGTGGCCACCAGCACATTGATACCTAATTTGGGAATTGCAAAGAGGATCTTGAAATGCATAAGATAAACACTAGATATAAATATTGTCATGTGTATGGGGTATGCTTGATGAAAAAATAACAGGTTCTAGATCGGAGGATTGGATTTATTAGCACTTAGGTCACAAATTCTCCTGATCACTCTTATTATAGCGCTATCACCGATTTACACACTTTCCATTCACCACTGCACATGCACCAGATTCTCTGTCTTCATTAGTCATCTCCTTGCAACGGATCTCAACACAGAAACTAGCACTTCAGATAACGACGAAGTAGTCTTCCTATTTCGTCTTCAATCGCTCTGGAACCTCGGAACTAAAAATTCTTCTTGACTCACTCCTCCAGCTTACAACTGACTTGTAACTGCCCTGAACTGAGCTTGCTTTTGCATTCACTTCTCTTATAAACACACTGCACAGACCCCATGAAAAACACCGTCTCTATTGTTCACAATGTCACCTCTTTCATAGTACAGTCCGATACATGGAAATGTGTTTACCAAACCAATGCCTACAAGCTGGTTGCATAACCCCGATGTTCCACCACTGCTCACCACGGATGACATAGAAAACACAACCTCATGTATTGCTGCATGTTGGATCATGTTTACAGAGCTGCTGCCTGGCAACGCTGTGATCAAATCTGTTGTACTATAATAATGTAGTGATGAAAATATATTTGTGAACATACATACAACAGCAATACTGTTTGTATTAAGACACTTTTAATACAGAGAATAAATAAAGAAACTAAAATGTTTAGATCTTAGTAACTGAAGATGTGTTTATGATCTATAAATATGCCTCAGCTAACATACTAATTGTGATTTTTTTTGACAGAAACACTGTGCTGTCCTTACCTTTGGACAGCTTCTGCATTTCTGTCTGCCTATTTGCCCCACCCATGATAAGCCCATATGTGTGATGATGGTATTTCATGAGCTCCTTCAGCACACCAAATGTCTGCATGGAGAGTTCTCTTGTGGGGGAGATGACAATACATCCTGTTCCTGTAACAAAATGAAGGTTCATGGATATGTCAGCAAGGATTCTTTTCATTTGCTGTATTATAAAGAAATGTTACATTCAAGTCATAAAGTTTTAAAACATTATATGACAATGTCAGAAGTGCCTAGTAAAGGCAGAAATATTTGTGTCATGACCCTAAAAATTAAAGATCTGTCAATGCTTAGATCTCTCTAGTCACCTTGCCTCTTGATTTTTACAAGACTTCAGCGGCAACATCATGTATAAACTCACCATTCCGAGGCATGAATTTCAGCTTGTAGATAAGTTCAACAGCAGGGATCAGGAAGGCCAGAGTCTTGCCAGAACCAGTTTTGGCGGATCCTACCAAATCTCGCCCTTCCAAGAGTGGAGGAATAGCCCGCGCCTGGATTTCAGTGAGAGTACTGAAGCCCATATCTGCCACTGCCTTCAGTGTGTTCTCACAGACCTTGTCAGCAAGAGAGGCAAATGTGGCACTGCTCAGAATGGACAGTGCAATTCCTGAGCCTGGAACTGAAGATAATTTGCTTTGCAGGTATGTCTAGCATTAGCCATAATGCAGTGACTTTGTGAAGGAAACAGAGAGAAATTTACAGGAATGGTTCCCACCAAAACCTACCTGCTCAGTGGGTTATTTCATTATGTGTATTTTGCATCCTGTTGTGTATCTCCATGCTATATATATCATAACATCATATATATATCATATTATATATATCATAACACAACTATAAACAAACAACTGAAGAAATGATTATTATCGGTGAAATCGGTATTTAATCAGTAAGCATACTTGCTTCATGTTCCGATCATATGCCGTCATCATCAGGCATTTAAAAATATTAAAACTGTTGTCAACACACATCATTGGACTGCTTATTACAGTGGATCCACTGTTACTAGTCTCATCTTATACAACCTATTCATCAGGTTATGACACGGTAAATTATATTGAATTGAATAATTAGTGTAGGTATGCCGTGTTTACTATTATTACAGTATGAACTAAAATTGGAAGTTAAATTTAATCTTTAGTTTACCTTGTATAGGGCTTTTAGTGTAAGGGAGTAGGGGGATTGGGGTAGGCCAGGTGGTGTGTTGAATTATTACAGTGTATAGGGTATGTATTTTGTGGGGCGCAGATGTTAGGTATGTGGTATATATGTGTATATTGTGGGAGCTGGGTACTGCAAATTCTAGATATATTCCATACCGCTGGCTTCATGTGGATTCGTGATTTTGTTGTGTCTGAAAAATGAATACATATATGTGCATCCTGTTGTATATTGCAAAGAAAAAAGTTCTTTTGTGTTACTACCTGTGTGTATGTATGTATCATATGTTGCCTATTTTCTTATCCTACAATAAAATGCTTTACTGTGGGTTTCTTGGATTGAAGTTGCTGTTTACAGCTATGTGTTTAACATGCATTGATTACTTTGTTGTTCTGTATGGAGGTGTTACAATGTGAGTTCCTTTTGAACTGATGCCGCTGTTCCTGGTATTCTGAAAGATGGATTTTTGAATAATGTCAAAACATGTAGTGAGTATGCTTAGTGAATAAATACTGATTACACTGATAATACTCATGTCTTCAGTAGTTTATTTATACTTGTGTTGTGATATATATAGCAGTGGGGGGTAACATCCTATAGTATTTAGGCTGGAGGGGGAACCCTGTTTGGTAACAACCAGTACCTTTTCTGCCAATGAGCATAATATTTCTGATATGTTAAAGATTATATGGTCCGTAATAAAATTTTTCTGGTGCTGATACTTATGATGATATGATGGTAAGTTTACCATATACACTGAACTGCTGGTGGGCCCAGAAATACCTTAATTGAAGATAAGGGAAAGACATGTTTCTGGTTTCAAATCTAAGATATTTGGCACGCAAGTCCAAAGCCTTATGCCTACACTTGCTGATCCCCACATGAAATATATTGCACATAAATACATTTACGTTTTTTTGCCAAGTCCTCTGAACTGACTGTAATATCTATTTGTGAGCTTGCTTCTCCTTCTTCTGTTGATTCATCATCATCATCTCCAGCAGATTGCTCTTCTCCGTTATCTCTCGTTCTGGCTTTCTTTATCTTTTTCCCTGCAAAACGACAACATCTTATTCCATCTGCCTTCATACATAACACATCTACAACAGATTATTTCCTCTGTACCCACAATACAAGGAAGTGACATCTAAACCGCCAATGGTCTTTGCTATGGTATTCAATGTCTAATTATCTTTCCATTCATTAGGCAAATGAAACAATTCTAACTACACTATGAGAAGCAACACAAAATAGAAAAAGCATTCAATGTCCACTCACCTTTCACAGAACTGTTACTGCTGACCAGATTTTGTTTCCTCTGATCATTGTTCACAACCTCTATTATGTCCTCTACTTTCTCACCAACCCTCGTATTTACTGTAACATTAATGGCTTATTATATTTAGAAATTACAAAACAAAGTTGTTGACCTCTGCAATAAGAAATATGCCCAATCCCACAATAAAAATGATGTGAGAACAGCAAATCGCAATTTACATACAATTGGAAAACACCTCTACTGAAAAATTACACATAAACACATTACTTAAAATTCTGTAAGATTACTGGAACTACATATCTGAGTGCAACTTAAATAGAGGCCAATAATGACTTCATTATCTGAATGTATGACCCTCTGACTTTGTGTTCCACTTCTTTGCCTTCTATGCGCAACTTCATCTAATATTCACTCATCTCCGTCTGTATATTACCACATGTTTTGCGCTAATTGGACAATGGATGAAGGACTCAGCTGTGTTTGGTTTACAGTTTTGTTGGTTTGTTGATGTTCGCAGATTCAGTGTGTAGCTGTTCTGAATGTTTTTGTAGGAGCAGAAGCTTCCCGCTTGGCTGTTGGCCAATGACCATGATGGCCAACAGCCAAACAGCAAGCTCGCACTCCTACAAAAACATTCAGAACAGCCACAACCTGAATCATACAAAAATCAACAAACCAACAAAACCATAACCAAATACATTCATGGCAACAGCGCTATAACCATATAATCTAAAATAATCTGAGGTATTACAAAAAGAAAAGCAGAACATGAGCATAGCAGAGCAGCAGTTTCCTTCATCACAACAACTTATACACCTGATGATGTCCAATAGACCAAAACATGTAGTAATATACAATAAAGAGAAGACAAGTGAATATTAAATGAAGTTGCCCACTGACAGCAGGAAGTGGAAAACAAAGTCGGATCTGCACAGTGCAACAGGATGCCACAATATAATACTGTTTCCATTGAAATTTTCATACATTCATAATATTACGAATGTATGAACTTTGCGATCACTCATCCAAGGAATCGTACTGTCTGCATAAGAAAGATTACAAAAATGAAGAAGAGGCCAGGGCCCAACAAAAGGCTGTAGAGCCACTGATGAATAGATGGATGAAAGAATGAATGAACTTTGCAAATGAAAACAACATTAATGGGAAAAGAGAAAGTGAATGTTAGAGACTTAGTGATGTACAAAACATTTATTTAGAGAAAAATAAAAATCTATAAACTGCATATTCCGACTACAGCAACAAACACTTGGTTACGTATACATGCATTTCTTACATACCATCATGTAAGCCTTGCCAGCTTCCATAGAATAACGTTTGCATTCAAAGACACAGTTTGACAATCAAGCATTAAAAATTATTGTGTACTGGGCAAAAACTGCAATTTAACATTATGCACCATGTATAATCACACCTCTGTTAACAAGCAACAATCCCAAAGTACAATATATTCATTCATAAATGGCTTTACTGCCCTTTATTGGGCCCTAGCCTCAGTTTCATAATCCTATACACTCGGTGGGAGCCAGGATGGTGTAGTCGGTAGAGCAACTGGGTACAGGTTGGTTGACCGAGGGGTCGGAGTTCAAGTCCTGGTAGGGTCAAGAATTTTCTCGTCTCCACGTTGTCCAGACAGACTCTGGGGTCCACCCAACCTCCTAGTCAATGGGTACAGGGGCCTCTCTCCCCGAGGGTAAAGCGGCCGGGGCGTGAACCTGACCATTAACCTCCTACTGGTGTAGAGATCAAGAAAATGTGGATCTATACATCTACTCCCCCATACGTCTTCATGGCGTAGTATTTAATTAGTTAAGCACAGGAGACAACTTTACCTTATACACAGTCGATTGGACTCCTTGGACGGGGAATCAGCCCGTCGCAAGGCCGCTACCTACAAACAGGACAGCTAGAAACAAAAATTAATGCAGACATTCATGCCTCAAATGGGAATCGAACCCCTGACCCCAGGATTCGAGCGGGCGAAGACAATTCATGTCTTTGACCGCGCGACTATGAAGTAAGATATATGAATTGTACAATTCTAATTAAGGTTATGTTCACCCACATGTCTGTTCAGTTTGGGTCTTTTCCTTAAGGAATTTCAGTTTCTTGTGCTCTCTCTTCTTCAGTTTCCGTAGCAGTATCTTCTCCGGTACAGACATGGTTCTTATTAAATTAGGTATCTTCCTACACCTTAGAACGAAGACCACAGCAAAAACTGCATCTATACCACATACTCACACCCCAGAATGGCGACATGGCCGCGGTGACGTCACGTGGCATTACTGCTGCCATCTCTACGCAGACGTACCTTGACTAAATTAGAAATGGACACCAGCACAGACAGCATGATCAATACAATAGAGTACTACCATACCATCCTATGCGTCCTTCCCTCCGAGCCCTTTGGAACCAAAGTTCATATGAATAGCAATACATAATTTTGCAGCCACATCTCTTGTGCTGCAGAGGTTCTTACTCTGTTGTGTTTTTTTCTTTTTCTGAACTGGGATGAATATTAATTAACTCATATTCGTTCCAAAGGATATGAATGAAGTGATATTGAACCCAGGTCAAAAAATAAGGGGGAAAAAAAAAACAATGGAGTAAGAACCTCTGCAGCACAAGGGGTCAGGGTTGCAAAATCATAAAGTTTCTCACCAGTGCCTGTAAAGTCATAACATTTTCTTCATATCAATCCAACATCTTACCCAAATGCATTGGACATTGTGAACTATAATATACAGAGAATACTTGTGTTTTGGAAAGCTGAAGGTGGGGAACTTGAAAGAAAATTCTGTTTCCATCATATATACTTCTATTTAACCTCACATCAGTGAATAGGAGCTCAGATTTTTTATGGGAGGGTTAAGGTATGAACCAAATATAAATAAGTGGCAAAAATCATAATGGACAGGCTACTTACTCTAATACTACCAACTCAAATCAAGGAAAAACTAATCAAACTACATCTCATTTCCTGAAGGTATGTCATCAGAATATAAGAGGATTATTTGATAAAACCGAACAACTGTTAAATTCCTTATTACCTGACCCCCTCATATAATATGTTTGACTGAACACCATTTAAAAGAATATGAAATAAATAAAATGTGTAGATAATTATGTATTAGGGGCCAATTATTGTAGATCAACATACAAAAATGGGGGTGTATGTATTGGGACATGTTGACCCCTACCTCCCCAGCTGCACGTAGCGGTAGTTACCATATCCACAAGGGACTCAATCAACTGTATGGTGCATTGTCCATTGTGTCAAATAGCTAGAAGCTGAGTACTCACAGAAATGAGCGGAGAGGCCTCTTCGTTAGATGATGCACAACTCGTAGCTCCCCCATCAGATAGAGATCTCAGTGATTTGGAAGGATCACCATCAATGCCACTAGAGCCAGATGACTTGGCACATGCGCTGTTTTTAGTCACATAATGGACAAGCATTCCAGCTGGCCACCATGAAGCCACACAGAGCACACAAACACTGGATTCACAGGATACAAGTTCTTGATATTTGTAGCAAGCAGCATAAACAGGAGCACGCAGTACAACACGTCCGCTCACCCCAAGCGCTCGAGCAATAATAACAATAATAACAACAACAACAACAACAACAACAATAATAATAATAATAACAATGGTACTATCAGAAAAAAGTGTAAGTTTGGATTGCAAATTGATGGTTGCAGGTGGATCATTGTCATCTGTTAGAAAGAACTGAGGAACAAGTACTGAACCTTGAGGAACTCCATGTTTTATAATACCCCATAGTGAGTAAATTTCATAATTCAAGTCTGATGATTTTATTTCTACTTGTTACTTCCTGTTATGAAGCTACAATTTAAACCACTGCTCAACTATATCTCAAATTCCATAAAACAAACTGTATTTTGTAGCAGTATGCATGATTTATATAATCAATGCTTTAGCAAGATCACAAGGTAGTATTTCATGAACATACATTTTATTATTAAGAGCACATAAGATTTCATCTGTAAAAGTGAACAGAAGTTTATCCAATGAAACATTCTTCCTAAATCCAGATTGCCCATCTATGAGGGTGTACCCTAAACTTAAGGTAAGTTTAAGAAATAATTTATTTTTTATACACATCTTCATATATTTTAAAGAATATGAGCTGTGATACCAAGCCCTATCTGGTGGTTGCAAAAGTTAAGAATACACTACAATTAGAAGTTTAAATTATGACTTAAATTACCTATAAATGATTTAATTTTTTAAACACATTTCTGATTTAATTTTGTTCTTGATTTCTAGTTTTTCAGTTGAGTGGAATCCTTGATTCCTTTTAGATGACTCAGTCATTAACATTTGGTTAACACATAACAGCTAAAATGAGTAGTTCAAGATGTTGTGTCCACACTCTCAACTGTGTTCCAGGTCATGCAGTTCTGTGAATTACCTAAGTCTTTAGATTTTTTGTGACATTAAACATAAGAATAAACTCAATTATAAGTATGCAGCTAGGCACCATGACAACTATGCAGGTTGCTGCCATTGAGGGTTGTTGGTTCTTCCCCCACATAAAATGTTAAGGCTGACTGCTATGAGCATCACACCCCTTCAGGATGACCCTCCCCTTACTAAAATGTACTAGACCATTGTAAACTCTAACATATTGTGGAATATTGGCTCTATGGAGGAACTGTTGAGCCACAGAGGCCACGGAGCATACGAAGGGGGACCCAAAAATAACCGGAAACGACCTGTTGCGTGCGCATGCTTTGTAGTTACGAGTTGTGCTGCTAGGTGGTGTTAGCTGGGGGTCTCCCGCGACTGTTTGTGAGCTGGCGTCAGTCTGAGTTAAGTGGTTTGTCTGTGGTGCTCTGTTGTGTGCGTTCCTGTTTCAACCCTTTGGCGATTAGTGAGATGGCCGACCAGAAGGAACAAAGAGTGTGCGTGAAATTTTGCTTTCTGTTAGGGAAAACTGCACTTCACTGCGGCAAACATTCACACGGTTTTCTCTTTGGTCATCTCCAAGCAAACGAGGAACAAATTTTGCAGACACCCGTCTCATGTGCAAACCTTCGGTTAAAATTCGCTGGACCGTGCTCCATGAGATGTTCGTTTCCTCAGAAAGTTGGTCAATGGTCTTTCGACGATCTTCATCAATTGCACGTTTGATTTTGGCAATGTTTTCGTCATTTCTTCCTGTCGAAGGACGCCTGGGGCGTGGCATGTCTTCTGTTGACATGTTGCCAGATTTGAAACGGGAAAACCACTCGTAGACCTGTGATTTCCCCAAAGCATCATCATTAAAGGCTTGCCGAAGCATCCCAACAGTCTCGGCTGCAGTTTTCCCTAACAGAAAGCAAAATTTCACGCACACTCTTTGTTCCTTCTGGTCGGCCATCTCACTAATCGCCAAAGGGTTGAAACAGGAATGCACACAACAGAGCACCACAGACAAACCACTTAACTCAGACTGACGCCAGCTCACTAACAGTCGCGGGAGACCCCAGCTAACACCACCTAGCGGCACAACTCGTAACTACAAAGCATGCACGCGCAACAGGTCGGTTCCGGTTATTTTTGGATCCCCCTTCGTATTGTGGAATATTGGCTCTATGCAGGAACTGTTGAGCCACAGAGGGCGCGGAGCATATGTGCTAATGACATATCAACGAACCATATATCATAGTTATTTGTATCTGAACACAACTTTTAAAGGTTTTTGCTGATGGTGTATACTACTGACTGATATTTCAGGAACTGTCTGTTATCCCTGTTTTTTTTCATATCACATCATTTCAGAAAAGCATAAGTAAAAAATCCTACTCTCTGCTCTGCCAAGGGACCCAATATACTTCTATTCAAACAACATGGAAGAGGAGGAAGATTTCTCCCTCAGCAAGATGTGTCAGCCTCTCATCCACACCCTGGAGGAACACAGACTGTTCTCTCCAACAGCAAGGCAGTGCATTTATCTGCGCTATCCCTAAAGTGAGTCACCTTCCTACCTTCAGTAGCACTTTCTTGGTCACCATTCCTATTGGCCCAGACAGAGCCCTACTACATCTTCCCCCCCTTTCTTGCAGCTCTAATTTGACACTAGCTTTATGTGCTTTTTTGCTGACCCATGTCAACATCTAACCTTACTCACTTCATCCCTGAAGGTGGATGCAGCAAGTTCCTCCAGAACTTATCTGCCTGCAAGACTATGAAGTGTCACAATCCAGAAGACCACAATCTGAATACTCACCGCTGTGAAACTTCAAATAGTTAATCTGTCTCCAGACCCCCATGTTTAATTACACATGATGCAATGTAGGAATCATGTGGGCTTGATAGATATTTTTGACGCAGCAAAGTTCACTATTCTAACCCCATTTCATTAACAATTTCAGGTGAACTCCTATTCTAATTTGAGATTTGAAAATACCTATTACGTCTCTTATATTAAAATCTCCAACCATATCGAGACTCCATATAATATTTCATGCCACAGCGAGAGGTTTCTAGCCTCTGCACAGGTACCAGGCTGGATCACCCGTTGCCAGTTATACACAACTAAATATTCAGTAACTAGCATGCTTATCATTTCCATGGGACTCTGAATTCCCTGTACACTTCTGGAAGCTGTCTGTACCTGAACACAGACATCCAGGGTGTGCCAGTTGCTGTATGCAAGTATGATCCACTGATTTTACTGTTAAATTTTACTGACCATAAAGAATTCGCGCAGTAATTTGTCACAACAAAGGCAAAAACTTCTAAGAGCAATGTTAAATTAGACCTGTCCCTTTTGTATGGCTGTGAAACATGAAATTCTTGACTGTTACCCACAGAAATTTGTAAGCTGCTGTTGGAGATGAATTTCAAACATACACATGATGGCCAGAAGTGATTTCCAACTAACAGCTTCATAACAAGACAGGATAGACAGAAATTGTATTGGAACTCAAAAGAAGAAAATGGAAACATGTCAAAAATACGCTAAGGAAGCAAAAAAGAGTGGTGACAAGGGGCATGTTGGAAGGATATCCTCAAGGGAGTAAAAGAAGAGGAACACTTAGGAGAACTTGACAGAGAGAAATCAAGATGGTTTTAAAACACGGTAAACCATGGAACAAAGTTAGAAGGTGACAGAATACAATATGACAGCAGCACTTTTTAGATGAACCTATGATTCTCCTGTGAGTAACAGGAGTGTGGGTGGACATTCAATTGTTGCTTGGGACAGTGGCAGAAAGTACAAACTGCTGAAATCACACACTCAGTTTAATTGAAACTAAACATGTACACCTCAAAAACAGCCCAGCACAGTAATATTAAATCAGTCATTAAATGTAAAACATCACTTCCTATAAATAAAAAATAAAAGCATAACTCACATGATGCAAGTGACTATTTACACCCTGTAATAAAGTTCATTTCATATAGGACTGCAAGAACCTTTAACAAGCACAACACTTTATATGCATTACAAATTCACATCTGACCTGATCTCTGGAATGCTAAGAGTTCTCATTGTGCAGTATGTCTGGATCTGTTCAGGCAGGCAGCAGTAGCATTGATTGTTGCTTCAAGGTCCTAAAACCAGAAAGTGCTGTGCCTTGTTAGAGAATAAGTTTTATCAGTCGTATGTTGCACAATCATCACCAGCACCCATAAGACCATGGGGTTTAAATACCAATTTCCCATATTATAAAGCTCAACCCTTCATGACGAGTGGTGCCTATAAGTATCACTTGCCTCAGCAGACACTAACTCAGCAAAACTCCAGTAAAATTAATGTATGGTTCCCTCAATAAAAAGTGGACCAATACTGGTAACAAATGCAGATGTTTTCTTAGAAGAAACTAGATCTTATATATTGACCAGACTGCCCACATATTATGCCTGTTTATAACGATCTTAGCCCATCAAACATACACTGTGGATGCACCGAGTTCTCTGATGTGACATGAATTACAAAGTGATATGCAATTCACTGACCTAACCACTTGTTCTGCAACAAACATCTGGTATAAATACAAAATATGTGAGCCTACAAAAAACATTAATGTCATACATGAAAACCTCTCTCTGCCTGCCTAAGGATGTGGAGGATTAGTAGTGTAACACCTGTAAGCACATAACTTGTAATGTTTCAAAGATTCACCCTTATTGCTGCTTCTAACACCAACTGATCATGCAGCGCAACTGATGTGTATCATCCATCACGAACATTATAGCCAATGGGAGGCAATGGTTCAGTCTACAAGAAGCGTTCATAGAACAGCAAGTAGGCCTGGCTGCGAAGAACTCGCTCCTCTCCCACTTCGCTGACACGAGAATCACTCACAAAGTACCACTTCCCTGCAGGCGCCTTCGCATTGTCAGAATGCCCCTCCACCACTTGACTGGGGACCTGATGTTCTGTGGGGAGGAATGACCACCGTGGATCAGTGTCTTGTACAGGGGCACGCACCTGCAGCAGACAAAAGCATTACTCCTTGGAACCAGGCATGATCACTTTATAAGCATTCTCTGTGACATGAGGCTTACCTTCACATAGGCAACATAGTGGCCCCCATGAAGCGTGCCACTGTGCTCAACCACCCCATACAGAGCATACAGCACATGATTCTCTCCAGGCTTCAGCATCAGTGAGTCCTGCAACAAAACAATCGCTTTATATTCATTATTACAAAGTTCAGCTCCTCTACAGCTTAAATCTGATTACTGTATTTGAGCACGTATAAGCCAGGCCTAGATTTCTGGGTCAAGAATTTGGAATAAATAATATTTCATATGTAAGCCATACTGGATTAAAAGGGTTATCAGTAACAGCATTTCTGATAATCTGTCAGCGCTGTTGCAGTCTTCCAACTTCTAGGAATCAATGGTGTCAGCTACGCTCTGATGATCAATAATGGCCATATACCAGAAATATGTTGGTGCCTTCACATGTATGCAACAGCTTACCAGAAAACAGTCTTAACAAATGACCCACTTCAGTAAATGTGTGTCCCAAAAAAAATTTATGTGTTGGGAAAATGAAATCCATTTGACTAGAGTAATGCTTTGTGTGATGATTCATGTCACTGTGAAATCTGGCCATTTTCTCAAACATTACTGGTCACTACCAGAGGTTTCACAACATACAATATTGGCTTTGCAGGCTTAGTCATCTACTGAATTGGCCCCCACCAAGGATCTACTTTTTTAAATATTACACAATATTCTATGTTTAAGCTTTGGAACATAAATTTGTCAAAAAAAAAAAGGCAGCTTATATACATGCAAATACAGTAATAACATTTATGACCAAAGTAAGATATAAAAATAAAAAGCAGTTCTGAATATCCTGAAACTTGGACTAAACTACTAAATCAGAAGGTGGAGCAAGAGCACAATACAAATACAATTCAATCATAAACCAGCAATAGTGATAATGCCAAACACAGCATTATTTTTAAATTTTGATTGTTTCATAGAGCTGACGAGTATAACATCACTTGCAGCAACAGACAGTGATGTGTGTCTTGAAAACTAAATGTCACATCAAGTATGTTGTTCAATATTTATTTTTTTACTTGGACAGCTTACACATTAATTTGTTTCACCCTGTATACAGTTCTTAATTACAGTAGAACTTGGTTATAGCGTCATCAAAGGGACCTAAAAATAGTGTCGTTATAAACGAATGTCGTTGTAACCGAAATGGGCACTTCCACAGTAGCCTTATGTTAGTCACGTAAAAATCTACCAAAAACCGAGTTAAAATGTTGCATTTTTTAGTGAAATACGTAGTTAAGTACAGACTAACGTAACATTAACGTGGAATTAATATGGATTCTCCATATCGTTTGTACTGTAGAATTCACCAAACCAAATTCGCGGCATACATCAGCTTTTTTCCTTCCATTTTCTATTTCACGAATCACTTTAACTTTCTCTTCAATGCTTAAAACTTTCCTTTTCATTGCCATGTTTTCGCTACTGCACTTCTCTGGGTTTAGGCAGGAACACTATAGGGTAAGTAGACAATGTGAGGTCCTGTTAGACGAGATTCTAGGAAAGGAATGCAGTTAACAACCTGCCGCGTCCTCTTGCACTATTCACGCAGTCCCACCCCACACCCTTGTTTTCGCTTAAAACCCACGCTCCTCTTGCAGCCCGCGGTCGTATTCTTCCAGGACAGTCATGTCAGCAAGTAGAGAAAGTGAGGGTGGGCAGACACATCGAACTTTCCCACGATATCAGAGAAATTCAGGAATGAAAATGACGTTACATACGAGGTTGATGCATTTGTGCATGTCGTACTAAGCAAGGTATAAAAACAGTTGCTTTATGAGGAATTAGTTCGTACCATTGAATATTTGACGCAATAGACAAGGTGTCGCAGAAACCGATGTTGCTATAACCAAGTTTTACTGTACTTCCGTCTCACATCCTGTGCCCAGAACTCACCTTGTACATGGCAGAACAAATGGGTGCCAGATCCAGCACCATAGGAAAGCTGACATGGCGTGTCAGCTTGCGAAACATGGAGCGATGCACTTGGAACCTCTTGAGGTGCAGGATCAGCACTGCCGGGGGACTTTTTATCAGCAGCTGCTTTGTCGAGTTGGTGCACACCAATTTGCCTTCCTTACCTATACAAAATAACATGACAATGCCAGAAGAAAACAGCTTGTTTGATAATGTAAAAACAATTACCTTTCAAATGAATGTTTCACATAAAGCTTTCCTTTTCATACAGCGAAGCATAAAAGATCTACATGAGACTGAGACATGCTTTCATGTCTTTGAACTTACCCTGGTTTTGTTGCTGGGTGCAGTTCTCACAGCCAACCTTGTTGTTCCCAGTCATGAGCTCAAGTGCGGTGAACTGATTCAGACAGGACTGGATGGAACACTCCCCATCATCACACTGGTATCTTGGCAAAACTGTGGCACTCCAGTTGGCTACCTCCCCAGCTGACTGCACCTTGTCATCCACTGACATATTTGGCTGCATTTTCCTGGCTAGGTCCCCATTTGACTGCACTTCACTGGCTGTCTTCCCATTTAACTGCACTTCGACAACCATGTCTCCTATCACAGTGTTACCTTCCTCCATGATTCCTCCCACATCTCCTCCACAAACATGCTGTTTCTCCCCACAATCATTCACATCTGGCTCTGTCACTAGATCAAAACTTGTACACAGCCGAGAAATATCCTCACACAAGTCAGAAACTAGAGGAATCTTAGCATTAGACGAATCATCCTCAACAGGGCTGAGCCTTGCCACCCCCTCAGCACTGTCCATGTCATCATCATTACAGAATGCAAAGCGAGAGACAGGCCTGTTACAGTCAGGGGACATGCAGTCCCCATGAGCACGTGCTGAAATTGAGCTGGAGCAGTCTATATTCACTTCAGAAGAAACTGGGCTGGGAGACAGAGGACTGCCCACTGATTCCAAGGGAGAGGCTGGGATTGTGACAACCAGCTCCTTGCTAATCTCTGTCACATCTCCACTCTCCATTGGTGATGTGGAACCATCCATGTCTGCTGGTGAAGCGGGGCTGGCCAGAGCAGAGTCTCCATTGGCAAAACAAGACAGTGGACTCTCAACTGCAGAATCCTCATTGCCAACTTTCTCAGAGCTGTAGCCTGACTCCCCCAGGTCAATACCATGCCTCTTCGATCCGACATCTTGCTCCACGTTGTCCTCCACATCTGCATCACTGTGTTCTGTTGCAAAGGCACAGCACTATGTGTGAGTTACACCAGGCAAGCAAAACAAACTCCATGGTTTTAGTGTGCAAGCAAACTAAACCAATCGAGCGACATTTGTCAGCGAAGTTAGTGCCAACACTAGCAGATAGAGGATATCACATGGGGAGGGCAATGAATCTCCATGGTTGTTAATTTCGGTTTTCTAGACTGGAGCCGCTATTTCCTTGAAATAGCTCCTCAATTATCCTCACGAGGTTGAGTGGACCCCCTTCCAGACCCACTACTTCTCAGAAAATCTCAGGAACTCTGACCACCAGACCATAGGGGCGGTTGCGAGTCACACCAAAGTGTTTAATAACTCACCACACAACCAAAACAACCAAAATCAATTTTGTTGTTAACCTTTCAGATCGGATGGTGCTGCTTTTCAAGACATTTTTCAATAAAATTTCTATACTCACTTCCTCCAACCATGCTATATGTCCAGCCAAGCATAATCCTCCCAGTATAATTATCCTAGCTATACCAAGTGAACAGTACAGTCATCAACCTCCTTGATACACATTTTGCCATTTCCCCATTTACATAATACTTAAGAGGCCAAACAATTTATTTTCAAATATTTTCTGTCATATGAAGATAAGAGCTTCATTACTTCCTACTCAACAACTAGAGCTGAATGAATCTTTCTCTGTGCTTAATGAAGTACCATGCCATGAAAACATATGCATTCTTAACCTCAACACTGGGGAAACCAATAACAGCTTTATATTCAGACAGCTTTACCCTAAGGTGAAAGAACTCTCTCATAATTACTGAATAGGTTTTGTGGACCAGTAGAACCAGTCTGGACAAGGTAACAAAGAAAAAAATTGTGTAAGATTTGAGGCTTTCACGGCAGTGACTATGAAGAAAGNGAAAAATTGTTCCATCAGGAATCACACCAAGCTGCGCTCCCTAAATAACCTATGAACAAACTGACAATGCTGTACAAACTATACAAACTTACCTGACTCACTAGAATTCTTCTTGGCAAAGTTCTCCTTGGCAGTGGTGGACTTCTCCCCTTCTACACAACCCCCCTTCTGTCGCTTACGTTCTTTTCTTGCCTGCCTCCGCTCCTTCTTCAACTGATGCTTGGATGGCGGTCCCTCTGATGCATTGCCATACACATCATATGATTCATCATTGTTTGACTTCCTTCGCATCACTGGGGGCTGTGGCTGCAATACAATCAAGGTTTTACACAAAATGTAATGAGTAAACAACAAATACATACAAAATTTCAAACATGAAGAATGAAGGATAACTCCAGAGATTTTGATGTACAGGTTAGGATAATATTAAAACACTGTAGAAAAATACAATGTATACATGATTCGGATGGAGGTCCCATAAAAGCACAGAATTTCTTAATCAGATGAACAACTATCAACTGCTCAAAGAATATCTTGCACAATAAAGCTAAGAAGTTAGATGTGAAACTGTTTACAGCACAAGATATTGTTCTGTTTAGTGTAAAACAAACTGGTATTGTATTTATAGCATAAGGAGCCAGTGTTCTGTATACATCACAAGAAACTTTCCCCAAACTTCTGGATGCAGTGTAATTCCCTCTGAGCCTCCTGAGTTCTGATGGCAGATATCTAAAATGCTTTACTTATTCCTACAAAAGATGAGCAGCTTTCATTACACATGAAACTGTCACCTGATATAAATTTTGCTTCCAAAGAAAGTCTGAAGCTTGTTCTTTTACCTAAAAATTAAATTAAGGAACATATATGATTAAAAATGGATATGAGATTGGGTACTTGGGATGTTAGAAGTATGTATAGGGCAGTGGCACAAGAAATCTCAAATCATAAGTTAGATTTAGTGGGAGTACAAGTCAGATGGGACAGAGGTGGCACCAAACCAGCAGGTGGTAGGAAGTGCCATGGCTCAAGCAGTTAGTTCCTGACTTTCCACCACAGCAGCCTAGCTTCGATCCCAGGTCTGGTCAAGTGGGATTTGTGGTGGACAAAGTGGCACTGAGGCGGGTTTTCTCCGAGGACTTCGGTTTCCCTTCCCAATCTTCATTCCACCAAATTCTCCATCATCATAATCACCCAGGGCAGGTACAATAGGCCAATCAGCGGCCGCTGTGCCGAGTGGACCCAGATGGACTCCACCCCTCACTAAGCAAAACCGGCAGGCGAATATATACTCTCCTATGGAAAGGGGAATGATAATCACGACTTAGGTACAGGTATTTCATACATAAGAGAATCATATCAATAATTTAGAGGGTAGAGTTCGTTAGTGATAAGATGTCATACACAATACTAAGAGGTTGCTGGTGGGATATCATCGTTCTGAATGTTCTACAAATAACTAGAACTTGTACTTGATAAATTCCCCAAGTACCATATGAATATTTTGTTAGGAGATTTCAATGCCAAAGTATGTAGGGAACACATTTTCAACACAACAATTGGGAATGAGTTTGCATGAAATTAGTAATGATAACAGAGTTAGAGTAGTAAACTTTGCCACATCAAAAAATCTTACTGTAAAAAGTACAATGTTCCACATCGTAACAATCATAAATTTACTTGGACATCTCCTGACAGGAAGACGCACAATCAATTAAAGTTCTATGTATCAAGTCCGTCAATGGTGCAACAGTCATTAAAATATTCACCATTTAACAGTAACACGACATGTTTCGAACACAGACGGCCATCCTCAGGTGTTTCAGTGTGTCCAAAGTGTTACACTGTTTTGATGCATGCTAAAATTGCGTGTTGCAGTCCACTTAAAATAACATAAATAATTACTTAAAATTCATTAATTTTTTCTACTAATATCTTTCGTAAAAGGGAAAACATTAGTGATACTGACACAAGATGAATACAGACACAAAGTAAGGAACGTCATACGAGATAACAAGTTTAAAATGATCAACAATGATCCAACTCAATAATATTATAAAATCGTAAAACAAACTCTAAAACAATGTCATTTCTTACTGAAAACCGTCATAACACAGCAATCAATAATACATGTAAGTAGTTCTAGGAGATACTTTTGCTACACGTTTCGGCCTTCAAAAGGTCATCATCAGGCAAATACATTAAACTTTTCGTTACTGAACTGCATGTCAAATGTAGGATACAGTGCTAAACTTCGAAGTGTATATGAAATGATATGAATGAATATAAAATATAAATTACAATAAAAGTTGAAGTCTTAAATAACCAGTTACATAGTCAAAAGTATAGTTAAAAGTTGTATATGTGATGGTATTTGGAAGTTGGCAGTTGTAATCATAAT